TTGATGACATCTGTATAAACCAAAAGTGATCAAACAAGTTTGATAAAAGGTATTTACAAAATTCTGTATCTTGCTATTATGCTATCTTCTAACATAAACATACATAAAACTTTTCAGGGACGTCTGAAGCTTATGAATAATTTTCTTCAACTCACCTACTAAGATTTAACTATAATAATAGTGTTAACTGTCTTAAAGTATTTGTATTAAATTTATGAAGGCATTTAACTTACCAACATATCCTTTATCAGGGGCATCTGTTGGTGGTGCTCCAAATTCCTACAGAAGCAGACAAATGTTTCCTATGAAAGAAGCTACTAAAAAATTGTGAAGAAGTCAGTTATGGAAGGCTCTACCAAAGACCATCTTAGCTAGTTAACTACATCATGAGCATCTACTGGGAAGATGAGCTTGGGAACGTATGTCAGGGGCTCTAGGAACATTGGACCACTCCTCACCAGCTCTGCAAGGCAAGAAGGCAGTGTAGTAGCACAGCTGATGGTAGTGCTACTCATCAAAATTACTTGGGGCTCTTTAGATTTCTGTCCTACCCTCTCTCCCTAAGAGAAAGAAAATAGATTCTCTTATTCAGTAGCCAAGAATCTGAATTTAAACTCCAAGTGATACTGACAGTCAGATTTAGGAATTGATGGTATAATGGTCAAGAGCAAAAGCCCTAGAATTACTGACCTAATTCAAAAGTGAGACCCACACCTTTTGGCTGAGAGACTTTGGGCCAGTTATTGAATGAACTTAAGTAACTCAGAGTTCAGTGTAGTCGAAAAAGCAGAGGCTTTTGGAGTCAGTAATGTCTAAGTTCTATTTATGAGCCTTATGTTCCTGGACAAGTTACTGAATGTCATGTAAAATAGGAAATGAAGAAAGAAATACTTCAAATGATTATTATGAGGATTAAACTGGATAATTCTGGAAAACACCTAACATAAGGTGCCTGGAACATAGCAAATACTCAGTAAATAGTAGCTATTATTCCCTCAAGCTTTTCTTTTGAGCAATTTCTACACATTTGCACAGATTAAATGGCATCACTAGATAAAAATGTCACCAAAAATCTCTCAATTTCTCAAATTACAACCAAATTCTTTAAAAAGTAAAGGTGGTGAGGATTGTTTTAAGTTGTTCCATTTCAGCACATTTGAGAATGTTCATAAATTGTAATTAAGAGCCATTAAACTTGGGTTGTATTATCTAAAACTCAAAGGTGAAAAATTGGGAAATGAAAACAAATACTAAAAAACAGACACCTTATTGCCTAATCAACAGCAGAACTACAGGTGTGTATTACAATCTAATAAGTATATGATGCTAATTTAGTAACTCAAATCTTAGTAATATATACAGTAAACCTACCACTTTAATTCCACAAATTACTGTAGTATTTCCCAGCTTCACTAAAGAAGAACCATCTGCAGTACCAATTGAACCTGAAAAGGTAAGTATTTAAACAAAATGAAAAAGTGTTTTCGTCTTCTACGTATGATTCTATCTTGCTACATATCTAAGTTGTTTATGAAAATTTATTCCTTTCTTGAGTCTTTTTAAACTTACAGTTGACCCCTGAGCAACATGGGTTTGAAATGCACCTTTCCACCTATATACAAGGATTATTTCCAATAAATATTACCACAGTGCTACATGATCCACAGTTGGTTGAGTCTGAGGATGCACAGCCTCCTTACGAAGGAGGTTACGAAGCACGATCCATAACTGTAAAATTACGCTTGGATTTCTGACTGTGCGAGGGCCGGCACCCCAACACCCTCGTCGTTCAAGGGTCAGCTGCACTGGTCTAAGGATTGTTCATTGTCCCTGAAGTGAGTTAATCCTTTGTTGTTCAATCACAGGGCTGTTACAAAGATTTAAATCTCTTGACACAAAATCCCTTAGACACGGTAGAATTTGTCTGAAATACTGTTTAAATGGCTCAGAGGCTAAAACTTGGGAATGTCATATAGGTAAAATTGGGAAATTCCATGTTTGCAACAGAAGGTTTAATAAATGTAAGATATGTAAGAAAACCATGTCTTAGAAGTTTTGAACGGGGGAAAACAGGAAAACACTTTACAGTTACTTTAAAATTTAAAATGAGCGTAACAACTGAGAGGACAGTGAGTTTAAAAAAACTTTGCAAAGAAAAATTTAAATAAAAACTATTTTCAGAACTGAAGCAACTTCAACATTCTATTTTAAAACTCAAAATACCCTCACCTATGTTGACAGTTGTGGTCCTGAATTCACCAAGTTCTCTTCCATCAGGACGGCAATTCTCTTTCTAAATAAATATATGAAAGTAGATTACATCTACGTGTATATTTTACACACACCAGTGAAAATACACTAAACCTCGTTAATTCAAATTAATTTGAATTACTTGAAAATTTTTTAAAAACTGAGGTATAATTGTCGTATGACAGTTTAGGTGTGCAATGTAATGATTGATATTTGTATTTATGGAAAAAGCACATGATATCATTATCAAAAAGCAAAAAATGTACATAACCACCTTTACTTACCAAAAATCTTCTGTAATACTCCAGAGGTTCCACAGTTCTGAAACACAAGTTAAAAATGAGATAAATTAGTAAATCAATATAAATCCAGAAACTGGCAAAAATCTTAATAGTGTGGTGATGGAGCAGAAATCTCCAAAATTTGTAACTAAGTTTCTTTCATGAATTCTAACGTTTATGTTGCCACGTGTTGCTAATTATAAAAATTAGATACCTTTGCAATAACCATACTCAAAGGCTGTCCTTAATTTTGCTTTAAACAAGTATAGGGTTGGAGCCCCAAACCCTAGGGCATCTTTAGAAGAGGATTAATACAGGTGTGAAAATAACATCACTCACACTCTGAAGCAGGGATTCTTGGTGGGCAGGAAAAAGAAGTTACGTATTTTTCGCTATCCCGTGACTGAAATTTAGCATACTCTTCAATTACGACCGTTGGCAATAAACCATTAATATTAGCCGTACCTGCGACTTTAACAACCACAGAGAGTAAATGTTTTCGTTTTTACTTTAGAGTTGTCAAAGGTACCTGTAAGACTCATCGTTACTTCGAAATTCCAGGAGTTAGTTACTAACCTCCCCAGGAGATCTTAATTAAGAAAGTTAATTCTAAAACAGATGTATATCTCATTATACCATAAACTTAGAATTTATACAGATAACTGTTTCAGTACAATTGGTTTCCTTTGCAATCTTATTTCTTTTATTTAAAACTGGACTCAAAACGAAAATCTACAAGCTTCTCCAGAGCGGCAGCAAAAACGCTTAAGTAAAACCTTCCGAACGAGGAACAACGCTTTTAGAAATAAATTTCAAGGGAGAGGGAGAGCAGCGTGGCAGGTGCTTCTAACAGAACACTTTTCACGAGGTTACAACTGCTCCCCGGGGGCTGCAGGTCTACCACACACCAAGCCACAGCGCTCGCAGCGGGTAGCGAGCTCAACACAGCCCCTTCCAGCGCTCGCCTCCCCGACGGGAAGAGGCCCCCTTTCCTTTCACTACGACCACCTCCAGTCCTCCCGCTCGCCGCCCGCTTCCGTGGTGGAAAGAAGTGGGAACCAGGTGTGTGGGGGGGTCTCCTGGGGAGAAAATTACGGGTAACGGGAGCCGCCAACCGGCACGGTACGAACTCGCGCCCGCCAGCCTCCCACACTCACTTGAATCCGGCAGCCATCTTCCGCCCGCGCGTCTGCGTCTGCGTCTGCGCGTCTGCGCGTCTGCGTCTGCGCGTCTGCGCGTCTGCGTCTGCGCGTCTGCGTCTGCGCGTCTGCGTCTGCGCGTCTGCGTCTGCGTCTGCGCGTCTGTGTCTGCGCATCTGCGCGCCTGGCGCGCGCGCGCGCGCCGCCGCCGCCTGGGTAGCACCGCCCCTTCCTCCGGCTCTACGGCCCCGCTTCGCATTTTCAACACTGACGCCTGCGCCCTTCTCCCGCTGCCGGGTATCTAGAAGGCAGGGTGGAGTGGGCGGAGCGGGCGGCGTGGGGAAGGTTTCCAGCCTGCATTTGCTTAGACTTCCCCTAGCCAGACGCCCCTCGAGGTTTCCTAGACTTTGACGCGTTTTGACGAATCGGCTATTACAGAAGTGATGAGGGCCTGTTTAGAGACTGGTGGTTGAAGAGTTTCAGAGAAAACCGACCTTATATAAAGCAAAGAATCAGGTGTTGAGTGTGGAGCATAATTCCAGTGTTTCAGGGTCCTTTTCCCTTCTCCTTCTTATTCTGGGCCCTGGGCTTGCCTTCTCCCAGGTAAAAGCCTCCCTGCTCCAGCACCGAAGAATTACGTAAATTTTCTGTGCGCTCGTTTTCCGCACCAGGTTACATTTACAGGTGCCGGGAGCGGGCTCCAAAGGAGCAGCTTTTGTTGTATCCTGTGTCGTGGCTCAAGACCTCCATCTCCTTCGTATAAAATACAGGGCATCCAATTCAGTTTGAATGTCAGATAAACAAAAAGTACACCTAAAGTAGTTCGTGTTATTGTTACCAGAAGCTGGGGGAGAACTGGGAAAGTTTTAGAAATAGATGGTGGTGATGGTTGCAGGAAATTGTGAATGCAGTTAATGCCACTGTAGTGTACACATAAAGTGGTTAAAATGGGAAATTTTATGTTTTATCACAGTTTTTAAAAATTAATGTAATATACCAAAAACAAATGGGTGGGTTATATGGTCTGTGAGTTTTATTTTAATAATGCTGTTAAAAAACGATTCGTTGCCTATGTGAAATTCAACTTATGTGGACATCCTGAATTTGTACTTGCCAATTCTGGCAACCTTACTACGGTGGAACAGAGAGCCTGCCCCCCGCCCTCCCAAAAACGGACTGAGCGCCTCCCATACAATTACATATTCTTCGCCTTGCCGCGCGGGGGCGCTGTGGGCGGCGCGGGCTCCCGGGTCGTGGCTGGGTCTGGCCGCGGCGGCGCTGTGGGCGGCGGGCGCCCGGCTGGCGCGGTCTCTCTGTGGGTGGGAGGCGGGGCTGCGCGGCCGCACTTCCGCATGTGTGTAGGCGCGGGATAGGGCGGGCGGCTTCGCCGGCATGGAGGATGGCTCCGCTCCTGCTGCAGCTGGCGGTGCTCGGCGCGGCGCTGGCGGCTGTAGCCCTGATTCTGGTGAGGAGAGGGGTTGGGGACCGACGCGGGCCTGGACTCACTGCTCTCCGGGAGACTCGGGCCCCAGGCATCCTCTCCTCCGCGCTGCCGGCTCTTGGGCACCATACTTCCTCTGAGCCTTGACCCCAGAATTTCCTCTGCTAGAATTTCACACCCCCTTTCTTCCGTTCTTTATGTTTACTTTAGAGCTTTATATCCCTGCGTGCCCAGAGCCTAGTACTTGTGTTTACTGGGACATGCCCACCCTGTCTTATGTCACCCCCTGGTCCCCGGACTGTGCCCACCCGCCCTCTGAGCCCCGACCTCTCCAAGATTTCCTCCCGGGTCTGCAATCGCTGTAGTTCTGGCCCCATCGGGAAGGTCTTGAGCCCCCAGAAAGTGTGTGCTTTCTAGACACTCCCTTTCCTGGTGTAGTTAAGCAAATAGAAAGTGTTGACAGCACTGACAAGAGCCGTCTGTTACAGATTGGATAAATCAGCGGATCAGGAAGACCCACTAGGGACATAAAGGAAGACCAAGATAGACAAGGCCTGGTGTTATCATACGCCTGGGGGTCGTTATGTCCTAGAATTCAACACCCTAAGCTTGCTGCCTCTAGAAGAGACAGTACAGGGGAATTCAAACTACGATTTTCTTTGCCATTACTGTGGAAACACGGAAACATTGTAACACTTGCTGATCCATAGGTAATAGGAAATTTGTTAAGTGAACTTTCTCCCATATAATTGGAATGGGCCTGCCTCTAGTTTGTAAATGGAGCGTTTTCCGCTTCCTTGACGTTAAGGTTAGCAGCCTAGATAGCATTGCCAGGAAGGACACTTTGCCATCTGACCAGAATGTATGGCTTAAAAGTAGTGTAGATAGAGAAAAAGTGGTGTATCCTGACTTCTTTAGGGTTTGTGTCTGGGTGAGAGAGGAGTCCTCTCTTTCCCTTAGTAGTATATGGAGATTTGGGGTGGAGGGAGGTTTCAGGTTTTGGGTTGGGCAGAGCTTGACAGAATCCTAGACTGAATCTGCCTTGTGTTGACTGTGTTGCACAGATTTAAATGTGTACGTTATGAGATTGTACTGGAAGTATTTGATCCTATTAGCCGGAACTGGTTATAAAAGCTGTTATTTATTGAGTACTTACAGTATGTTGGGTATTGTATTCAGCATTCAACAGGGATTATCTCGTTTGATCTTTAAAACAGTGCTGACAAAAATGTTATTATTAGCTTCCTTTGACTGGTGAGGAAGCTGATGAGCTGGTATGCAAATGTCACCCAACTAGTGGAACTTTGTTTTTTTTTTTCAATGAATATATATGTATATTTGTGTATATATACACACATACACACACACACACACACACATACATACATGTATCTCCCCACTGTCTCCTCACCCCACTTCCTTTCTGAATTACTTTTGAAGCAAATTCAAGGCATAACATTTTATCCGTAAATCTTAAGCATTTATCTCCGAAGATAGGACCCCCTTTTTAAAATAAAACCACAATAAGGTTATTGCAGATTTTTTTAACATTGTTCAGTGATTTCAAATACTGCATCAGTTCAAATGCCTCGTGTATGTGTTAGTAAATTGGTTTGTTCCACTCAGTATTCACACACAGCACTCGATTGGTATGTCTCAAGTCTCTTAAACTATAACAATTTCTCCTCCCTTTTTTTCCTTTTCTTTAATAAGTGGTCATTTGTCCTGTAGAATTTCTCACAGTCTGGATTTTACTAATTTTATCCCTTAAGTGACTTAACATCTTACTCTGTCCCCTGAATTTCCTGTAAACTGCTAGTTACATCTAGAGATTTGATGAAATGCATGTTTGTTTTAATCAAAAGAAGTGTGTGAGTGATGCTGATTACTTCCTTTTGTGTCGTATCAGGAGGTGTGTTAATCTCTGATTTTCTTTGGTATTAAGAGGGATTCTTGGGTTCAGGAGTTGTTAGCTTGACCCACCGATTATAAAGTGTGTCATTAACCTAATGGTTTAGCAGTCATTGATGATCACTGCCTAAATCCAGTATTTCACTGTGGGTTGCAAAGTGGAATATTCTGACTGTATCATTCCTTCTTCATGTATTACCTGGAATTTTATAATGAAAAAAATTTCATCCTCAGCTATTCGATAACGCTGAAATATCTTTCATATATAAAAGGTAAGATAAAAGGCAAGTTTTCAAAATAATGAGATGGTTCCCTGGCATCTTACAAAGGTGACTAATTTTTTATATTTAGTATCATTATGAATCCGTGATATAAAATTTTTCATGTGTTTTAATACATTGCATTAATTATTCTTTTTGATGCTTAAAATTTCCCCCTCACAGGCCAATGGGAGCCTGTCAAGTTGGCTACTTTGTCATGATTGTTGGTAGCCTCCTTGCTTTCCCGTCTCTGACTACCATTGTACATTTCCTGGCCTGGACCTGAATCAGCCATTCCTCTTAGGAACATTGGTTACTTTTAGTAGGAAATTGAATTTAGAAACCACAATCTGGACACTAGGGGTGCAGAGCAGGAACTCTTTAGCCACTAGTCTGGGTACTGCCCTCATATTCATACTAATCAGAAGCATATTCAATTTCAGTATGTGCCCAATAGAATATTATAAATGGTCACTGGAGTACAAATGAGTAGCATTCCAAAAGTTGGTAGGTTGATTGCTCTGAAAGCAGAAAGTATACCAATGGAAACAGTGTTACAAAGAATGGTTATTTCCAGGGCTAGGTCCCTACTGAATATGGAAGGGGGTTATATAATGTTAGCAGTGGGATGGTGCCTACAGCCTACAAGTTTGATAGGTACCTGAGTCCAAAACATAGTGTATTCTGAATTCAAATCTGGGATAAGTATCAAGAATATATTCTTAAGCACTACTGATCCCTACTCTAGGGGTTGGGGGACTCTTCCCTTCCTACGCTGGGTCAGCGTGGTCTCAGATGGGAGGTCTGCCCTCACCCACAAGCTCTACCTGCAGTGTGTCCTTGATCACATAGGCTCCAAGTGGGATGGGGCCTCGCTGTGTGTGTACCAGGGATTGGGAGTTCAGGGCATCTCAGAGTAGATGGCACTTCTGTAATGACTGTTCCCTTTTAGATCTGGGGTGACAGAGGCTGGGGAATGACAAGTGAGAGGAGACAAAGAGCTTCCTAGAGCATTAGGGAAAATGCTTAGTTAGGGGAAAAAAAGGACAATAATAATCAGTTCAAAAATAGGGAACTGACTGGTTTGAATTTTGAAGTCACCTCCAGACCATTGTTAATGGACTAAAACAGTAAATATTTCACCTCAGGGTGAAAAAATCATGTAAATGATGTATTCTAATGTAGCAAATGTTTAAAAAGGTCAACATAACACAATTTCTTATTCACATATCTGCCTTTAGATTTCCTTTGTTGCATTTATAACTGCTACAGAGATGCCACACCTGCATCGACATGAAGATGAGAAGTTCTTCTTAAATGCCAGAGTCCAGAGGGAAGCCTTACCCAGCATACGGGACTCGCCTACCAAGCAGCTTTCTGTGGTCGTGCCTTCATACAATGAAGAAAAACGGTGTAAGCCCTACTCGATTTTTTTGGTAAGGGGTAATTTGGGAAGAAAAGGACATTTAAAGTATGGACTTTGCCGGAACGTTGATACCTGTGGGCTATGGAGCGTGCACAGTTGGTAGTTGTAGTTTAGAAGAGAAAGAATGAGTGTTAGCAGCCACATCAGGTCTAGGGCTGAAGTGTTCTAGGGGAGTGATGAGCAAGAGGTGAACAGAAGACAGACATTCCAGGTGGAAATGGCCACTGGGGGGCAGTCCAGGAGGGACTTGTTAGGTTATTCAGGCATTTTCCATATGCAAACTGTTCTGGGACTGGGAAAGTTATTTTCAAAAGCAATTTTTAATATATATTTTTTTCTTTAAGTGCCTGTAATGATGGATGAAGCTCTGGGCTATCTAGAGGAGAGACAGGTATTGTGTTTTCTCGTCCGGTATGGGGTCTAATTAAAAGTAGAGCAGGTCATCAAGCTGTGGACCCCAGGCTAGATCCACTGTGAGAGGCAGTGCCGTCCGTTCTCGGGCCATCGTGGTCCTGGCCTCTGTGCTCAGCATGTTGCCAGCCGTCAGCCATTTGCAGGCAAGCCCGAGAGCACACTCCCTCCAGAGCAAACAGGAAAGCTGATGTTCCTCTTATGGACTCTCCCTCCCCACTTTGATCCTCTCTTGCCTGATGATATACTTAAAATTGAGTGGTAGTGTGTCTGCAGACTTTGTATGACAACACAATGCTGTTTTTGCTTTTGTGACTTTTTAAGTAAGATGTTTATTTGAAAAAGACCTATAACTAGAGTGAAATCATTTTGTATGTCTTTATTATTCTGAGGAGTCCCCCCTCATTTATTTTCCTCTGCTTTCTCTGCATAAAGAGAAGAAAAGTAGCATGTGCCCCTCTTTTGTATCCGCTGCCATTGGAATCTCTTGGGAGAGTTTAAGAAAATAAGTAAGATTTATGGCTGTTTCTTTTTTTTAGAAAACTCCTTGTTTTGATTTACTTTGTTTTAGGTTTTTTTGTGTAAAGGGAAAAGAGAAGATTCGTCGAAAGAGGGAAAAAAAGAGGAAGAGGACTGAGCCCTTATTATATTTGAGCTTCTGCCTCTTCTATTATGTGTAATCTGCACACCAGCCACGTGGACTAGGTTGTGTTATTTGTTTTGCGAGAAAATAGGCCCAAAATGCTAACTTGCCCGAGGTCATAAAGCTAAGAAGTGGCACAGCCACGTGGAACCTGCACCCCTGACTTCAGACCTCATGGCTTTGCCTTGTATACCTCGTAGCCTCTGAGTGGTGCTCAGGAGGGCAGCCAGGGGAGCACGGGAGGCCCATGGAGATTTGGTCTGTGTTCACCTTCAACTCCCTCCCAGTCTCTGATCTCCTTTCTGTCCTTGGCCTTTTTCCTTTATGTGCTTTGTGCACTTATATCTATGTTCATATTTATACACATCAACACTAAAACAATTGTTTCTTTTTTCAAATTTTTTTTATTGAAGTAGAGTTGATTTACAGTGCTGTGCCAATCTCCGCTGTACGGCAAAGTGACTCAGTTATACACATGTAGACATCCTTTTTTTAATATTCTTTTTGATTATGGCTTATCACAGGATATTGAATATAGTTCCCTGTGCTGTACATTGGGGCCTTGTTGTTTATCCATTCTAAATGTAATAGTTTGCATCTACCACCCTCAAACTCCCAGTCCATCCCACCCCCCCACCACCACCTTTGGCAACCACAAGTCTGTCCTCTATGTCTATGAGTCTGTTTCTGTTCTGTAGATAGGTTCATTTGTGCCATATTTTAGATTCCACATATAAGTGATATCATATGGTATTTGTCTTTCTCTTTCTGACTTACTTCACTTAGTATAATAATCTCTAGTTGCATTCATGTTGCTGCAAATGGCATTATTTCATTCTTTTTTATGACTAATATTCCATTGTATATATATACCACATCTTCTTTATCCATTCATCTGTTGATGGACATTTAGGTTGTTTCCATGTTTTGGCTATTGTGAACAGTGATGCTGTGAACATAGGGGTGCATGTATCTTTTTGAATTATAGTTTTGTCCGGGTGTATTCCCAGGAGTGGGATTGCTGGATCATATGGTAATTCTGTTTTTAGTTTTCTGAGGAACCTTCATACTGTTTTTCATAGTGGCTGTATCAAGTGACATTCCCACCAACAGTGTAGGAGGGTTCCCTCTTCACACCCTCTCCAGCATTTATTTGTAGACTTTATAATGATGGCCATTCTGACTGGTATGAGGTGGTACCTCATTGCAGTTTTGATTTGCATTTCTCTAATAATTAGTGATGTTGAGCATCTTTTCATGTGCCTACTGGCCATCTGTATGTCTGCTTTGGAGAAAGTCTGTTAAGGTCTTCTGCACATTTTTCAATTGGGTTATTTGTAAAACAGTTGTTTCGTAACTTCCTTACAACTTTATTAGAAATCTTGATGGCAGTCATGCCAAATTGTGGTATTTTATCTTTGCTTCTTGCAGAAACAAGATCCTACATTCACTTATGAAGTAATAGTAGTTGATGATGGCAGCAAAGATGAGACTTCAAAGGTAAGTAAACTTGCTTTTAGAATTGCCAACAGATGGAGTAATTTGCAAATGTAAAATCATATTTCCGCTTGTCAGAGAGCCCTAAAGGTGTGCCAGATACTCTCCATTTAACATAAGTGGGCAGTAGAAAAAGCAGAGAGATTTCATATATGGGAAGCTGGAAAATATACCTGCCTTTCCACTGCTCCTTGAGACCAGGGAAGCTTGGAAGGTCACCAAATAGGGAGAGAGTACACATAACAACAGTTCACCTTGGCCTCTGGGGAACCCTCTTTGCCCACTAATTTATGGTTCCTTTTATTCTAAGCATAATTCTTTTCTCTATGCTCCACCTTAAATTATGGTTTCTAAAGTAGTCACGCAAATAGGAAGACACCTTCATATCCTCCCCTGGGGATTGGGTATGTCCTTTGGCCTACCCCACAGTCCCTTCTAGATTGACCCATGGGGTGACAGTATCTTAGGGTTTATCCTCTCTCCTTCCTGCATTCCTAGACCTGTAACTGCTGGGCCCTGGTGCATTAATCCTGCAGTAGTACATGTATTAAATCTTGTCAGTGATCCTGATAAATTACTCTCCAAACATCAAAGTATTTTTGTTATTATGACTACTTCACATTTTGTTTTTTGACACTCATGTTTCTATAATAAAAGATTCACTTACGGTGCTATTAATATTCCTGTTAAATGGCAACATAATAGATCTTAAATATACAGGGGAATATCTGTTCACCTGATTATTCATCAGTTATGATTTTGGTCAACTCCAGCTGTGCAGGAAGCGCTGGACACTGGCTGGACCCCACAGGTACACGCGCCTGCCCCCTGGTATAAGGAGCCCCCAGGACAGTCAGGCAGCATGGCTCCAATTTCTGTAATGCAGGTAAAAATGGAGCCAAAGAGAAAGATGCTGAAAAGAATTTGAGAGAAAGAGAAGTGACTTTTGAACTAAACCTCTAAGGGTGATAATGACTAGGAACATGGAGGATAGTATATTCAAATTGAAAAATATACATAATGTAAACAAAGGCATAGAGGCCTGAAAGTATTGGTGGATCTGTGTTAGGAAGAGTAGGTGCTGCACTTGGAACAGTATGACTTGAAAGATGAACACAAACTGTCCCACAGGTTATTAGTATATGAAGGGAGTGGTGCAGAAAGTCAGCATCGGGCATCTACTGCTGAGATGACAGAGCAGCCTCAGCCCGGCTGAGAAGAAGCAGCTTTTCCTGAAGAGTATTTCCTTCAAGGCCTTTTGCCATGTGAGTCTCAGGCTGCTCTCTGGAAGGATCCAAGAGGGAGAGGTTCGCACTTGTTCCCAAGGTTGGGAGAAACAGAAAACTTGAAATCATAGTTTGTAAAATTTTTTTTTTTAAAAAAGAAAAAGAAACTCTTTTCCCCTAAGTTGAGTATTTATTATCTTCCCGTAACACGTTTCACTCTCCGAGGGGTCTGGGAAAAAATTTAGATATAGTTCTTGTTCTTAAGGAATTTTAAACTAAGGGGTAAAATTTACGCCAAAGTACAGAATAAGAGAGTATTGCATCTGTGCAGAGATATTTATTATACCCTCAAACAACATAAGATGCCAGAAAGGTAAGCATTCCATGTGAGCTGAATTCACAAATGGTGAGCAAGTGTCAGCTGCTGCCGTGTTCTGCAGGGCATACTGTGAAGTGTCAGTGTCTGTATAAGCCAAGCAGGTGGGCCTCAGTGGTGTTTGCTTCCTTCAAAGCCAGATCACGTCCCCTTTAGAAAGAGCCCTCATCCTCGCCTGGTCAAGTGCCTCTCAGTGCACTCAGCTGCATGCCCAGTGACTTCATCTTCCTGGTCTGGGTCTTATGATGACTGTCATGCTTTCTGCCACCCCAGAATAAACGTCAGCAACCCAAATAAATGTTCTCTGAATAGACATTTCTCGAGCCATTAACATGAGTCAAGGAGTAGGACTGGTGCTAAAATACAAAGATGGAGCCCTGCCTCTGCCTCCAAGGACTTCACATCCAATACTGGAGACACGCTCCAGAGAAATAGAGCACAATGTGTTCGATATTTTCATCAGTTAGAAAGTGTCTCATGAGGGGAGCTTATGTAACAGAAGGTGTTTGATTATCTCATACGCCAGAAGGTCTGGACATTGTTGTTTCAGCATTTGGACAGTGTCAAGTGGCTGGATCCACGTCTTTTCAGTTACCACACACTCCCTCATCATCAAATGGGCACAGCTCCAAATACCACTGATCCTGAGGCAGTTGAGACAGTCAGGACATTAAGAATTCTCTTGTGTGCCTCTCTCCTTTTATAACCAGGAATAAAAATCTTCACAAGAAGCTCCCACCCTCCAGCAGACCTCCCCTAGAGTCCATGAGCCAGAACTTTGGTGACATGGCCACCTTTGCCTGCAAGAGGGGCTGGGAAAGTATAAATACATGGTAAAGAGGATTTGGACCAATAATGATTCATCTCCTAGGACTGCACACACTGTCACTATGCAGACTGGGGCCAAAGGAGCAAGGAAGGAGGTGGTGTTTGTTGGGTAAGCAGCTAACAGTGCCACCACAGCCCTGTAATAAGAGTATGTACAAAGCACGGTGGCTACTCTTGTTCACTGAGATTAATCAATTCCAGGCTGTGTGTCAGGCACTAAAATATTAATGCTTGGGACTTCCCTGGTGGCACAGTGGTTAAGAATCCACCTGTCAATGCAGGGGACACAGGGATCGCCCTGGTCCAGGAAGATCCCACATGCCGCAGAGCAACTAAGCCCGTGAGCCGCAACTATTGAGCCCGCACGCTCTAGGGCCCGCATGCCACAACTACTGAGCCCACACACCTAGAGCCTATGCTCTGCAACAAGAGAAGCCACTGCAGTGAGAAGTCTGCACACCGCAACAAGAGTAGCAACAAGCCTGCGCGCAGCAACCAAGATCCAAAGCAGCCAAAAAAAAATATATATATATACACATATATATATATACATATATATTAATCCTTGGCTTTAAGTAGCTCATAGCCAAGTGGGGAGGGGCTACACTACAGTTCATTACTAAATGAGTGGTGCAGAGTGATTTATAGCAAATATAGATCACTGTTCCATGACTTTGATTATTAATAATAATGAAGTCAGGAAAGTTTCAGGCATCCCAGAGTCTTGAGCCTGTTCCTAGTGGGAAGGCTCTACAGATCTACAGATGAGAGATCTATCTGATCTACAGATGAGAGAAGTAACAGTTGAATGGGAAAATGCATTAGGAATACTTATTAGAATTATACTTTTTCTCTGGGGAAGGTGACGATGGGCATGGAAGCTAGGAAGAAGAAATGGTGTTTGAGCTGAGTCTGAAGACAGGAGTGCAAACACCAGATAAGAATAGCTTCACAGGGGTTTCCCTGGTGACGCAGTGATTAAGAATCCACCTGCCAATGCATGGGACACAAGTTCGAGCCCTGGTCCAGGAAGATCCCACATGCCACAGAACAGCTAAGCCCGTGCGCCACCACTACTGAGCCTGTGCTCTAGAGCCTGCGAGCCACAACTACTGAGCCCACATGCCACAGCTACTGAAGCCCGCATGCCTAGAGCCTGTGCTCCGCAACAAGAGAGGCCACCGCAATGAGAAGCCCGTGCACCACAACAAAGAGTAGCCCCCGCTCACCACAGCTAGAGAAAGGCCACACGCAGCAATGGAGACCCAATGCAGCCAAAAATAAATAAATTAAAATTTAAAAAAAATAACTTCACAACTGCCTATGGAAATGAGCCTCAGAGGCAAGGGGTGATGAAGAGGTTCTGCGGAGGGTGATGTGGAAAAGCAAAGGGCATGAGCCACACCCCAATGGCTTGAAGTCTAAATGAGGGACAAAGAGATGTTGATGGCAAATACAGATCACCATTTCATGACTTTGATACTAGATCAAAGAGTAATGGCAGTCGCTTAAGATAATAGTGAAGTCAAAGGAAAATGTTTAAGATGCTGGAGTTTTGAGCATATTAGAGGCTGAGGACCCAGAAAAGAGGAAGAGATTGAAGATTCAGAAGAGGACAGATCGTGGATGATTATCTGCTGAGAGCCAGGAATTCGAGTGAGAAGATTTGGGGGAAATGGTCTAGAATACAAACAGCTTCTCTGGGGAATAAGGTCAGTTGCTGACAAGTAAACAGGTCATTAGGCAGTATTGGGAGCCCAATCATAAATGTGTACCAGGGCTTCCCTGGTGGCGCAGTGGTTGAGAGTCCACCTGCCGATGCAGGGGACACGGGTTCGTGCCCCGGTCCGGGAAGATCCCACATGCTGCGGAGCGGCTACGCCCGTGAGCCATGGCTGCTGAGCCTGCGCGTCCGGAGCCTGTGCTCTGCAACGGGAGAGGCCGCGACAGTGAGAGGCCCACGTAACACACACACAAAAAAAATGTGTACCAGTCAATTAGAGCATGGGTTTTATTTTTACTTTTTCTAGCAGCTTGGTAGCCTAGGCAAAAAAGTCAAGAGAATGAGAGATGGCCACTGCCTGTTCTGGTGTTTCCTCTGCAGGAAAGTGAATTGTGACTTCGACCTAGTAGGTCAGTGTCGGATCTTGGCACCAGGAATTCAACAACTCCTCTCGGCTACCAAAATGTGCGGTGGGTATAATCTAGTCACAAGGAGAGGGCAATTAGAATAGCAGTGTTTAAGCCAAAATCAGAGACCCAGTTTATATTGCTGTCTTGGAATTCAAATTTATTTTATTCTGACTTTTATATAATTTGACAGGTAGCTTTTAAATATTGCCAGAAATATGGAAGTGACAAAGTTCGAGTGATAACGCTGGTGAAGAATCGTGGGAAAGGCGGAGCTATTAGGATGGTAATACCTAATTTCAACATTTTTATTTGAAATCTAAAGGTATTTTGAATAACCTCTTTTGCAGATTACAGTACATGTATGTCCTACAGCCAGCTAGTTAAATACTAGTCTTTCAAATTAGTGGTAAATTGCTTTTAATAATAACTTCATGCATATATGTACATATAATATCAAATTAAAAAATACCATGCCATATCTATAACATACTGGGTGACTCAGGAAAATGTTTATCTTATTCAAAGTTGAAAACATTGCCCTCTGTCTCTTATGTGTCTTTGACATAGTTACCAGATAATAAGATTACATGATTTTTTGCAGTTTACAAAATGCTTTCATGTATTGAGTTTTACCTATATGAAGGTGCTATGCAAAACATGGTAGTGTGAATTAAGATAAATCTGGGACTTCCCTGGTGGTCCAGTGGTTAGGACTCCATGCTTCCACTGCAGGGGTCTGGGAACTAGGATCCCCAAAAACTGCACAGTGTGACTGAAAAAAAAAGATAAATCTGATATGGTCACTCCTGATGTAATTTACAGTCTAATACAAAAAGTGATTGTACTTATGAGAGAGGCACAGATGAGGTACAGTAGAAGTTCCAGGAAAGAAGAGGTTACTTTCAGCAGAGGCATATCAGGTAGGAATCAAGATACACTGAAAAAGATCTAAAAGCAAGATATGTGAAAGAAAATCCAAACAACAGTGCCTTAAATGATGTAGAGGTTAATTTATTTATTTTGTGCCTCCAAAAGAAGTCTAGATGTAGGCAGTGCAGGGCTCATTCAACAACTCCGTGTCCTCAGGAACCCAGCTTCCTGCCTCTTCGCTCCCTCTTCCTCCTGCCCACCTGCATACAAAGTGACTGCAGGAGCACCAGCCATTACCTCCCCATTCCAGACAGGAAGGGCAGAGGGCAAAAGACGCACGCCAGTTAGTTTGTCCCTTCTAAGGAACTTTCCCAGAAGCTCCACCCAGTGACTGGCCAGAACAGGGTCACGGAGCCACCCCTATTTCCAAGGAAGGCTGAGAGATGTTTTTTCTGACATTTTCATTCTCGGCCAAATCAGGGTTTCATTTGTAAGGAAGAAGAAAAGAATAGGTATTAGGTAGGTAACTAGCAACCTTGGGCACATGAGTAAAATAGCAAACTTCACAAAAGATATGTCCCTGAAGCCAGGCCTCCAACGATGGTGAACACTGGCTTCCACTTGCTGACTGATTATTTTGAGCTGGACAGCAAAAATTTACCACTTCAACATAATTATCACATTTAAACCTCCTCACATCATCTTAGTGAGTTAGGTCCTATTATTTTGATTATATAGATGAGGAAATTGAGGCATAGATAGGTAGAGTGACTTACTCAAGGTCACATAGATATTAAGGCAAGATTTGGATTGGAGAGGCCCGCGTACCGCGAAAAAAAAAAAGAAAAAAAAAAAATCTAAAACTGGGTGTTGGATTGAGTGGTCTGGAAGGTTGTAAGATTTAGGAGAAAGAATCTTAATATTAAAAAGAGAGGTCTAAATTCCAGTCTAGTGTGATCATGGGAAAGTCACTAGTTCTGAGAGCCTTATTCTGTAAAATGAAGACGATGATAATTACAATGGTTTTCTTCCAGGGTTCTAGTAAGTTCTGTATACAGTCAGAATGTTTGGTTTGTAAATGGTTATTGTGTTTTTTAGTACTTAGTTTAAATTCACTAAGCCTTCCTCTCCACCATCCCCCACAATTTAGTGACAAGAGATAGTCGTCATCACATTTCGCCTCTACCTAGTGTATCTTCATCTTTAGATTCAATGGTCAGAAAATTTTCACCGTAAATTCAGCGTAAATCTTTCATGAGCTCTTCTAGAGTAGGATTACTGTCTTATTCGTTTTTTAAATGATTATTCCTGGAACCTGTATGGTGCTTGTCTTTTTTGGTCGTTTGTGGGTTTTTTCCTGTTTTTTCCACCCCCTCCCCTTCTTTTTTCTTCAAACCTGAACTGGCAAAACTTAAGCTTTGGGTTCACCCAAAGCGAACCAAAACAATTTAACACGGAAAATAGTGTTTTCTGTCGCTTAAAGATGTGCTCAGCTGTGTATAGACACAGGGGTGGTTACAAGGAGTTAGGTAAAGAATTAGATTAAAAATAAGCTTTATTTAGCATCACTCTCAGAGCAAACATACTATTTCTGTGGGAAGCAGAGAGGATATAGCAGTCGAGTTAAACTGGCAGCACCTTTGAATCACCTAGGGAGTTCCAAAAATGGTGATCCCTGCACCCTACTCCAGCCCAATTAATGAGACTCTCTGGAGGGTGGAGCATGGGTATCCCACTTTTTAAAGGTTCCCAAGGTTACTTTCTTGTGCAGCCACGATGAGAGCTTGTGTGTTAGAGGAATGAGGTTCTTCAGGAGTGTATCTTGTTTGCTTGAAGAGGGGAAAGGCTGGAAGAATTGGAGCTGCATTGGAAAATGTAGCCTGGGGCATTTGGGGGAATATCATTAGAGGACTTTTATCAGCAGGTATGATGAAATGTATGATTTGTAAAGTGAACGGTGCAGTGACCAAGGCCAGAGGGCAGGCTGTTAAAATAATCCAGAGTAACAATGAAAGCAGCAACTGTGATGATAGAAGAAATTAAAAAACATTCTCTCCTGGGTGTTAAAACATTTTTAAGAAACTGAGTAATGATTTTAGCTTGCAAACTGTATTTTGCCCTACCTAGTTACAGCTTTTCAACAATGAGTGTATAGATTGTCATATAATGAATTTTATTGTTACTAATTATTTTTAAAGGGTCTTAGAAATATATATGCCTCAAATAATTTTCCTTGTTAATTACAAAGTAATCTCATATCTCTTGAGAGCTTTATGTTAATATAAGGGTTGTGTTATTTTTGCTTTTTCAGTACTCTAAGACTGGTTTCTAAAGGTACGGTTTTCACCCCACTTCATCAACGCACATAAGTTTTCTCCTTTTTGGACCTCTATTTTATACCACAATGGTAAGCTACACCTTAGTATGTTAATATTCTTAGAATGTTCTCTTCCTTCATCTCGATAAAGGTATCTGTATGAAACAGAAATATTCTTGTAAGCTGCCCAAGTTACCCTAACAGGGAAATTACTTAGCAATCACATACAAAATTTTCTCTACAAAATAGGGGACTCATCTCTCAGTGTTAAAATCATATCCAGATTACACAGATAATCTATCTGTTCTTATTTTTGTGAAGTATTAAAAAATAATTACTTCTGTCTGCTTTACTATAGTCGAAATCATTGGCAAGAAGGATGGGTATAAATACAAATAGTTTTGGGGGCATAGGTTTCTCATAGTTTAAAGTTCCTCTTAATTTAGATTTTTAAAAAATTTTTAACAACAAATGTAATCTGCTTACTGCAAATAACATTTAAGCAGCATTAGTTTTAAAATTCTAATGGCAGATTTCTACTTACCATTTAGAGTCAGTAAACATACTTAGGGCGGGGCATTTAACTCTTGCCTTTAAAGAATTAAAGACAAAGAAAACAAATCACTTTCTGTTTTAAAGAAACAGCAGCATTTGACAGAGGATAATTGAACATTAACCACCATGTTGGATAAACCTCAGAAAACATATATCTTCTCTTCTTGGGATCTTGCGTGTATACCCTTGCAGTGTTAGAGAAAAGCTATCGCAGTGGGGTTCTGACCTTGCCTTATATTTTGCATTCGTATTAGCCAGTCACTTCCCTCTTAAGTATTTGAACGCAATAGTGAATATAACGATACTAGTGTTTACATATGCAAGTATATCTCACTGGAGCTTTTAAAGTTTTGATATCAGAAGATTAAATATTTACTTGAGAAGACTGGCTATTTGAAATTGTCCTAGAGTATACATTTGATTGTGTTTATTATAATTTTTTGATCTAAACTTACTTGAAGGTTTTATGGCCAAAATAATTAAAAGAACCTTGTGTTTTTGTCAAGAGTATATATTCAGAGTTATGTTTTTATGTTGGAAAATAGTTTATTCTCAAGAATCCCATCTTGAATCCTGGAAAACAGTTTCATTGAAATCTGCCCATAAGATATTTTAATAAATTAAATTGGTATAAATTTATTTTAACAAACTTTTGAAATACTGGCATATTTTAGACTTTTTTACTTAACTCCATTTAGATGCTTGATATGTAAGGGTTCTATTGCTGTTTAAAAAGCCCAGCTAGGGACTTCCCTGGTGGTCCAGAGGTTAAGACTTCGCCTTCCAGTGCAGGGGATATAGGTTTGATCCCTGATCGGGGAGCTAGGAATCCCACATGCCTCGGGACCAAAAAATCAAAACATAAAACAGAAGCAGTACTGTAACAAATTCAATAAAGACTTTAAAAGTGGTCCACATCAAAAAAAAAAAAAAGAGGTACCACAGTGTTCATTGCAGCACAATTTACAATAGCCAGGACATGGAAACAACCTAATTGTCCATCAACAGATGAATGGATAAAGAACTTGGGGCACATATATACAATGGAATATTACTCAGCCATAAAAAGAAACGAAATTGAGTCATTTGTAGTGAGGTGGTTGGACCTAGAGTCTGTCATACAGAGTGAAGTAAGTCAGAAAGAGAAAAACAAATACCATATGCTAACACATATCTATGGAATCTAAAAAAAAATGGTACTGATGAGCCTAGTGACAGGGCAGGAATAAAGACGCAGATGTAGAGAATGGACATGAGGACACAGGGTGGCGGGGGCGGGGGGGAGAGGGAAGCTGGGGCGAAGTGAGAGTAGCATTGACTTATATACACACTGAATGTAAAATAGCTAGTGGGAAGCAGCCGCATAGCACAAGGAGATCAGCTCGGTGCTCTGTGACCACCTAGAGGGGTGGGATAGGGAGGGTGGAAGGGAGGCTCGAGAGGGAGGGGATATGGGGACATATGTATGCATATGACTGATTCACTGTGCTGTACGACAGAAACTAACACAGTATTGTGAAGCAGTTATACTCCAATAAAGATCTATTAAATAAAAAGAAAAAAAGCCAACTATTTTTATAATCATATGTATTCTCCGTCCTTAGGACTAGGAGGACAGGGTCTCTTCAACTTTTTCTTGATTTCCAAAGTCTGGCAATATTTATTCTCCATCCTTAGGACTAGGAGGACAGGGTCTCTTCAACTTTTTCTTGATTTCCAAAGTCTGGCAATATTTATTCTCCCTATCCTCTTGGGATTTTGGTGGGTGCTAGGAGCTTTTATTCCATGCACCTTAGTAGATTGAAGTATTGGAGTCTGCAAAATAAAACAAAAATATAGGTTCTTGTAAATAAAAAATGAAAGTTCTTTGCCTCTTAGTGAAATTAAAAATGACTGTCATTGTGAATGAAAAATACTGTAACTCTGTGTGATACCCAAACCACAAAACCAGAAAGAAATCAGTGGTGGTGTATTTGCTTAATTTTTTTTTTAAATCTAGTACTTTTTATTCTTGGGTATCATTACAGAAGAATGCTATACAAATGAGGAAGACAGTTAACCTTCTTATTTCTCCCTCTTGCCTTATAATAAGGGTCTCTAAGAAATCAATGAAGGATGGGGATCTACTAGTAGATCTCGAATTGTACATGTAATAATAATACTATATTTTCATCATTTCTAAGATGCATTTGCTTTTACGTTTTAATTACTGAAGTGATAATGTGCCTACAGTCAGTGACATCTTACAGTTATAATTGGCAGCACGTTTTTCTTAATGTTAAATAATAATTCAGGCATATAACTGATGGTATCTTAAATTCATTAAAACATGCTAAGGATAGCCTTCATTCTATTTTTGCTAGGCACTGACCTAGAAACATTGTATTATAGTTTCTCTGAATAATATTAGGGATTTCTAAGTTGATATTAGGTACCAACATAACAGCCCCCTCGGTTTTCAGGATTCCTAACAGCTTAAGGGATTTTAATCTTTGCTTCACTTTAATTGCATACCTGATGGCCAGTATATTTTCCTGAATGGTGCTCTTAAAATGTTGATGTTTATAAAATGGTAGTAATTACCATATCCAACCCTCAGCCCTGTATCAGCTGCACAAACATGGCCAGAGAAAATCATGGTAGCATTTCTTAACTAATTTGTGGTCATAATCAGGTGCCTGAGACTGCATATATTTTCTTTGTGCTGTATTTTGAGCATACAATGGGGTGGGTGGAGGAGAGAAATAAAGAAAAATGTTAGACCTGTTTTAGAAAATAAAACACATTTAAACACTTAATTAGAAAATGTTATATGTATATTAAATTATGTTTGTGTGAAAATAACTAATATTACCAAATACACTATTTACTTTTTACAGCAACAAGCTTTAGAACTAGCTTTGGATCGTGCGGAGGTGAGGCGTGACTAAGTTACATATTGAAATAGTGTTGTCTTTAATTGACAGAACTCAGTTTTAAGAGATTTTCTTATGTGACTGTCAAAGGAGTACGTTGATATTAGGACGAGTATGCAAATTTTTCTATAAATACATAAAAACTGCCAGATGATGTTTGGATCGTCTGTTACTTAGAATGCTCAGATAATAATGCTGTGGAATAGAAATTGAATAACACAGTGGAATAAACATTTGAACAAGGTCATAGAGTTTCTAAAATTATGTTTCCTGTTTTAACAGATATTCTAACTGCTCAATTAAAGGGGAAAATAGCTCAAATATATAGAGTCCTTGTAATTGGGTGTGCTATGCATATTCTAAACAACCATAAAACATTGAAAATATTGCTAACCTGTGAAATCACAGTGGTGAAACTCTTATGATTTTGCTTATAATATAGTAAGTAAATATTGTGCTAAATTTTAGTGCAGTTTAAATTTCACTTGTTTGTAACATATATTTAGAAATTAAGTAGGTTGCCCTAAAAGGTATGATTTAATATGCATCAGAGACTTGAGTGACTGAACAGCCTTTTTAGCCTTACACGATTTATTAATACAGTTCTTCATGCAGTATGCAAAAGACAAGCTGTTTTCTTAAACTTCTCTTTTGTAGTATGTCATTGAAAGTGCCCGACAGAGACCTCCTAAAAGGAAATATCTATCCAGTGGAAGGTATGAATGCTTAATTAATTGATATCTTAGACTCACAGAAATATGATGATAGCCATCATTTATTTCATTCTTCCTAGACACTGAGCTAGAAATGTTATGTTCTGGGTACTTTGCATATACAGTTGACCCTTGAACAATGTGGGTTTGAACTGTGCAGGTCCACTTATTTGCAGATGCTTTTCAGTAGTAAACACTACTGTACTTCATGGTCAGTGGTTAGTTGAACCTGTCGATGCAGAGGAACCACGGATACAGAGGGCCGACTCTAAGTGATACGAGGATTAACCCCTGTGTTGTGCAAGGGTCAACTGTATTAGAAATTTCTAGGTTGGTGTTAGCTACCATATCCAACCCCACTTCGCCCCTAGTTTTTGGGAAATTGGAGGAAAAATTACAGGAAAATTCAAAATGTTTATTTTATGATTATTATATTAACATTACTTTGTATACTGCCTTTGTTTATTAAATTTTAGAAAATCAATATTTCAAAAACTTTATGACCTATATATTGAAGAATGCGAAAAAGAGCCTGAGGTTAAGGTAAGTATAAATTTTTTATGTTATTACGACTTTTTAAATGTAGTGGAAGAGGGAAATTTGAAGGAATTAGATTTGAATGATTTATATTTTTGTTAGTGAACAAATATCTTTTCTAACCAGACTAGCCAGTTCTGCAGCTAAACCAGAGATCTGGCTAATCTGGCACCTGGCAGAGATCACCTACTTAGGTAGCAGAGGGGGAACCATGTTTGCTGAGTAACAGACTATCTCATTGGGAAGTTAGAAGAAGCAAAGCCACCATATATATTATCTTTTGCATCTTTTTCTTCCTGAGAAGTTATTTGTAGACTGAAGACAGGAGAAAATTAACCTATTTCTTCATGGTGAGTTGCACTGGGAAGTTAAAACTATTACAGGATATGTAGGAAATTTAGAAGTGATAATAAAAGGTGAATTTGGTCAGAAAAATTAGTTTATGCCCAGGTTAACTTAATTCATTTTTATTTAGCATGAAAGTATGGGCAGTAGAAATGTAATAGAAATTGATTTCTTGATATCTTTTGGACCCTCAGGTCATAAGGGCCTTAAAGGGCTCTACTGAGCTTCTGTTGTCTGTCTTTAAAAATGAATACCTCTTAGGCAAAAAATTAGTGGAATTCCAGTAGTATCTAACCTTTAAAATCTTTAGGAGAAGAATGATTGTGAAACCATGAGTAAATCTTATGGTATGGTTTTCGTAAATTCTATTGAGATATAGTTGACATACAACAAGTTGAGTATGTTTGAAGTATACATTTTATAAGTTTTGACGTGTATTAAAAAAAACAAAATTTGAATAAATTTGAAAATCTAATTGGTTTTATTAAACGATTCATGAATTGGGCAGCATCTCATCTGGCAGAGATACTCTGAGGAGTTGCACAACATGGAAGGCTTTTATTGTAAGGAGGGCAGGACAAGGAAAGAAAATCATCAGCAAGGAAAAAATGAGAGTTCATTGGAGGAAAGTAAAAGTGCCAGAAATGATGGCTTTTTGTTGGCTGAGCTACAGGTGTTTTCCATTGGCTGGGCTGCAGTCCTTTCCCATTCACTGAGCTTGTTGCTGGGAAGAAGAAAGTCTCCCTTCCCCTAGTTGGGGAAGTAAAGGAGTTGCATTTCCTGTTTGGGAGTTGAAGGTAGTTCTCTTCCTGGTGGGATCAGTAATGTCTTCCTGTTTGGGGTAATTGATGATGAGTGGTGGGGCAGAAGAGCTCCCTCTGCAGTCCTTCCCCACTCCAGTTTTAGTTGAGGTTTCCTTTTATTAATTTTCACAGTATACACCCACAAACTGTCACCACAGTCAGTATAATGAGCATATCCATTGCCTCAGAGACAGAACTAAGATAGGAGAGATATATAAATGAAGATGCTAAATTGGGGTTGACAGCCATTGTCCACCAGCCAGATCTGGCCCACAGCATGTTTCTGTAAATGACCTTTTATTGGAATACAGCAGCACCCCTTGATTTATATCTTGTATGTGGCTGATTTTGAGGTAAATAGAGTTGAGTAGTTGTGATACAAACCATATGACCCACAAGACTAAAGTACTGTCTGGTCCTTTAAGAAAGACATTTTCTGACTTCCCATCAATGTGGTTAAAAGTTGCTTTGCTTTGCTTTTTAAAAATTTATTTTCAAAATGCAGTTTTTTTGATTCTATGGTGACTGTAGATCAAGAATTTATAATTTCTTTCTGCATATGACTGTGTATATATATATATGCATGTTAAATATGATACTCAAAATGGATTTGTTTTTCAAATCCATTTTCAAATCCATATTCTATTGACATATCTTTCACAAATAAGATTTGATGAAAGGATTTATTATAGGTGGGTTTCATTTTAAATCATATGCATTTCTAAAATAATAGATTTTGATGTATGTGTGTTAGGTTCCCTGATAGTTTTTTGTTTTTCTTAGCAAAGTGGTTTCTAAGGAGCTGTTAAATTGAATTTACAGAAAATTACTTAAATTACTTACGTCCTTTTAACCAGTTAGATATTTTTGGGTTTAACATTTCAGCTGATTAGAGCTGTTGAACTTGTTTGGATCTAATTTAGGCCATAAAATATTTAAGAAATATACTCTGTAACAGTACAACCAAAGAAAATGCCCCAAATTATTTATGTAGATTTATACTTAATAGAAACTAATTATACATTATAGCATCTTTCTAAAAAATATTTACATTTAATGGTTTTCCTTTTTAAATACTTTTAATATTTGCTACTTGTGTACTCAGGTACATATTTAAGTGTGTTTATTGTTTTATATATAGATCAGTAGTTTTCTTTGTGATATTAATTCATTTACCTAAAACATAGTAATAGATCAAAATTAAGTTTACACAGATGTGGAAGGAGTATCAAAGATTAAGTCAGGGGCTTCCCTGGTGGCGCAGTGGTTGAGAGTCCGCCTGCCGATGCAGGGGACACGGGTTCGTGCCCCAGTCCGGGAAGATCCCACATGCTGCGGAGCGGCTGGGCCCGTGAGCCATGGCCGCTGAGCCTGCGCGTCCGGAGCCTATGCACTGCAGCGGGAGAGGCCACAACAGTGAGAGGCCTGCGTACCACAAAAAAAAAAAAAAGATTAACTCAGGTCTGATTTTTGTTAAATGATTGCATTCTTTGTTATGCTGGATTATTTTCATGAGCTCTGCCTCTTTTTAAAGCAGAAATTAAGAAGAAATGTGAACTTGTTAGAGAAGCTTGTTATGCAGGAGACATTGTCATGTTTAGTGGTCAACCTATACCCAGGAAATGAGGGATATTCTCTGATGCTCAGGGGAAAAAATGGATCAGGTAAGAACTTCCGGAGGGCAGCAGCCACGAAAATCCCTCTGCTAGGTCGGATGTGCTGTCTTTTAGAAGTAGTTTCTTAACCTGCTAAATGATCTGTCCTTCAGATCAGTGATGACTTGATAAAAGAAGACTTTGATTCCAAATTGTTCTCTTTATGATGTTTTGTTAGAATATTAGAAGTTACCTCTAGTGTGATTAGCCTTCTGGAACTTGAGAAGTATTCTGACTGAGGTCTTTGAAGTTAAATTATAAAAGACATAATTTTAAAATACTTGTCAAAGTTTCCTTTCGTTCTGTTGCTATTTATTTAAGATAGCATCAGGTGTTTTAAGGTATGTTTTTCTTCTGTGCTTTGAATATACTTTGAGTCTGAAGCTTTCAAAGTTAAGCAGATTCACTGCCTTTTGAAATGTTTTCAACATTTTATTCCTATTAATGTGAATATGAAAATAGAGTTTTAAAATATAAATACTCTTAGATTTCACTAAAGAGGCATTTAAATTTTGATACAGTGATGAAACTATGAGTTCTACAAGGAACTTACCTAGTTAAGAATTTTTTCTTGTGTTGGTTGTTAATTGTATAACACCAAGAGAATTTGGGTCTATAAGTAGTCATTTTTCAGAAGTGATACCAGATTACCCCTCTGACTTCCAGATTAAATTAAGCACTCTTCAAGGAACTTTTTAGTTAACAGATGTTGGAATTTTATCATATTCTGATTACTATACTGCTGGCTGTGATTTGTACTGTGATTGTTGTGCCAGACGTTTTTCCATAGTATGTTAGGTGTTTCCTCCTTTCTGCTCTAAAACTGTATACAGTTTATCAAGTTTTTTAGCAATATATAAGGTGATTTATTTTTAAGACTTAAATAAAGAAGGACTTTAGGAGAGCTTTTGGCTTTATTCTCTTTATTTTTTATCAGAAGTTACTTAAATTATTACCTAGGCTTTTTGGTGAGGCTGATCACTTTCTGAAATTTTATGTTCTAAAATTAAGATTCTGAGACCATTCGACTGCCTTATGAAGAAGGGGAATTACTTGAATACTTGGATGCAGAAGAATTACCTCCTATTTTGGTTGATCTCCTAGAAAAATCTCAGGTACAAAATTTTTCTCTTTAAAATGTCCTTAGATTTGCTAGATATATGTTGTTTTGTGATGAAGGGTATTTAGTTGTATTCTCACTAGTGCATGGAACATGAAATGAGACATTGTACATAGCTATATGAAAATTGGTTTATTGTGGGATATTTATCCTTTAGGCTCTACTGAAATGTTTAGATTTAGTTGATTCTTCTAAAATTGCTATAACAATTAACTCATCCACTGGAAATCTCCCTATAGCTACAATCAAGAAATTATGAAAGAAACTGCTTACTTTCTTGGCTTTCCAGCCATACTATGGTAGTTTACTGAGGAAAAAGAAGCCATCAGATGGGAACTCCCATTTCCTCCCAGCATCCCTACATCTCTGTCCACACTTTCTGCCTGCCTTCCTGTTAAAATGGATGAAATAAGCTGTTCCTAAGGCATCTTCTCCACTTTATGTTCTGGATCCTTCTCCTGGTCTTGCAACTTTAACCTTCCTCTCTTCTATTATCTATTTTCCTCTCTCTAGTAGATAAAGAATATAAGCATACTGTACCGTCTCTCAGCTTCTAAGAAAATCCTTTCCTGTTCTCATCTTAATTGGTCTCTTAGCAAAGTTCAGTGTAAATAACTACTTCCTCCTTGAAACACCCTTCTTTTGGCTTCAGAGACATCACCTTCCTGGTTTTTCTCTTCCCTCTAGTCTTTCAGTCTTTTTTGCTGTCATCTCTGTTCCCCCATAAATATGTTCAGGGTTCAGTCCTAGGGATTCTGTTCTTTAGTAACACTCTCTCCCTGGATGATCTCAAACAGCTTAATGAGTTTAAAAAAATGACAGTTAATCCGTTGCTTATCTCTATCACAATGACTATCCCACCAAGCTCCAAATATACATATTTACTGGGATATAGATTAGGTTCTTCAGACTTACCATGACAAAACAGAGCTTTTTATTTTTACCTCCCAAACCAGTTCTATTACCAGTCTTTCCAATCTGACAGATAACTATACTCTCACCTTTCACATTCAGTCCACCAGCAAATGTCATCTGTACCTTCAAAATATATGGTCATGACCTTCTATAGTTACCTTCCTGAACTTCCTGTTTTCATTCTAGAACCCTAGAAATCAGTTTTCCACAGACAACCAAATTAAGCTTACAAAACAAAAACAGAAAACAACAACACCACAGTTCCCTGTCTGAAGTTCTCCAGTGTCCCCTCAGTGTACAAAACCCCTGCCTTTCTGTTGGTCTTCACCTCCTGGTTCTTATCCCCACTCACTACACTCCAGCCGTCCGGGACTTCTTTCCATATTAAAACACACCGAGCTTATACCTGTCTTATTCATCTGCTCTTCTGTCTGCTCTTCTCATCTGTCCCAGATGTCTGGCCCTTTATTGTGATTCAGGTCTCAGCTGAAAATTACTCCCTCAGAGAGTTCTGTCTGAGCACACAGTCTAAATTAAGCCCCTCCCTATTTTATTTCCTCTGTAGCTTTCACTGTCTCGTTACCTTGTTTATTTGTTTACATGTTTATTGCCTGTCTTACCACACTGAGCAAGTATCTCACCACTTTATCTATGAAGCTTCTTGATAAAAATGACACACAGTTCACATTGTAGTGTCTCAGTAAATGTTGGTTAAAAAGCATGAGCATAATAATGACTGACAACATGGAGGTCACAGTACCCACTAAAAGTTCTGAATGGTGAAAACACACAATACCATAAGCGATTGTGGCAAGTGATAATTAGCAAGACTTGAGTGACAGATTCTTACCTTTGGACTTAGAAAAGGGATTAAAAAACAGTATCTTTAACAGAGATTATTATTTGAATTAATGTTAGCTTTCTTCCTCTTATTAGTAAAGCCTGTCTTCTGGAAATTTTAGCAGAGCAAATATAGCAGTTGTATCTATAAGCTGAAACTCTGGCATGGTTATTGACAATTTATAATAATGACAGGGTTAGCAGAGTCCAACAGTGAGCCAGTGAGTGTCAAGAAGAAAAGCAGGGACTTCCTGTCCTGGCGGTCCAGTGGTTGAGACTCCATACTCCCAGTGCAGGGGACGCGGGTTCGATCTCTGGTCAGGGAACTAAGATTCCGCAAGCCTCATGGCACGGCCAAAAAAAAAAAGAACAGCGATACCAGTGATCTGTAACATTAACAGTATCCAAATGCCAGATGTCATGCTATTACTAGCAAACAGTTAAACAGTGTTAAACTGCTTCTTGAGTCATGATGAACATAAACAGTTGCTTTTAAAGGGTTTATATGGTGGTAAATCCACCAAGGAATTCCATTTAAGAGTGTGTGAGTGGTCAGAAACATTACATAAGAATGTAAAGAACCTGAAACATTCAATATAAACCCACTTATTTAGGCTTCTGAAAAATGACATCTACTTATATATTTTCACTCAAAACAGGTTAATATTTTTCACTGTGGATGTGTCATAGCAGAAATACGTGACTACAGGCAGTCCAGTAACATGAAATCTCCTGGTTACCAAAGTAGGCACATTCTCTTACGTCCAACAATGCAGGTAAGGAATGTTTAATTAAGAAATATTATTTCAGATTTTATTTGGAGTTTTACTTATTAAATGTCTTCATATGTTTGTATGCCTATACATTAATCTGTTTTTTTAACTTTTATTTCTTCTAGACTTTAATCTGTGATGTACATTCAATAACAAGTGATAACCATAAATGGACCCAGGTTAGTTCTGTTTTTTAATCCCAAACAGTAATATATAGGATGAAACAATATTTACTAAGTTAAGCAAAAGATATTTTCTCCTCATAATTCTATTTATGAGTAAAGTTTGGGATTGATTTATGAGCTTTAGAAGTTAAGGGTCTCTACAAAGATGCAGTAATCCTTCAAGGAACTAAAACAGTTCAGTCCCAGTTGCTTTTAGGGCATAGTATAATAGGGTGAGGCTGACCTCACCCAATTGAAACATAGTTTTGTATCCCCTCTCAAACAGAATGTTTTGTTGTGGATACAAATAGATGCTGATTTTCTGTCATCTAGGATTCTAAAGCAGACCTAGCTCGTCTTGTCTTTTTGCCATCCATACTGGTTGTAGCCCTAGGGGACGTCTCTTACCCGGAGACGTCTCTTATCCGGAGAATAGCCAGTTAGTCCTCCAGTGCTGGCTCAGTATATGTGAGGTGCCCGCTCACAAGAGTGTTCACTTATTTCTCTGTTACTATAAAGAGGTATAGTTAAAGTAAAGAAAATATCAATAATGAGAATTATTCTAGCTGTGAAATATGATTATAAATTAAGATTCAGTTCATCAGTAACTATCAAGTGTTGTGTTGTAGTTTGGGCTGTAATCTTTTTGTTTACAAGAAGGTTAAAAGCTATTAAAAGAATATTCAAAAACAAACTCACTGGTCATCATTGGAGGTTCTTAGGGCATTGATTTCTTACTCTGAAGATTGGTAAATAATGGGAGAGACCAAAGCCTTTATTCTGCCTTTTCAAGGAAAATTCCTTAGAAAAATTTCAGCTAACAAGTGTAAAAGAAATAATAGACTTTTTAAAATGTCATCAACTTGGAAGTCTTAATGAATCTAGATGGCTGTATTTCTTAGATGTGAAAAACGTATAGTCTGACTAAACCGTCTGGTGTAAAAGTGGGATAGTCAATCCTTGTGTTCCTCCTTGCGTGGCGGACGAGAAAGTATACAGTAGTACTGTTGAAGAGCTCTTGTTTAAAAAATAGAACCTTAATTTAAATCAAGCCTCTACATCTAACCAACAGTTTAAAAGTAATTTATGGAGTAAGAGAAACCATTAAATGACATAGATGAGGAAGCAACCAGCCAGACCCAGTTAAATGATACGCTGAGGAAGCAGTTGCTCAAATCCCAACAAATCAGTTGCATGAGAAAAGAAAAAAAGATGGGGGAAGAGGTGATCGTTACAGATTTTTTTTTTTTTAATGTTTGAGAGATAAAAACCGAATACAATGTGTAGGCCAACTAAGAATACACTTTTGAGATAATGGGAATTTATCTAGACTGGATATTAAGAGGTCCTTAGCAGTTAGCAGTGCAGCCTGAAGGATTTTTCAGATGAAATAATACAACATCGAAAATGTATTTAAAATTACTAGAGGAAAACAAAGAAAAACAAAAAAAAAAGAGGGGCGGTTGTTGAATAAAATAGGGTGTTGGTACGTGGGTGTCATTATATTTCTGTTTTGTGTATTTTTGAAAATTTCCATAATAAGTTGAGTAGACATAGTGAAAGAAGCAATGTTTCTTTTGTTTTTTTTTTCTTTTTTCTTTTTTGCGGTACGCGGCCCTCTCACTGTTGTGGCCTCTCCCGTTGTGGAGCACAGGCTCTGGATGCACAGGCTCACGGGCCCAGCTGCTCTGCGGCATGTGGGATCTTCCCAGACCGGGGCACGAACCCGTGTCCCCTGCATCAGCAGGTGGACTCTCAACCACTGCACCACCAGGGAAGCCCGCAATGTTTCTTTTTTGAAAAAATTTTTATTCAGCAGTAATTAATTGATTCATTTGACTTTTAAAAAATTGAGTTAATAGCCATTAAAATATTTCAGCGTTTAAGCAAAAAAAAAAAAAGAAAAAAAGGATTCAGTAAAGTAAGTTAAATGATACTGATAAAAAGCCTGTATAAACTTTGGAATTGGTGTATATAGTTTATACAGTATTAGTGGAATCATTTTTATTCTTGTAATGAAGTTAAGCTGAGTATAGAATGGGACTGTTATCTCAATTAGTGAAAGTGCTGTCATCTATCTTGGTCCTGTAAGCTTTGTGGGAACAGAGGATTTTATCTGTTTTCTTCATGATTTATCCACCCCCCCCCCCGCCCCCGGTCTAGAACAGTGTCTTACACATTGTAGGTGCTTAGTAAATATTTGTTGGGCTAATGGATAGGCAGTCTTATAATTTGACCACTTTGTACCAATTACTGAATTTCCATTAGTAGTTTCATTATGCTGTCAAGTTTCTAAAGTTTACACATTTAGTTTGGAGCTTGAAATACTGTATTTTACTGTACTCCTTAGCAGAAATATTCCAAGGAATATCTCTAGATTAAGTGATATGTATGATTTGAAAATCTTAAATCTGGTGTTGATGTATGCTCTTACATATTTCAGGAAGACAAACTTCTGCTTGAGAGCCAACTGATTCTAGCTACAGCTGAACCACTGTGTCTTGATCCTTCTATAGCTGTAACCTGCACTGCAAACAGGCTGCTCTATAACAAGCAAAAGATGAACACGCGCCCAATGAAACGGTAATTACCTTTGTGGAAGGATAAACCAAAAGAGAACTAGAGCGGTAGCTCTAAATTTTGCCATTTATAGTATCTTTTCCCTTTAAAGAATAAATGTGCTCTAATTTTTTTTTTTTAATATTTATTTGTTTATTTATTTGGTTGTGCTGGGTCTTAGTTGCGGCTCGCCGGCTCCTTGGTTGCGGCTCACCAGCTGCTTAGTTGCAACACGTGGTCTCCTTAGTTGTGGCATGCGAACTCTTGGCTGCAGGATGCATGTGGGATCTAGTTTCCTGACCAGGGATCATACCCGGGCCCCCTGCATTGGGAGTGTGGAGTCTTAATCACTGTGCCACCAGGGAAGTCCCTGATTTTTTAAAATTGGATTTTTAATTGTCTTTTAATACTTTTATTGTGTAAGAATTAGGATTTTTTTAATATGTACTCTGCTTTATACTGAAGTGATGCATTTTCTGCATTCTTTTGAAGAACAAACTACCTATAAATTCAGAGTTTGTTCACCAAAAAGATAGAAATTCTGAGAAGAGACAGGTATGAGCAGAAAGAATAATTTATCACTTTCTAATACCAGTTTAATTTTTGTTAATATTACCTTTAAAGATACAATTTATAATTTCTTTTAGAGATCTGGGAAAATGATCACAGTTTGAGAAGTCAGTTTCTAACTAAATGCCTTTTTATAACATGTTAATTTGTCTTAGAATGTTTTAGCTATCTCTTCTAGTTAATAAAGTAAAAGAATGCATATTAATTCAGACTGCAGTTAAGAATGCATATTAATTTGGTCTGCAGTTATAGTAGGCTCATCATTAAGTTATCTTTGCATAATTGTTTGAGTTGCCCACTTTGGATCTTCTTCAAGTTTGAAGGGGCTGAAATAACCTACCCATTTTCTAAATTTCCTGCTTTACTATGGAAATAATATATTCTGGGGAAAAGGTGCAGCTTTGGAAATAGTGAAATAAGTCCATATAGTATCCATTAGCAGTCCTATAAAGTCTCCTAGTATCTCTGTCCACATCTCTCCACGCCCACTGCCAGTGCGTTAAGCCAGGCCACCATCATCTTCATCTTGACTTCTGCAATAAAATCCTTCCTAACTGGTGTTCCTACTTCACCTTCGCTTGCTTCTGGTCTGTTCGCCATATAAGCAAACCACAGTAATGTTTTGAAAACCTCAAAGCCGACCATGCCACCACTTGCTTAAATTCCTCTAAAACCATCCCATTGTACTTCACATTCAGTCTAAACGCATTATCATTCATCTGCAAGGCCCCTGCCTTGCTCTTTGACCTCATCTCCCATTGTGTGGACCCTGATGCTCTAGTCCTCCCTTCATTTTTCTGTTTTAAAAATAAGCCAACTTTGTTCCTGCCTCAGCACCTTTTAAAATTCTCTCTCTCTGCTTCAACTGTTCCTTCCCTGATCTTTCCACAGCTTGTTCCTTCTTGTCATGTCTCAGCTCACGCATCATTTCTTCAGAGTCCTTCCCTTCCCTAATGTTGCCCTCTCTATCACGTATTCACCACAGTACCCTGGTTTTTCTCCTACTGCTTATTGTTATCTGGAATGATCTGACCTGTTTACTTGTGTATGTGTGTCTTCACTTCTGGACTGTCAGCTACGCGGTAGCAGGAATTTTGTTAGTCTTGTCCATTTTTATTTCACCAGTGCCTAGAACATTCCTTGGCAAGTGACAGTGTTCTACAGATATTTGTGATTTAATTACACATTTAACACCTACTAATTTAAACCATGTTTATTCTGAGTTTCTTGTATTAGCTTTGTGTAGTTCTAATCTCTTAATATTTCAGGTGTTTCAAGAGATACTCCAGGTCCTCTCTGAATCGGCAGCAGGATCTGTCTCATTGTCCACCTCCTCCTCAGCTAAAATTACTTGATTTCTTACAAAAAAGAAAGGAAAGAAAAGCAGGTCAGCATTATGACCTCAAAATTTCTAAAGCAGGAAACGTAAGTATATATTTTTAAATGAAGCTTATTATTATACCAAATGCCTTGCCTTATTTTCAGTGTTCAGTGTATTTATTTATACTCTTTTTAATTTTTTAGTGTGTGGATATGTGGAAACGGAGTCCCTGTAATTTGGCCATACCTTCTGAAGTGGATGTAAGTCAGTGCATGAATTGCACGTCCTTTCATGTAAGGTTCCTAAGTTTGACTAATAGTAGTTTAAACTTTGGGAAAACAAAGACTCTTACTACTTCTTTTTTTATTTTATTGAATGAAAGATTCTTTAAATTCTGTAGTGCTTTACAGTTTTCAGAAGTTTCACACATGTGATTTTATATAATCCCATAATAACCCTTTTTTTCCCCATTACCCCTATATTGCCCCTCCCCCCTTCCTTTTCCCCACTGGTAACCACTAGTTCATTCTCTCTGTTTGTGCTAAGACTCTTCTTAAGTCAGCTGCTCATTTTCAGAAGCTATTCTATTTTCACATTAACTTGTCTAAAAATGTAACTCCTTAATATAGGTCTGTGTTTAGAGCAGGAATAATAACCAAAGTATTTCAAAATGTGTAAAAAGATGGTACATATTACATAATATGCATAAAATGACTGATTTTTTTCATAATATTTCATCATAATTTCCTGATAATGCTTTTCTCACTGACTAAATTTAAAAATTAATAGTATTGGAGCAGTAGCCAAGATTAGGAACCTTGGGTGGTATTCTTTGCTGGCCCATGAAACACATGAACTATAAATGAGCAAAGACAGGAAAGAGATCTTTTGATGGGAGGTTCCATATTTCTTTTGTTTCCCCATTTCTCCTATTTTTATTATTCACTCAATTCTTTAGAATTGGTCAGTTATTTTAGCAGATGTTTGCTCTGTGCATCCTTCCCAGGCTAGCACATGTATAATTCTTATTACCTTTGATTTTTTAAAAATTGTCAGAAGCATCACAAGTACACTGTATATACAGCTCAAGAGAGTAAGCCACATTATCTTTTAGTAACTTATGCGCCCCTCAAGGAACGCGGCCTGAGAAGAGATATTTAGTGTAAATACCAAAGTGTGGGATTTAGCTTCGGAGGGCAGTCTGGATATCTAAAGCAGGGCTTCCGAAACCTTAATGTACATAAGAATCACATGGGTTGCTTGTTAAAATGCAGGTTCCAGTTCAACAAGTCTGGGCTAGGACTCAAGATCCTGCAATAATGAAAAGCTTCTAGGTTGGTGGCACTGGAGTCCACAGACCACGCCTTGAGTAGCAAAGCCCTAATAAAAAGTGTCTCAGCCTAACTCGATCAGTTGAAGCATCTAGGATACCAGTTAAACATACACACTTAAACCCTCATTTCAGACCTGCTTACTGAATCAGGTCTCCAGGGGAGGGATATGGGAATCTGAATTTTTACCAGATGCCCAAGTGAATCTGTTACTCTTAGAATCATGGTTACCAGGAAGATGAGAACTTTGGTTCACACAGACTGGTAGGAGATACATGGAATATATGGTTCAAGTCTGACTAGAAAATGGGAAAGATTTACAAAAATTTTTACCAATCCTAATGTAACTTCCCTAGTCTCTTCCTAGTTTTGTCCACACTGTTACATGACAATTCCTGTTCCATTAGAGACCCAGCCAAAGGAAATGATCCAGATCCTGGTCCTAATCACCTCGCTGACATCCCAGTTTTCCTAAAAGTCAAATGTAATATCACCTTACGGAACATAAAGAAGAGGCACTGTCCAAAACAGCAGCTGTGCTTATTACATTTATTTAATGGCAAAAGAGATTCTAATTTCGTTTTATTTATAAAACCAGTTGGTCTCATTGAATATATATCAGGAGAATTTTAAACTACTTAAGCATAAGTAGTTGGTGTTATTAGCGATTCAAGAATTTTTGTGCTAAAAAGTATAGTAACTGAAAGTGGGGTCTGGCTGCTCACCACTTAAAAGACAGTAAAGAGGCCAGTTTGGTGGAAAGGAAAGTTTGCTTTATTTTAGATGCCAGCAGCTGTGGGGGAGAGCAGACGCCTGTCCAAAGGCCAACTACTGCTCCTGACAATCAGGGAGCAAGAGCTTCTGTACACGGAGGGAGGGGGCTACATGCAGAAACAGTACAGTCAGCTCTGACAGTCGTCTTGAAATTGGTCATCAATGGTCTGACCAGCATCTCGATTGTTTTAGGGACAGTTAATATTCACTTCTAGGGTCAGTTTGTTCCCATTTCTTTGAGGCTAGTTCTCGGAATCTTGGCAGCTTATGGCATGGCTACAGCCTGGTCATCATGTAGTTGACTCCTTCCACCTGGTGGGGTTACAGTATCTACAAGACAGCTCACAGGATAGGGCTCAGAGTATTATCTATAGCCCTTGAGGAGGAACTAAAGGGCCTTGACTTTGCTCCATTACTAAACTATTATTTGGTCTTCTTAACTGTTTTCCTTTGTTTCTGCATTTTCTCACTTCTCTGATTAAACTTATTCTTTGGCTAAAGTTTTTCCACAGACAAAAGCAGGGGGACGGGGCGGGGGTTGGGTTGGGGAAGGGTCCTGCCCCGTTTCAGTGTATTGTATTAAGTTACTTAGGTTTTTCTCTTTGGTCATAATACTGATTTCATTTTATCTGATGTCTCTTGATTTGATTGCTTAGGTGGAAAAATATGCCAAAGTGGAAAAATCTATCAAATCTGATGACTCACAACCAACAGTGTGGCCAGCCCATGTAAGTAACCATTGCAGTCTCCATTTCTAATGATGCTGTTTCTAATCTGGGATCTGAATTTATTAGACATATAAAGTACAGTAGCCTTTATTTTGGTATCTTCTTTTGTTTGTTTTTTTAAGAACTTTCTGGGAGTTTAGTGAATTAAAAAAAGGAACAACAATTTAGTTTTGTTTTTCATAAAATACGGTTTCCATTCTAAGGACGATTTTAATGCATAACTGCATTTTTACTTTTGTTTTGGTCCCCTGTTGGTAGTTCTGATTTGTTTTCTGTTTCAAATTAATAATAAGTTATTCTAAGGATATCTTTAAAGAGAAATGTTTTGTGTATGTTTCTCTAATTGCAGTGACTTCTTAAAGGCATATTTAATTATGTGGCATAATTAATAGGCATAATTAATTATGAATCTAGGAGTGAAATGAGAGTTGTTTTTTTTTTAAATTTCTTTTTGGCTGTGTCGGGTCTTAGTTGGCGACACGCGGGATCTTTGTTATGGCGTGAAGGATCTTTCGTTGCAGCACACGGGCTTCTCTCTAGTTGCGGCATGCGGGTTTTCTCGCTCTAGTTATGGTGCATGGGTTCTGTAGTTAGAGCGCGTGGGCTCTGTAGTTTGCAGCATGCAGGCTCAGTAGTTGTGGCGTGCAGGCTTAGTTGCCCCGTGACATGTAGGATCTTAGTTCCCCAACCAGGGATCAAACCCGCATTCCCTGCATTGGAAGGCGGATTCTTTACCACAGGACCACCAGGGAAGTCCCGTGAGAGATACTTGGTATGTGCAATAGCAAAAAGACTAATGACAAATGGAAACTGGTTTGCTTTTGAAAGTTTTATCCTTTTAGTATTTAATATTTGCATTCATATGTTCAGTATATGAAATTCTGACATTTCACTAGGGCTTTGTTAACTAAATATCCCATTGAAACTCTTGTTCCCAGAGTACCATGTTGAAAAAAGAATCCTGAGCTTCTTTCCCTTAGGCTTTTTTCTCCTAAATAGGTCTAAGGACTACGTTCCATGTGTCTTTTTATTGCAAGATGTAAGTTAGTGTGTCATTTACTCCTGATTTGTGTTAATTCTGACTATGTATTTACTGGAGAAGGTATTTATTTGGGATGCTCGGTCTTTTTCAGGATGTAAAAGATGACTATATATTTGAATGTGAAGCTGGTAATCCATATCAGAAAACAAAGCTGACCATTTTGCAGTCACTTGGTGATCCACTTTACTATGGTAAAATACAGCCATGTAAAGAAGATGAAGAGAGTGACAGTCAGATGTCTCCATCCCAGTGAGTTCTGTTAAATACAGGCAGTTGACAAAATAAGCCATCAGAATGTATTTAGCAACTATTGATGAACTATTAATGAATAAAAGTTTCCCTGTTTTGTTAGTTAAATACTCCAGTTAGATTTGGCAGCAGACCTAAGTAAACTTAAATTGTAGTTACCTTGCTGTCCAAGAGTTCTTTAAAATAATAATTTCTTTAAAAAACAAAACCAAAAAAACCTGTGCTGTAAATTCTTCTTATATTTGCTTTGAAAGATATGCCCGTCATATCCCTCTTGGTATATTTATGTGTTGCCACTTATGACTTTTACCTCTCTGTGAGCATGAAGTGCTTCCGGGTAATAATTTGTTTAAATGGGAAGCAAGTTTACTGTAACTTAAATGTAAAAGCTGTAAAAAATGCTTGATATTTCAGCACTACCTGTAAGGACACAGACTCAGTGCTTAATGTAGCTACTGGCTCTAGAAATACATATATAGTTGTCCCTTGGTATCCACAGGGGATTGGTTCCAGGATCCCCTTGGATACCAAAATCTGCAGATGCTCAAGTCTCATATCAAAATGGTGTAGTATTTGCAACCTCTGTACATCCTTCCCATGTACTTTATCTGGGTTACTTACAATACCTAATACAGTGTAAATGCTGTGTAAATAAGTAATAAATACAATTTAAATGTTACGTAAATAGTTGCCAGCCCGTGGCAAATTCAAGTTTTGCTTTTTGGGACTTCTCTGGAATATTTTCCCCCCAAGTATTTTCATTCCATGGTGGTTGAATCTGGGGATGCAGAATCTGCAAATATAGAGAGCCAACTGAAGTTGATATTCCTAAACTTACGGGCTACATGTATTTACTACAAGGTACCAGTATTTAGTTTTGTTTTCCTTGTTAGTTTTATTATTAGTTCTGCTTTTTAATCAAGTCGATGCTGTTTTGAAAAGAAGGAAAAATAAAGAGAACCTCAGCAGAAAAAAGTAGGGGCCAGCTCTATGTTAAATCCTTACAAAATACTAATTTAAACTATGGCAGAAAAATGGATTTTAAAGAGTAACCTCACCAATACCTAAGTAAAAGTCAATGGGAGGAAACAGCAGTCAGGGAATCAATCCTCAGCTTATTTTTTCACATTAGCAGTTTTTATTTTTGTATGCTAAGTAGAAAAATCAGATATTTCGATTAGCTGTATTTTGTAGTCTTCCCTTTAAAGATACACGTTGGTCATTTTAAATAGTTACTAACTTCTCAAACACAAGGGCATATGTTCTCTCATTAAAAAAATTGTTCAAAAGGCCAACTGATTAGATTTGTTTGACAAGAAGAGAATTGAATTTTTTGCCTTTTACATCAGGACGTTGCTGCAGAAATGCTGCATGGTTTATTACCTTCTAGTCCTTCTCCCATATTCATAAATTACTTGATTTAATAGCTATGAAGTCAAAGTTTGAGCTGCATTAACCAAGTTTTTTCTTTTTTTTTACATTTTATATTTCAGCTTCTCCACAGATGATCATTCAAATTGGTAATTAAAAAATAAACAAACTCACTATTTTAATACGTTAAGAAATCATATAAATGTCAAACTCTTTTAAGACTTGATACAGACTTTTTATTTAAATTGGCGATAAACCATCTTCCTTGTCTAAAATATATTCTAAGGGCCTACTATATAGACATTAATAATGTCTTCCAAAATCAAAGGTTAAAGTGAGAGGAAGGCCAAAGGCCTTGTACATGGTAGTTCAGTGAATATTGCTGTAGGACAGACACTTGTGAGGGTGTATAGCACTTGGTAACTTTCAGCCCAGATTTTGTTTTGAAACATAGGTTTTCTGCCAAAGTAAATCTTTAAATTAAGTCAGCCAACTTATTCACAGAATTATTTTGTAATGCATGCAGAACTTGGTCATTGCTTCCTATTTTTTAATGTATTTTAAAATTTGTGTTTTCATGATATCTTGGTAGATTTTAATTCAGTTTATAAAATTACTGTCACTAAAATATGGAAGTCTTCAAAAGTAATCTCAGGGCTCCTTAAAACAAGTCTATCTAATACTTTTCTTTTTTAAAAAACAATTTAGGTTCATTATTGGATCAAAGACTGATGCTGAGAGGTAAAAATATTTGCATCTTTATTTGTGATCTGGATGGATTCTTGTAGGGTAGAGACTATTCCATTCGAAGTCAAAGCTTTGATTTTAATTATGCCTAGGTATTACTAGGATTTTTAAATAGAATTAGGAAAATAACAACTAAAAGGATAATGTTTAAAATGTAGCTTTATTTTAAATAAGAGAGCTTAGCTATATCTACAGTAGCTAAGGAAAATGATTTCTAGGTAACAGTTTAATCAGAATATAAGTGAGAGTCAATGGGTAGTTCTTTTGGCTACTTATTGGTGAAATAATCCCTGTAATTTCTGTATTAGAGACAAGATACCACAAGTATCTTTAGATTGTTAATTAGCAAAATGTTTTCAGCATTAGCTTGTCATTGAAAATATTAGAAGAATGTGCTTTTATCAAAGATAAATTGTCTAATTTTAATTTTTGTGTTATTTTTGATAGAACTTGTTTCATTAACAGTTACTATTCATTTCCTATGTAGTAAATTTATGTTTAAAATAGTTAGCTAATCATTACCTGTTTTCCCCCTAATATTTCAGAGTAGTCAGTCAGTACCAGGAACTGGTCCAGAACGAAGCCAAGTGTCCAGTGAAGATGTCGCATAGCTCCAGTGGCTCAGCGAGCTTGAGTCAGCCTTCTCCAGGGAAGGAAACAGAAGTGTGTTTGCTTAGCTTTTTTTGTGCTGTTACTTTTTTCTGCCTAATTGTTCTCAAGTAATCTGAGAAATGTTAAGGACTGTTTTATGAGGGATAGGGGTATTGTTTAGTTTTGTTTTTACTTTTGATTTTCTTTTTATTACTTAACTTTTTATGATGGAAACTTTCAAATGTACACAGAGGTAGAGCAAAAAGTGTAATGAACATCTGTGTATACTGATCACCCACCTGGCGTCAACAGTTACTATTTTTCTGGAGATGATTTAAGGGTGAAGCTTTGCTGCCATCTTACTCTGCTCTTCTCCCTCAAACCTTCTCCCTACCTTATTACTCAGAAATCTTTCCTTCATCCTGTGTATACTGTAAGTTATCTCATGGATCTCCTTATGTGGAATTACATTTTTTTGAAACACCTCTAATACCCAATCTATAAACATTAAACCTACATTGCAGTTTTTTAAACCGTGTTTTCATCCAGGAGTTATAATAGTGTTACTAATTTGTGAATTTCTGATTTGACCTTAATTTTAATGAGTATGCTTAATGTCACTGTCTTAGCAGCCCGAGACCCTGTCAGTTCAGTCTTCAGTATTGGGGAAGGGAGTAAAACATCGACCTCCACCCATCAAACTTCCCTCAAGCTCAGGAAATAGTTCCTCAGGTATTACATTCCTTAGTTTTTTGTAATCTAGAGTAAGAAACAACAGATGATCGTAATCCATTTACTCAAATTTTGATTTACTCAGAATTTTAAATTGTAAATCTGGGAAACAACGTATATATTTTTCTTCTAGGTAACTATTTTACACCACAGCAGGTCAGCAGCTTTCTTAAATCTCCAACTCCTCCTCCTGCTTCTAAGCCACCAAGTCTTTCTCGGAAGTCATCCATGGATCTCAATCAAGTTAGCATGCTTTCTCCAGCTGCCCTGTCACCTGCCAGTTCATCACAAAGTGAGTCATAACTTAAATTCTTCATTAACTCTTCGTAAGCTTTTGCATTAGTGTTTCTTAAGATGGCTCTTTTTGACCAGTGAAATAGTGAAATCTGAATGTACTGTCTACCCAAAATGTAATTTTTTGAGAAGCTTCATGCCAATCTCTTGTTGACTGTATGTATTACATGTTTATTGTAATTGTATTTGTTTTTCTGTATTTATGTATGCACCTCGTGTATACCTTTCTTATAGACTTGCAACCTACACATCTCCTGAAAAAAATAATGTGGTAGTTAAATGTGGCAATGAGTCCAAATTATTTTTTATTCCAGTGTACCCTTGGGCATTTTATGTAAACTATGCAGCTGATATGGAAAAAAAGTCATAAGAGTTGTTGCTGCAGTCTTATCTTTGTAAATGTAAGAAGCCAACTAGTTCCAAGGTGGTGATACAGTAAACTGAAAGCTGATTTTTCAATAACACTCTTACACTCCTACAAATTGTTATCAGTTAGTAAAATGTGGGATGATCATAAAGCATCTGAAGATATTAAAATGTAATTTTTACTACTGAATACTTTTTTTTTTTTAACATCAAGAAGAGTTATTCAAGAATTCTAGCGTTAGTTTGGGAGAATTTCTTCAAATTAGTAAGTATCTGAGATATTTAGGTACCAACTTGCAAAAAAGCATTCCAGTTTTTTAGATTTTTTAATAAATAACTAATGTGTGCTGAAAGTTTTAGTACACTGCACAGTGACAGGGTGGTCTTTGCATTAGATGTAAACATCTTCATCTTGATAGCTCAAAAGGTGTAATTTTTCTGCCTTCTTGTTTTGCACAAAGAAAAATTTATAAATTTCCTGAAAGTCTTATTCACACTTCTTATGTTGTGGGTATGGATTATGTTAATCTACTGCACACAGTTGTTACTTTAAGTAAGGGTTGAGTGACAGCTTCTGGACATTCACATTTCTTTCCTTTCTTTCTGCAGGACATGAAAGCTAAAAAAGAAAACACCTCAAGAGCTTTTGGTTTTATTTTTTTGGTTTTTGTTTTTTGTTTTTATTTTTTTTAAAAAAGTTGATAAACTGTGCATACTTCATTCACAACAGATTTTCTATACATTCTACATTTAAACAGAAGTACACAGTTACTGTTAAAGATGCAGTATTATCTCTCAAATATTTGCTTCATTACTGTGTTTTGTAAAATTTGTGAGGATAAACTTGATGTGTTAGGAATTAAATATGTATATCTAGGTGCCAAATATGATTGTTAATCATATGTAATTTATTAAATATGTTCAGAGTTTATCTCAGACTGTTAACAGAAAATAAGCAATATTTCTAAGTGAAGTCCTAAATTGGTGAAATCGTAAATAACAAAAATTAATTTGAAGTCCTTTTAAACTTTATAGGCCAAAGGTAGCATGTAGGAAACTAACTTTTAAATGGGTATTGTGATAGAATACAAACGTATATTTTTACTGTTACTGTAATAGCATCTCTGATGGGATTTGTAGGTGATATACTGCATCCTTAATTGTAATTGAGTGTAGCAACACTCATGTATCATGTGTAGAAATTAACACTTGCAGTTAACTGCTTTAAAAAAAAACTGGAACAAATTGTCAGTGCTAAATAAGATTCCATTAACCTTATTTTAAAAAGGACTGGCCATTTATAACAAACTAGCAATTTTTATTTTTCTCAATGAGCAGGATCTGGAACTCCTAAGCCATCTACTCCTACACCAACCCCTTCATCGACCCCACACCCTCCTGATGCTCAGAGCTCAACTCCTATTACCCCTTCAGCTACCCCTACTCCCCAAGATTCAGGCTTCACCCCTCAGCCCACTTTGTTAACTCAGTTTGCTCAGCAGCAAAGGTCTCTGAGCCAGGCAATGCCTGTAACAACCATTCCTCTTTCCACCATGGTAACATCTATAACTACAGGAACCACGGCCACCCAAGTCATGGCAAACTCTGCTGGACTTAACTTCATCAATGTAGTGGGCTCTGTTTGGTAAGTTTGCATTGATGCCCTGATTTTTTTTTTAAGATACTGTAAGCAATCTAAAGAAATTCTTATTTGTGAAATTAAGAACAAACTGCATATTATTGAAATTGAAAGAAAATAGTTTCTATGTGGATAGAAGCTATCTCAACAAGTATGTTTTAATTTTAGGTGATCAATCTATTACATGCACTAATGATACTACTACACATTGACAGTGGCTTAGATTTTCCTGTTTATCCTCTGTTTTACCATCTTTTAATCCATTGATTAGGACATTACTCTTCCAAATTATATTTTAAATATATAGTACTTGATAAATATTCAGTAAATATACAGTACTTGATAAATATATAGTACTTAATTGATAAATATACAGTACTTAATTTTTGCCAACCTTGCTGTCACTTTCTAGCAAAAAAATGAAACTAAGCCTCCAAATTGACATTTAAGACAGAAATATCTGTGTGTGTTTAGTGGTTTGTTTTTTAATCCAAGGAATTATGTGGCTGATTTTCCCTTTTATAGTGCTAGTTTAATGCTCTGTCTTATTCTCCTGCAGTGGAGCTCAAGCTTTGATGAGTGGTTCAAACCCTATGCTGGGCTGTAACTCTGGTGCCATAACTCCTGCAGGAATAAACTTGAGTGGCCTTCTACCCTCAGGAGGTCTGCTACCAAATGCATTGCCCAGTGCAATGCAGGCAGCTTCTCAAGCAGGTCAGAATATTAGAAATAATAACCTCTAATAAAATTAAAGTCCATGCTTATGTAAAAATGCCATTTTAATGATATTATTTAACATCCTTATTTTATGAAGTATTATGTCGGAAGTATTTCCTTTCAAAAGCTTTAAGAGTTCTGGTATTTGAATTAAAACCCATCTAGCTATGAACTTCTCTGTGAGGAAACTTGGTAAGCCTGTAAGTCTCTGCAAATTTTATCTTTACCTTCCAAAGATTATTATAAAAGTAACTTTTATAATTGTCAGTGTAGTCCTGTCCCAGGTAAAAGAAATGTATTTTGAAAACCATATATATGAGCAAGAAAAGCAACACAGCATGGCATTTAAAAGCCTCAGTTCTGGAGCCAGACTGCCTGATGTGAATCCTGCTTGTGCAGCTTACTCTAACTGTGTAATCATGACAGAGTTACCTTTGTGCCTCACTTTCTTCATAAATGTGGATAATAATAATACTTTACCTCAGAGTTGTGAGGATTGAATGAATAAATACAGATGAGATGCTTAAACTATGCTTGAGATGTGATAAACATTCAAAAATATTTGCTGTCATCATCATTAGTAGTAGTTTTCTTGCAGTAGTAGTAATAATTATAATTACATATACTGAAAAAGAGTTTTAACAACTTGTGCTTTTTTTTTTTAATTTACTAATTATTTGGTTGCATCAGGTCTTAGTTGCAGCAGGCGGGCCCCTTAGTTCTGGCATGCAAACTCTTAGTTGAAGCATGCATGTGGGATCTAGTTCCCGGACCAGGGATTGAACCCAGGCGCGGAGTCTTAACCACTGCGCCACCTGGGAAGTCCTGACTTGCGCCATTTTTTAATGCTCTTTAAGAGAATGTATTATATCTCAGAACAGTTCGATTTCTTACTACTGAGAAAAAAATTAACAGGAAAAGTAAACTCAGCATAGTAAGAAAAACTTATCTGAAACTTTCTATGAGTTAAGAGAAAGAGAACCCAAAGAATATAATTTAAACATGTTAATATATTGCTGTGATTTTCTAATTCTAGCTCATATTCTTATTTTAATATGTATAAATATGCTCTAGTGACAGAAGCCCTGGAAATGGAATCAGTGTTGAATTTAGGATTTTATATTTACATATAATTCTACCAGTTACTTGTGGCTCCAAATGCTAACTGTGGGGTCTGAAAGCATTCACTTAATTTTTCCACCTTAGCCTGAGTTTCATATGTTCTAAAATGGGAGTGAAAATTTCTAAATTCATTTGGTACTTATGAGAAATAAATGAAGTGATATGAAAGTGCCTTTAGAAAGCTATAAAGCATTATACAGATGTCATCCACCTTTAAAGGGAGTATGTCTTCTTTTTTTTTTTTTTATGAGAATCCTGGAGGGAATATCAGTATTGTCACATTTTTATCTGATTATGCATTTTCCATTTCTTATACAAGACTTTCATACTGTCATCTGTGCATTATTTGCTCTGTATCTTTTTTAGTACAATTATCTGCTTAGAGGACTATATACATTTTTAACTAGTGTTCGAATTGGTATATTTAGTAAGGAAAATATATACAATACATACTTTGAGACTGGGATCAGCAAACTATAACCCACATCTAAGCAAGAATAGTTTTACATTTTTTTTTTTTGTTTGTTTGTTTTTTGTTTTTTTTTTTTTGCGGTACGCGGGCCTCCCACCGCTGCGGCCTCTCCCGTCGCGGAGCACAGGCTCCGGACGCGCAGGCCCAGCGGCCATGGCCCACGGGCTCAGCCGCTCCGCGGCACGCGGGATCCTCCCGGACCGGGGCACGAACCCGCGTCCCCTGACATCGGCAGGCGGACTCTCAACCACTGCGCCACCAGGGAAGCCCAGTTTTACATTTTTTAAAGTTTGTTTTTTTAAAAAAAGACAAGAGAGAGTATATGAGAGTCTCTGTGTGGCCCATAAAGCCTACTGGAAGAGTTTGCCAACCCCTGTTTTATGATGTGCTCCATGTTGTGTCACAGATTTTGGGGAATAAGTTCAGAATTAACAGCATCGTTTCCTGACTTTCAGCTTGATCCTTACACACAAAATTCAGCAGCGTTCTTTAGCATTATTAATATTAGCATTTGTACTTTAAAAAATGGCACAGGGCACACTGCTTCTCAGAGATAGGGTTATTATCATATGCTGTTTAGCACTGAGGAATATAAACAGATGCCAGTCCCTGAAATGTATTCGCACAACAGTGATAGTTTTATTATATTTATGGTGTTTGAATACTGCTAGATTACTTTTCCAACCAACAGTCAAAATAGTTACAAAGAAGCCTCAGTTTCTGAAATACAGATTATAGTGTACATCGGGTGCTCACATCTTTGGTATTGATGAAAATAGGGAGTTTTTTGCTTACAAGAAATTTTTAAAGTATAGAAAATAAGCACATCTGTGCAGGAAGTACTTAAAGTAGTATATTTTTATATACTAAAGTATAAAATACTTTCAAGTATAATAAAGTTTTAATTCTCTGTTTTAACCACGAGTTTTATTTAATAGGTGTTCCATTTGGTTTAAAAAATACTTCAAGTCTCAGGCCCTTAAACCTACTCCAGGTAAACCTGAAACACTGCTTTTTATTAAAGTTTTTATAGTTTTTGTTTGTTTGTTTTTAACCATGTAAGTTTGTACATATCAGCATTTGAAGTTTTGAGGTTGTCCAGAATCTTCTAAGGGTGTGGTTACCTTTGCATGTTCAAGTAGATAAGGGGAAAGAATTGGTATCCTATGTACTGCACTTTCATCGGCTCTGGCACCACTGCCAAATCAAGAACTAGTTCCAGAGGGGAGAGTTGACAACTGGAGGAAAATAACTTGCCTACAATAGTAGCAGCAGGTATACTTAGAAATAATTTCTCACTTAACAGACTTTTTATGTATGCATGTAGGTATTGCTGTTTGCTTATAGTAGATTTTCTGTGTGAATAGAAATTTTTAAAATTAGGTATGTGTCTTCTTTTCCTGAGGAGAATGTGACTTCATGGCACAGTGCCAGGCACCTAGTAGTCAGTCAATAAATGTTTGTTAGATTACAGTTTGTGTCTAGTAGTGAGGCTTTTCTTAACACATTTTATCAATGTTAACATATAAAGAGAGATTGTAGGTAAAGAATTTAGTACATGTTGTGAACTTATAATATTCTGAGTGTTATGCTAGGTCCTTTAAGGATGGAGTTCAGTATTAAGCTAGTAGGTTGGAAAATGGATGGGATTATCTACAGAGAATTTTTAGAAAAGGTAGACATAAATATAAAGACTTGGAGACAAAGAATGGCAGAGCTATGGATTATTGGGAAATAACAAACAGATCAACCCAACCTGATATTCAGAAGTAATAAATCAGGAAATACATTTAGAACTAAATCTTAAAACTTATTTCCTGTCACAATATGCAAACAGTGTCAGTATTTACAGACTAATTGCAGAATGATCTAATTGTGTTATGGACACATTGGTTTATTTAGCCAACTTTCCTGCATTTTGCTGTAGGAATTTCTACAAGGATCAGTCTCAGTGTTAAGAGGAGTGGGATTCCTTAATAGCACTGATAATAAGGATTAAGGGCAAAGCCACCTTATAAATTATATTTTGCAACATTTATTACTGTCTACCTAATTGAGGAAGGAACATTTGACCTGTGCTTTGTCCAGGTTTACCTAACAGTGAGCTATGCTGTGTATAGAGCTTTTGACCCGAGACACCTTTTTTGACTATAAAGACCTAAGAGTTCTGTATTTGATATTTGCTTGGACTTTCCCACAAAACTTCAAAGTGCTTTTAACTTAAACTCCTGTAGAATAAAATGGAAAAACCATTTGTTTCCTGATGCATTTGGAATGCATAGTTTTAGTTTGTAGTGTGGAGTTTTCTGGATGATGCTTTTTTAAAAGTTTTTTTTTTAATTAATTTATTCAGAATGACAGAGCAAGTAATGTCTCCAAACTAAATATGGACATCTAATGCATTTTCTTTTCAGCTTTGGAATTCCTAGCTATGTTATATAAAAATCCATGCATTTCTGGTTTAGGGCAAAGCTAGACCAAATTTAGGGAGACAAGTTTTCTTAATATATATCTGATTATCACTAGCTTCTTGTTTATACTTCCAAATGCATTTAATGCTGTTTTGTGTTGATGTATAAAAGGAGTTAAATAAAAGCAGTATGTATATTTGGATAGCTAACTATTAACTTGAAGCAGAAAGACTTACATTGGAGATCACTAACATATTTGAGAGCCAAAGTAACAGCACTTAAAAATTGTGTTTAAAGCGATTGTTCCTTTTTTTTAAGGGCAGGAATCTTGTTTTGTTTCCATTTTTGTTCACCTATTTCCTCAGTCCCTGGAAGAATGCCTGACACATAGTGAATGCTCCAGAAATGTTTGTAGAATAAAGAAATTTAATCTGAAATCGGCTAATTAATTCTTGCTTACTTAATAGCTTCCAGGTGGCTCGCTCATTTTTAACACACTGCAGCAGCAGCAGCAGCTTTCTCAGTTTACACCACAGCAACCTCAGCAACCCACAACTTCTGTTCCTCAACAGCCAGGGGAGCAGGTATGTCCTTTCTACCTTCCATATGCTTTGTATCATGGAATTATAACCTTTTTTGGTATATGCCAAGCATATTTCAAGTGTTTTTATTTAGATTGTTTGAACCAACTTTTCATGTGCGGTTTTTCTTCATTAACAGTAGCAGCTATCAGTTATAGGGTGCCTATTTCTAATTCTCACAACCGCCATACTTGAATAGATGTGTCACTTCCATCTTGCATAGTCTGAAATAGATTCAGGTGACTAACTTGCTCACAACCATACATCGAGTGGCAGAGCAGGGATTCAAGTCCAAGTCTTTCTGCCTCTATAGGCCATGTATTTTCTACCCCATCATCATCCTTCTTTTGATAGTATTTTGTCTCTATTAGAATACAGATGTTCTTTTTATCTTGAAGCATAAAACAGAGCGAAGATAGACAAAAACAAATACTTTGTATATTGCCAAACAAAATGAAATTGAACAAGAACTACAGTAAATTAAAGTAATAGAAGGAACTTCAGATTTTTCTGAACCTTTGCTGCACTTCGGAATCATCTGGGAAACTAAAAATTACTGATTGCTGAGTCCCACCCTCATTGTTTCTCTTAGTTCATAATTAAATATATGTAGTGTTCACTATCAGTCCTTCCACCAAAGATTCCCCAGTCAAATCTTGATTGGATAATGCTCATCCTCTATTAGATTTCTCAGGAAAGGCACATTTAAAACTATTTTTCTTTATTAACACATAAAGGATTACTTGGCTGGATATAAAATTCTTGATTTGCACTTTCTTTACAAAATTGTAAAATACTGTAACATAAAATTTACCATCTTAACCATTTCTAAATATGCAGTTTAGTAGCATTAAGTATATTCATATTGTTGTGCAGCCAGTCTCCAGAACTTCTTCGTCTTGCAAAAGTGAAACTCTATACCCATTAAACAACTCCTTATTTCCCCCCTCTTCTAGCCAACTTTCTGTTTCTGTGAGTTTGACTACTACTCCAGGCACCTCATATAAGTGAAATTATACAGTATTTGTCTATTTGTGACTGACCTGTTTAATTTAGCATAATACCCAAAAGGTTCATCCATGTTGTAGCATGTGTCAGAAATTCCTTTTTAAGGCTGAATAGTATTTCATTGTATTTATATATCACATTTTGTTTATCCATTTATCCATCAATGGACATTTGGATTGCTTCCATCTTTTGGTGGAAGTCTGAGTTATCTTTTTTTTTTTTTTTAATGAATTGTGCTTTAGGTATTAAGTCTGAGAACTCCTCACCTAGCCCTAGGCCCCAAAGTTTTTTTTTCATAGTTTCCATTTAATTCTATGATCCATTTTCAGTTGATTTTTATAAAAGGTATGAGACTTTGGTCCAGGTTCATTTTATGGGGGGATATGGATGTCTATTTGCTCCAGCACCATTTGTTAGAAAAGCCATCCTCCTCAACTGAATTACTTTTGCACCTTTGTCAAAGATCAGTTGGCTGTGTTTGTGTGGCTCTATTTCTGTATTCTCTACTCTGTTTCACCCATCTATGTATTAATATCTGTCACTCTGTTAGTACCATACTGTTGTGATCGCTGTAGACTATGTATATATATACACACACACATATATATATACACACATACATATAGTAAGTCTTAAAATCAGACACAGTGATTCTTCCCATGTTATCCTTTTTCAGAATTCTTTAGCTGTTCTAGATCCTTTGCCTTTCCTTATGCATTTTAGAATCATCTTATCTATATCTACAGAAGACTTTGCTGGGATTTTTAAAGGAATTGAGTTAAACCTAAAGGTCATTTTGGGAAAGGCTTAGCATGTTTACTATGTGAGTTTTCTAGTCCATGAACACAGTGTGTCTCTAGGCTAAAATCAGCTAGTTTTCAGCATACAAAACCTGTATGTTTCATAGATTTACACCTAAGTTTCTTTCCTTCTTTCTTTCTCTTTCTTTCCCTTCCTCCCTCCCTTCCTTCCTTTCTCCCTCCCTCCCTCCCTTCCTTCCTTTTTTTTCCCATTCTTGGGAAATTGTTAATGGTATTGTTTTTAATTTCGTTTTCTACATGTTCATTGCTAGTATACAGAATTGGTTTTTGTATGTTTATCTTGTGTTCTGCAATCTTACTGACCTCACTTATTTGTTCTAGAAGTTTTTTTGTAGATTCGTTAGGGTGTTTTTTCCTAGATAATCAATGCCATTTGCAAATAAGGGCAGGTATTTTTTCTTTTTAATCTATATGCCTTTTTGTTTCCTTTTCTTGAATGTGCTCACTAGAAGTTCTAGTACTATGTTGCAAACAGTGTTTTAAGCTTTAAAAACTTGTTCTGATGAAGCTTTATAGAAGCAATATAGAAAAAAACAAACAGCCCTATCAAAAAATGGGCAGGCCTAAATAGATGAAAAGGGAGTCCTCTTGCACTGCTGGTGGAAATGTAAATTGGTGCAGCCACTATGGAGAACAGTACGGAGGTTCCTTTAAAAACTAAAACCCAAGCTGCCATATGATCCAGCACTCCCATTCCTGGGTATATATCCAGAAAAGATGAAAACTCTTATTTGAAAAGATACATGCCACCCCCATGTTCATAGCAGCGCTGTTTATAATAGCCAAGACAGGAACAACCCAAGTGCCAGCTTAAGAAGATGTGGTATATATATACAGTGGAATATTAGCCATAGAAAGAATGAAATACTGCCATTTACGGCAATGTGGATGGACCTAGAGCATATCAAACTAAGCGAACTAAGAGCAAGACTAATGTTATATGATGGCACTTATATGTTGAATCTAAAAAATAATACAAACCAATCTATATACCAAACAGAAACAGACCCACAGACACAGACATAGAAAACAGACGTATGGTTACCATGTTGCAGGGGTGCTTAAATTAGGAGTATGGGATTACCAGATACAGACTATTATACAGAAAATCGATAAGCAACAAGGATTTAACATATAGCACAGGGAACTACCTTCAGTATCTTGTAATAACCTATAAGGGAAAATAATTGAAAAATATGTGTGTGTGTATATATATACAACTGAATTACTTTGCTCTATACCTGAAACTAACAATATTGCAAATCAACTATACTTCAATTAAAAAAAAAGTTCTGATGAAGTTTTATAGAAGCCTTAGTAATTATTTTTAATACAGAATCAGTTCTCAAAATTAGGTTTTATTTTCTTGCTTTCAAAATACCATAAGCTTATTCTTGCTAATTCTAAATACCTTTGACGTCTTTTCCTTAGGCCATTCTTTTTGCAAGACCTAGACTAATGTTGATTTTTTTTTCATATAGGAGTAAAATACTAATTCCACCAATCCAAAATTGTTTTTATTTTTGTACAAGTCACGTATTATTTTTTTATTCAGGCTTCTGAACAAAGTTGTACCAGTCAAGAACGGGCCTTATCTGCTCAGCACACTGCAGTTATTAACCTTGCTGGAGTAGGAAGTTATATGCAGTCACAGGCAGCTGGTTGGTATCTTCATAACTAAATATGTTGAATTTATTTAAAGTGTCTAATCTATTTGGGGTCTCACCATTTTAACTATTTCTTTTCCTTGTGCAGACAGTTACAAGGAAAAAATTGTATTTAATGTGTGAACTATTAAATGGATTAATTGATGGCACTCAGATTTTTTTCATTATTTTGATAATTGATTAAAGTGCTTTGACCTACATATATTAACAGCAGTTAATGTTTTCCTCATGTTAAATTTTGTTGGGAAAATTTTACAGTTACCCAACTTACTAGGAAGCTTCTAAAGCTGATAGCTCTTCAGTTTTCCTGGGTTATTGAGACTGCATTTTTCCAGATTGCACAATCTTTTGTCTCGTTCCAGTGGCTTGTAGTTGTATGAATTAGGACTTAATAGTCAAGTAGCTTAGCTTCTGTAAGACACTTGTAAAAAAATGATTGTACTAAATGATTGCTCACCACTTCTAGTAATAAATGGTGCACCAAAGATGTATGTTTAATGAAGATCATTTCATCAATTGAAGATAGCAATTATAACTACATTTAATTAAAATCAAGAAGCCACATGTATAAGAAAACTGAGATACTGTTTGAGGATTAATGAGTGAACATGTTAACATTTTGAATTATCATTGGGCTTATTATGGTGCCTTTAGAATCTGGTATAATTCCGTGTCCGAATTTGGAATAATTTATGTAACGTTCTAATTTAGAGGCAGTGAATTTCCAAATGGAAATTTATTAGTATAAACTTTTACCCCACAAGCTATTTTTTCCTAAAATAGCTGTAGTATAATTTAGTGGAAAGAACTCTAGGCTGAAAAATGAGAATGTTCCTAGCTCAACTTGCCACTAATTACCTTTGAGTCACTCAAACGATCCAGGTCTGAAATGTCCTCAACTGAGTAGTGAAAGAGTTGAACTTGTCCCTGATCTCACTCAGCTCTAAAAGGTTCACCACCTTTGTTGCTAATAGTGTAGTCTGACGTTCATCTTTTAGCACTTGTCTACCAGTTTTGTCCTTATGGTAGTTTGGATTTCTCCCACTCCATTTCCTACCTGATTGGTTATATTTTAAAATAACATACTGTATTCAATGTTTTGCTAGAAAGCCTTCTCAACAAAAGAGCACTAGTATCAAATTTCATTGAGATGTAAGAAGAGAGAGGGATACAGTGCTTTGGCCCACATGCTTTCCCTTCTCTTCCATGTCCAGGAAGTTCTATCATCAATGGTACCCTCAACTAACAGGAGACTGTACTAAATTTATTCTGAAATGTCTGTGATTTGATACTTAAGATTAATCATACTGATACTTTTCTATTATTTCATTTTCTGTGTTGTCCTTTTCTAACCCTGGTAGCCTTCAAACTTTCTGACTGGCCTGCTTTCCCCTTCTCCTCTCTGTAGTGTTGTCTCAGCTTGGCTCTGCCGAGAACAGACCTGAGCAAAGCCTTCCTCAGCAGAGATTCCAGCTCTCCTCTGCCTTTCAACAGCAGCAGCAACAGATCCAAGTAATCCAGCAACTTCACTCTGGTTACATTTTTAAAGATACTCTGCTCCAAAAGTACTTCAAAATACCTTACTTTAGTTTTATGTTACTGTCTTTTAAGACTATACAGTAATTGGTAAATAATTTAGCAAATTTTATTTAAAAGTCTGACAATTTTAGCCAGTGAACTTGGAGCACTGAATATTTTGTACATTTAAGTCATACTCTTTTCCTAATTCAAAATCTTTCCTGAAGTGCTGGTGGCACATTAACATACATTTTTATAGGTTTCAGTACATTTTGAAATAGTTTTAAGTGCCAATGGTTAACTTTTTAATACTGTACTGCAGAAAAAGGCAAGTGTACCAGTGTTCCTATTTGTAAATGTCATACCTGTTTTTGAAGAATGTTGTTCCATTATTCTAGAAGTCAGCATATTATAGTTGACTTTCTTTAATTTGCAGGGTGGTTTTATATTGCTATAAACTATCATACAACAAAATGGTAACTGAAGTTGCTGAGTTACTGCAATATAGACTGGCCAGGCAAAGTAACAGAAATACTTTTGAAGTTTACCAAGAGCCATTTTTAAAGCCCGCAGCAGGCTTCTGTGCCACTGGTGCTGTTTGACTGTGCATTGTCCTGATGTGGTATAGTCCTTTTTTGTTACCTTGGTGCTTTCTCCCTTTCAGTTTTGTTGTTTTCATCACTCTCAGGAAAAGCATCTTCCATACCTGCCTACCTTTAACCTAACTTGATTTTTTCCCCTCTGCTTTGCAGCAGTTGCGGTTCTTGCAGCATCAAATGGCTATGGCGGCAGCAGCAGCAGCACAGACAGCTCAGCTACATCGTCATCGGCATACAGGCAGCCAGTCAAAAAGTAAAATGAAGAGAGGCACGCCAACCACTCCAAAATTCTGAGGCTTGCATTTTTTTTTTTTTCAAAACGTAAGAGCATTGAATCAAAAGGATTCTGAGTTTCTACTTCGTTTTTGTTTTTTAACGTGTCAGTATTTTACATTGCTAGATATACAAACTTTATACAGAAGCACAACCCTATGATTTTTAAATGAAAACAGGGAAATGGTTTAACGAACCATTAGGGTGGGTTTGCCTAAGTCATTGCTTTTTAAAAATGGTTTCACTGTACATAATACAGAAGTGACCTAAGAAATACTAGAAACATCTTTCAGAAGAATGTAGTTTGATATTTATTTAGTATAAAAGGTTTGTGCACAGTGTAACAAATACAGTTTTTACAAATCTGTTTTGAAAATGTGGTGGTTGTTTATTTGGGTTTCATACTCTTAAATACTTCATCCATCAGTTTTTTTACTTCTTTGTGTCTTGTAACTGCTCGGCTCATACAATCTTGAAGTTTAGCTCCAGTCAGTCCACTTCCACCTGAAAAAGTATTGTGCCAACACTTATTTTTACATGATCTACATCATGTCAAGTTATTGACATAAAACCAAAAAAGTGAAAAATATAAACCAGTGGTGTGGTCTCAAGATTTGCAGGTTTATGTTTTAACAAGACCTCCTGAAGTTTAAGAACCACTGACATACAATATAAAAATGCAAGGCATCTGAAGTAACAAAGAAACCACATAGTAAAATTTATATTACGTAAACCAGTAAAACATCCCACATTCCATTTGGCCCTCCCTAACATAAAGAAGCTCATGCTGAGTTTTCATCTACGTGTTTAGTACTGCAATGGAAGGAAAGTGCGTGCCTGGTTTGTGAAGACAACATAGCTTGCCTTCCTCGTCCATTACTACTGTTAAGGTTCCAGTTGCCAGGTTTTCCTCCTCTTCAGTAGGGTCAACTATAAGCAGAGTGCTATTTTAAAAATGAAAAGGTATAAATTATCAACCCATGGGACAAATTTTATTTTAGAAAACCGTACAAATTAAACTCACTACCTGCATTTTAGCTTAAGCAAGGATCTAGAACTGGTAGAAACCAGAAAAGTTAACAACTGAAATTCTACTACTTGTAAGAATCTTTGTCCTCCCTTCAATTAAATATACAACCTTTTAATACATTTGATTAACTTACTCATCAAACACAGCAAAGGAAGTTGCAACTGGATGAGTTCTAATATTCAAATAACTTTTCTTCTTTAAATTAACTTCTGCTAAAGCAGTTTCTTCATTTATAGTAACTTCAGGCAACTGTACTAGAAAATGGCGAATATGTAAAGTCAGTCTCTCACTCTAGTGAAAGAAACAAAAAGGCATTCTATGCTTCATTAATTCACTTTTCCCTCTATTAAACTTGTCCAGAAGTAGTATTTTTTAAAAAATATATCTTAGAACAATTAAGGCAAATACAGTAGATACAAACACGTTTTTCTTTAATTTAGAAACACATGAATGATAGGTAAGTCTTAACAAAAACCTTTAAAAATTTATTGAGAAATTTTACCAAAACAGAACATTCTGACACGTAAGTAGGAGTATTCCCTAAGGTTGCTTACCATTTTTTAAAGCTGCTAACAAAGCAAAGGTGCAAGCATCCAAAATGTTTCCATCATGGTTGAGGCAAATGAGATCACAGTATAGAACCCAAGCAAGCTAAAACAGTTTAAACAAAGTGGAAATTAAAGCCTTCTGATTGCTATAACGTGGTATTTGTTTCTACTTACAAACCACACCCTTGGCTAGACAATCAAGATAACCTTCAAGGCTCAGAAACTTTAAAAAAAAAAAATTAAATTTCCCCCACAAAAAAACATTTCAGAATTAATAAAAGCTCATAGTTTCTTTATTCCTCTTACCTTTCCTGGAGAGATACACAAGTCCTCTTTCTGAACTACCTGTGAACTTGATTTGAAGACATAGAACACAGTAAATAAAAGTTCAAAAACTCTCTAAAATGAATGATAGTCACATTTTATCATAATGATCTTACTTTTCAATGACATCTGCAATGAACTGGCTGGCCACCTGGGCCTCTTCTCCAGGAGGTCCAGACCGAAATCTCCAGGAACACAGAGGTGATAGATCCACATTAGGAACTGAAAGAAACTGCAGCTATGAACCAAATGTCACCTCTCGTTTAGTTTTAAAGATAATATCAATCCATGGCAAAGACAACTGTAGGCATGGATAGGCTTTCCAAGTGGAAAGCATTGTAACACATCAGTTATATTCTTTTTCATCTCTGTGAGAATCTTATGCTTAGATAAAATTTATTTTTTCCCACACAACCGCCCCGCCAAAAAAAAAGCGTGTGTTTAAGAAACAGCCTTAATCCTAAATTATTCACAAAAGTTTCTGGGTTTCTTTCAAAATACCCCAATCTGTAACAGTAAATAGCCCCTCTATTCATACCAACTGTTCTGCATTTTTAAAATGTTGGTTCCTACCATAAAGAAAAGATGGTCCAAGTTAAGGGAAAAAATCACATAGTGGTATAAAGGAAATATGGAAACAGAAAAGTTTGCAATTACAGCCCTTTGCCTAAGAGAATCTATTTTCTTGGTTGATGACATCTGTATAAACCAAAAGTGATCAAACAAGTTTGATAAAAGGTATTTACAAAATTCTGTATCTTGCTATTATGCTATCTTCTAACATAAACATACATAAAACTTTTCAGGGACGTCTGAAGCTTATGAATAATTTTCTTCAACTCACCTACTAAGATTTAACTATAATAATAGTGTTAACTGTCTTAAAGTATTTGTATTAAATTTATGAAGGCATTTAACTTACCAACATATCCTTTATCAGGGGCATCTGTTGGTGGTGCTCCAAATTCCTACAGAAGCAGACAAATGTTTCCTATGAAAGAAGCTACTAAAAAATTGTGAAGAAGTCAGTTATGGAAGGCTCTACCAAAGACCATCTTAGCTAGTTAACTACATCATGAGCATCTACTGGGAAGATGAGCTTGGGAACGTATGTCAGGGGCTCTAGGAACATTGGACCACTCCTCACCAGCTCTGCAAGGCAAGAAGGCAGTGTAGTAGCACAGCTGATGGTAGTGCTACTCATCAAAATTACTTGGGGCTCTTTAGATTTCTGTCCTACCCTCTCTCCCTAAGAGAAAGAAAATAGATTCTCTTATTCAGTAGCCAAGAATCTGAATTTAAACTCCAAGTGATACTGACAGTCAGATTTAGGAATTGATGGTATAATGGTCAAGAGCAAAAGCCCTAGAATTACTGACCTAATTCAAAAGTGAGACCCACACCTTTTGGCTGAGAGACTTTGGGCCAGTTATTGAATGAACTTAAGTAACTCAGAGTTCAGTGTAGTCGAAAAAGCAGAGGCTTTTGGAGTCAGTAATGTCTAAGTTCTATTTATGAGCCTTATGTTCCTGGACAAGTTACTGAATGTCATGTAAAATAGGAAATGAAGAAAGAAATACTTCAAATGATTATTATGAGGATTAAACTGGATAATTCTGGAAAACACCTAACATAAGGTGCCTGGAACATAGCAAATACTCAGTAAATAGTAGCTATTATTCCCTCAAGCTTTTCTTTTGAGCAATTTCTACACATTTGCACAGATTAAATGGCATCACTAGATAAAAATGTCACCAAAAATCTCTCAATTTCTCAAATTACAACCAAATTCTTTAAAAAGTAAAGGTGGTGAGGATTGTTTTAAGTTGTTCCATTTCAGCACATTTGAGAATGTTCATAAATTGTAATTAAGAGCCATTAAACTTGGGTTGTATTATCTAAAACTCAAAGGTGAAAAATTGGGAAATGAAAACAAATACTAAAAAACAGACACCTTATTGCCTAATCAACAGCAGAACTACAGGTGTGTATTACAATCTAATAAGTATATGATGCTAATTTAGTAACTCAAATCTTAGTAATATATACAGTAAACCTACCACTTTAATTCCACAAATTACTGTAGTATTTCCCAGCTTCACTAAAGAAGAACCATCTGCAGTACCAATTGAACCTGAAAAGGTAAGTATTTAAACAAAATGAAAAAGTGTTTTCGTCTTCTACGTATGATTCTATCTTGCTACATATCTAAGTTGTTTATGAAAATTTATTCCTTTCTTGAGTCTTTTTAAACTTACAGTTGACCCCTGAGCAACATGGGTTTGAAATGCACCTTTCCACCTATATACAAGGATTATTTCCAATAAATATTACCACAGTGCTACATGATCCACAGTTGGTTGAGTCTGAGGATGCACAGCCTCCTTACGAAGGAGGTTACGAAGCACGATCCATAACTGTAAAATTACGCTTGGATTTCTGACTGTGCGAGGGCCGGCACCCCAACACCCTCGTCGTTCAAGGGTCAGCTGCACTGGTCTAAGGATTGTTCATTGTCCCTGAAGTGAGTTAATCCTTTGTTGTTCAATCACAGGGCTGTTACAAAGATTTAAATCTCTTGACACAAAATCCCTTAGACACGGTAGAATTTGTCTGAAATACTGTTTAAATGGCTCAGAGGCTAAAACTTGGGAATGTCATATAGGTAAAATTGGGAAATTCCATGTTTGCAACAGAAGGTTTAATAAATGTAAGATATGTAAGAAAACCATGTCTTAGAAGTTTTGAACGGGGGAAAACAGGAAAACACTTTACAGTTACTTTAAAATTTAAAATGAGCGTAACAACTGAGAGGACAGTGAGTTTAAAAAAACTTTGCAAAGAAAAATTTAAATAAAAACTATTTTCAGAACTGAAGCAACTTCAACATTCTATTTTAAAACTCAAAATACCCTCACCTATGTTGACAGTTGTGGTCCTGAATTCACCAAGTTCTCTTCCATCAGGACGGCAATTCTCTTTCTAAATAAATATATGAAAGTAGATTACATCTACGTGTATATTTTACACACACCAGTGAAAATACACTAAACCTCGTTAATTCAAATTAATTTGAATTACTTGAAAATTTTTTAAAAACTGAGGTATAATTGTCGTATGACAGTTTAGGTGTGCAATGTAATGATTGATATTTGTATTTATGGAAAAAGCACATGATATCATTATCAAAAAGCAAAAAATGTACATAACCACCTTTACTTACCAAAAATCTTCTGTAATACTCCAGAGGTTCCACAGTTCTGAAACACAAGTTAAAAATGAGATAAATTAGTAAATCAATATAAATCCAGAAACTGGCAAAAATCTTAATAGTGTGGTGATGGAGCAGAAATCTCCAAAATTTGTAACTAAGTTTCTTTCATGAATTCTAACGTTTATGTTGCCACGTGTTGCTAATTATAAAAATTAGATACCTTTGCAATAACCATACTCAAAGGCTGTCCTTAATTTTGCTTTAAACAAGTATAGGGTTGGAGCCCCAAACCCTAGGGCATCTTTAGAAGAGGATTAATACAGGTGTGAAAATAACATCACTCACACTCTGAAGCAGGGATTCTTGGTGGGCAGGAAAAAGAAGTTACGTATTTTTCGCTATCCCGTGACTGAAATTTAGCATACTCTTCAATTACGACCGTTGGCAATAAACCATTAATATTAGCCGTACCTGCGACTTTAACAACCACAGAGAGTAAATGTTTTCGTTTTTACTTTAGAGTTGTCAAAGGTACCTGTAAGACTCATCGTTACTTCGAAATTCCAGGAGTTAGTTACTAACCTCCCCAGGAGATCTTAATTAAGAAAGTTAATTCTAAAACAGATGTATATCTCATTATACCATAAACTTAGAATTTATACAGATAACTGTTTCAGTACAATTGGTTTCCTTTGCAATCTTATTTCTTTTATTTAAAACTGGACTCAAAACGAAAATCTACAAGCTTCTCCAGAGCGGCAGCAAAAACGCTTAAGTAAAACCTTCCGAACGAGGAACAACGCTTTTAGAAATAAATTTCAAGGGAGAGGGAGAGCAGCGTGGCAGGTGCTTCTAACAGAACACTTTTCACGAGGTTACAACTGCTCCCCGGGGGCTGCAGGTCTACCACACACCAAGCCACAGCGCTCGCAGCGGGTAGCGAGCTCAACACAGCCCCTTCCAGCGCTCGCCTCCCCGACGGGAAGAGGCCCCCTTTCCTTTCACTACGACCACCTCCAGTCCTCCCGCTCGCCGCCCGCTTCCGTGGTGGAAAGAAGTGGGAACCAGGTGTGTGGGGGGGTCTCCTGGGGAGAAAATTACGGGTAACGGGAGCCGCCAACCGGCACGGTACGAACTCGCGCCCGCCAGCCTCCCACACTCACTTGAATCCGGCAGCCATCTTCCGCCCGCGCGTCTGCGTCTGCGTCTGCGCGTCTGCGCGTCTGCGTCTGCGCGTCTGCGCGTCTGCGTCTGCGCGTCTGCGTCTGCGCGTCTGCGTCTGCGCGTCTGCGTCTGCGTCTGCGCGTCTGTGTCTGCGCATCTGCGCGCCTGGCGCGCGCGCGCGCGCCGCCGCCGCCTGGGTAGCACCGCCCCTTCCTCCGGCTCTACGGCCCCGCTTCGCATTTTCAACACTGACGCCTGCGCCCTTCTCCCGCTGCCGGGTATCTAGAAGGCAGGGTGGAGTGGGCGGAGCGGGCGGCGTGGGGAAGGTTTCCAGCCTGCATTTGCTTAGACTTCCCCTAGCCAGACGCCCCTCGAGGTTTCCTAGACTTTGACGCGTTTTGACGAATCGGCTATTACAGAAGTGATGAGGGCCTGTTTAGAGACTGGTGGTTGAAGAGTTTCAGAGAAAACCGACCTTATATAAAGCAAAGAATCAGGTGTTGAGTGTGGAGCATAATTCCAGTGTTTCAGGGTCCTTTTCCCTTCTCCTTCTTATTCTGGGCCCTGGGCTTGCCTTCTCCCAGGTAAAAGCCTCCCTGCTCCAGCACCGAAGAATTACGTAAATTTTCTGTGCGCTCGTTTTCCGCACCAGGTTACATTTACAGGTGCCGGGAGCGGGCTCCAAAGGAGCAGCTTTTGTTGTATCCTGTGTCGTGGCTCAAGACCTCCATCTCCTTCGTATAAAATACAGGGCATCCAATTCAGTTTGAATGTCAGATAAACAAAAAGTACACCTAAAGTAGTTCGTGTTATTGTTACCAGAAGCTGGGGGAGAACTGGGAAAGTTTTAGAAATAGATGGTGGTGATGGTTGCAGGAAATTGTGAATGCAGTTAATGCCACTGTAGTGTACACATAAAGTGGTTAAAATGGGAAATTTTATGTTTTATCACAGTTTTTAAAAATTAATGTAATATACCAAAAACAAATGGGTGGGTTATATGGTCTGTGAGTTTTATTTTAATAATGCTGTTAAAAAACGATTCGTTGCCTATGTGAAATTCAACTTATGTGGACATCCTGAATTTGTACTTGCCAATTCTGGCAACCTTACTACGGTGGAACAGAGAGCCTGCCCCCCGCCCTCCCAAAAACGGACTGAGCGCCTCCCATACAATTACATATTCTTCGCCTTGCCGCGCGGGGGCGCTGTGGGCGGCGCGGGCTCCCGGGTCGTGGCTGGGTCTGGCCGCGGCGGCGCTGTGGGCGGCGGGCGCCCGGCTGGCGCGGTCTCTCTGTGGGTGGGAGGCGGGGCTGCGCGGCCGCACTTCCGCATGTGTGTAGGCGCGGGATAGGGCGGGCGGCTTCGCCGGCATGGAGGATGGCTCCGCTCCTGCTGCAGCTGGCGGTGCTCGGCGCGGCGCTGGCGGCTGTAGCCCTGATTCTGGTGAGGAGAGGGGTTGGGGACCGACGCGGGCCTGGACTCACTGCTCTCCGGGAGACTCGGGCCCCAGGCATCCTCTCCTCCGCGCTGCCGGCTCTTGGGCACCATACTTCCTCTGAGCCTTGACCCCAGAATTTCCTCTGCTAGAATTTCACACCCCCTTTCTTCCGTTCTTTATGTTTACTTTAGAGCTTTATATCCCTGCGTGCCCAGAGCCTAGTACTTGTGTTTACTGGGACATGCCCACCCTGTCTTATGTCACCCCCTGGTCCCCGGACTGTGCCCACCCGCCCTCTGAGCCCCGACCTCTCCAAGATTTCCTCCCGGGTCTGCAATCGCTGTAGTTCTGGCCCCATCGGGAAGGTCTTGAGCCCCCAGAAAGTGTGTGCTTTCTAGACACTCCCTTTCCTGGTGTAGTTAAGCAAATAGAAAGTGTTGACAGCACTGACAAGAGCCGTCTGTTACAGATTGGATAAATCAGCGGATCAGGAAGACCCACTAGGGACATAAAGGAAGACCAAGATAGACAAGGCCTGGTGTTATCATACGCCTGGGGGTCGTTATGTCCTAGAATTCAACACCCTAAGCTTGCTGCCTCTAGAAGAGACAGTACAGGGGAATTCAAACTACGATTTTCTTTGCCATTACTGTGGAAACACGGAAACATTGTAACACTTGCTGATCCATAGGTAATAGGAAATTTGTTAAGTGAACTTTCTCCCATATAATTGGAATGGGCCTGCCTCTAGTTTGTAAATGGAGCGTTTTCCGCTTCCTTGACGTTAAGGTTAGCAGCCTAGATAGCATTGCCAGGAAGGACACTTTGCCATCTGACCAGAATGTATGGCTTAAAAGTAGTGTAGATAGAGAAAAAGTGGTGTATCCTGACTTCTTTAGGGTTTGTGTCTGGGTGAGAGAGGAGTCCTCTCTTTCCCTTAGTAGTATATGGAGATTTGGGGTGGAGGGAGGTTTCAGGTTTTGGGTTGGGCAGAGCTTGACAGAATCCTAGACTGAATCTGCCTTGTGTTGACTGTGTTGCACAGATTTAAATGTGTACGTTATGAGATTGTACTGGAAGTATTTGATCCTATTAGCCGGAACTGGTTATAAAAGCTGTTATTTATTGAGTACTTACAGTATGTTGGGTATTGTATTCAGCATTCAACAGGGATTATCTCGTTTGATCTTTAAAACAGTGCTGACAAAAATGTTATTATTAGCTTCCTTTGACTGGTGAGGAAGCTGATGAGCTGGTATGCAAATGTCACCCAACTAGTGGAACTTTGTTTTTTTTTTTCAATGAATATATATGTATATTTGTGTATATATACACACATACACACACACACACACACACATACATACATGTATCTCCCCACTGTCTCCTCACCCCACTTCCTTTCTGAATTACTTTTGAAGCAAATTCAAGGCATAACATTTTATCCGTAAATCTTAAGCATTTATCTCCGAAGATAGGACCCCCTTTTTAAAATAAAACCACAATAAGGTTATTGCAGATTTTTTTAACATTGTTCAGTGATTTCAAATACTGCATCAGTTCAAATGCCTCGTGTATGTGTTAGTAAATTGGTTTGTTCCACTCAGTATTCACACACAGCACTCGATTGGTATGTCTCAAGTCTCTTAAACTATAACAATTTCTCCTCCCTTTTTTTCCTTTTCTTTAATAAGTGGTCATTTGTCCTGTAGAATTTCTCACAGTCTGGATTTTACTAATTTTATCCCTTAAGTGACTTAACATCTTACTCTGTCCCCTGAATTTCCTGTAAACTGCTAGTTACATCTAGAGATTTGATGAAATGCATGTTTGTTTTAATCAAAAGAAGTGTGTGAGTGATGCTGATTACTTCCTTTTGTGTCGTATCAGGAGGTGTGTTAATCTCTGATTTTCTTTGGTATTAAGAGGGATTCTTGGGTTCAGGAGTTGTTAGCTTGACCCACCGATTATAAAGTGTGTCATTAACCTAATGGTTTAGCAGTCATTGATGATCACTGCCTAAATCCAGTATTTCACTGTGGGTTGCAAAGTGGAATATTCTGACTGTATCATTCCTTCTTCATGTATTACCTGGAATTTTATAATGAAAAAAATTTCATCCTCAGCTATTCGATAACGCTGAAATATCTTTCATATATAAAAGGTAAGATAAAAGGCAAGTTTTCAAAATAATGAGATGGTTCCCTGGCATCTTACAAAGGTGACTAATTTTTTATATTTAGTATCATTATGAATCCGTGATATAAAATTTTTCATGTGTTTTAATACATTGCATTAATTATTCTTTTTGATGCTTAAAATTTCCCCCTCACAGGCCAATGGGAGCCTGTCAAGTTGGCTACTTTGTCATGATTGTTGGTAGCCTCCTTGCTTTCCCGTCTCTGACTACCATTGTACATTTCCTGGCCTGGACCTGAATCAGCCATTCCTCTTAGGAACATTGGTTACTTTTAGTAGGAAATTGAATTTAGAAACCACAATCTGGACACTAGGGGTGCAGAGCAGGAACTCTTTAGCCACTAGTCTGGGTACTGCCCTCATATTCATACTAATCAGAAGCATATTCAATTTCAGTATGTGCCCAATAGAATATTATAAATGGTCACTGGAGTACAAATGAGTAGCATTCCAAAAGTTGGTAGGTTGATTGCTCTGAAAGCAGAAAGTATACCAATGGAAACAGTGTTACAAAGAATGGTTATTTCCAGGGCTAGGTCCCTACTGAATATGGAAGGGGGTTATATAATGTTAGCAGTGGGATGGTGCCTACAGCCTACAAGTTTGATAGGTACCTGAGTCCAAAACATAGTGTATTCTGAATTCAAATCTGGGATAAGTATCAAGAATATATTCTTAAGCACTACTGATCCCTACTCTAGGGGTTGGGGGACTCTTCCCTTCCTACGCTGGGTCAGCGTGGTCTCAGATGGGAGGTCTGCCCTCACCCACAAGCTCTACCTGCAGTGTGTCCTTGATCACATAGGCTCCAAGTGGGATGGGGCCTCGCTGTGTGTGTACCAGGGATTGGGAGTTCAGGGCATCTCAGAGTAGATGGCACTTCTGTAATGACTGTTCCCTTTTAGATCTGGGGTGACAGAGGCTGGGGAATGACAAGTGAGAGGAGACAAAGAGCTTCCTAGAGCATTAGGGAAAATGCTTAGTTAGGGGAAAAAAAGGACAATAATAATCAGTTCAAAAATAGGGAACTGACTGGTTTGAATTTTGAAGTCACCTCCAGACCATTGTTAATGGACTAAAACAGTAAATATTTCACCTCAGGGTGAAAAAATCATGTAAATGATGTATTCTAATGTAGCAAATGTTTAAAAAGGTCAACATAACACAATTTCTTATTCACATATCTGCCTTTAGATTTCCTTTGTTGCATTTATAACTGCTACAGAGATGCCACACCTGCATCGACATGAAGATGAGAAGTTCTTCTTAAATGCCAGAGTCCAGAGGGAAGCCTTACCCAGCATACGGGACTCGCCTACCAAGCAGCTTTCTGTGGTCGTGCCTTCATACAATGAAGAAAAACGGTGTAAGCCCTACTCGATTTTTTTGGTAAGGGGTAATTTGGGAAGAAAAGGACATTTAAAGTATGGACTTTGCCGGAACGTTGATACCTGTGGGCTATGGAGCGTGCACAGTTGGTAGTTGTAGTTTAGAAGAGAAAGAATGAGTGTTAGCAGCCACATCAGGTCTAGGGCTGAAGTGTTCTAGGGGAGTGATGAGCAAGAGGTGAACAGAAGACAGACATTCCAGGTGGAAATGGCCACTGGGGGGCAGTCCAGGAGGGACTTGTTAGGTTATTCAGGCATTTTCCATATGCAAACTGTTCTGGGACTGGGAAAGTTATTTTCAAAAGCAATTTTTAATATATATTTTTTTCTTTAAGTGCCTGTAATGATGGATGAAGCTCTGGGCTATCTAGAGGAGAGACAGGTATTGTGTTTTCTCGTCCGGTATGGGGTCTAATTAAAAGTAGAGCAGGTCATCAAGCTGTGGACCCCAGGCTAGATCCACTGTGAGAGGCAGTGCCGTCCGTTCTCGGGCCATCGTGGTCCTGGCCTCTGTGCTCAGCATGTTGCCAGCCGTCAGCCATTTGCAGGCAAGCCCGAGAGCACACTCCCTCCAGAGCAAACAGGAAAGCTGATGTTCCTCTTATGGACTCTCCCTCCCCACTTTGATCCTCTCTTGCCTGATGATATACTTAAAATTGAGTGGTAGTGTGTCTGCAGACTTTGTATGACAACACAATGCTGTTTTTGCTTTTGTGACTTTTTAAGTAAGATGTTTATTTGAAAAAGACCTATAACTAGAGTGAAATCATTTTGTATGTCTTTATTATTCTGAGGAGTCCCCCCTCATTTATTTTCCTCTGCTTTCTCTGCATAAAGAGAAGAAAAGTAGCATGTGCCCCTCTTTTGTATCCGCTGCCATTGGAATCTCTTGGGAGAGTTTAAGAAAATAAGTAAGATTTATGGCTGTTTCTTTTTTTTAGAAAACTCCTTGTTTTGATTTACTTTGTTTTAGGTTTTTTTGTGTAAAGGGAAAAGAGAAGATTCGTCGAAAGAGGGAAAAAAAGAGGAAGAGGACTGAGCCCTTATTATATTTGAGCTTCTGCCTCTTCTATTATGTGTAATCTGCACACCAGCCACGTGGACTAGGTTGTGTTATTTGTTTTGCGAGAAAATAGGCCCAAAATGCTAACTTGCCCGAGGTCATAAAGCTAAGAAGTGGCACAGCCACGTGGAACCTGCACCCCTGACTTCAGACCTCATGGCTTTGCCTTGTATACCTCGTAGCCTCTGAGTGGTGCTCAGGAGGGCAGCCAGGGGAGCACGGGAGGCCCATGGAGATTTGGTCTGTGTTCACCTTCAACTCCCTCCCAGTCTCTGATCTCCTTTCTGTCCTTGGCCTTTTTCCTTTATGTGCTTTGTGCACTTATATCTATGTTCATATTTATACACATCAACACTAAAACAATTGTTTCTTTTTTCAAATTTTTTTTATTGAAGTAGAGTTGATTTACAGTGCTGTGCCAATCTCCGCTGTACGGCAAAGTGACTCAGTTATACACATGTAGACATCCTTTTTTTAATATTCTTTTTGATTATGGCTTATCACAGGATATTGAATATAGTTCCCTGTGCTGTACATTGGGGCCTTGTTGTTTATCCATTCTAAATGTAATAGTTTGCATCTACCACCCTCAAACTCCCAGTCCATCCCACCCCCCCACCACCACCTTTGGCAACCACAAGTCTGTCCTCTATGTCTATGAGTCTGTTTCTGTTCTGTAGATAGGTTCATTTGTGCCATATTTTAGATTCCACATATAAGTGATATCATATGGTATTTGCCTTTCTCTTTCTGACTTACTTCACTTAGTATAATAATCTCTAGTTGCATTCATGTTGCTGCAAATGGCATTATTTCATTCTTTTTTATGACTAATATTCCATTGTATATATATACCACATCTTCTTTATCCATTCATCTGTTGATGGACATTTAGGTTGTTTCCATGTTTTGGCTATTGTGAACAGTGATGCTGTGAACATAGGGGTGCATGTATCTTTTTGAATTATAGTTTTGTCCGGGTGTATTCCCAGGAGTGGGATTGCTGGATCATATGGTAATTCTGTTTTTAGTTTTCTGAGGAACCTTCATACTGTTTTTCATAGTGGCTGTATCAAGTGACATTCCCACCAACAGTGTAGGAGGGTTCCCTCTTCACACCCTCTCCAGCATTTATTTGTAGACTTTATAATGATGGCCATTCTGACTGGTATGAGGTGGTACCTCATTGCAGTTTTGATTTGCATTTCTCTAATAATTAGTGATGTTGAGCATCTTTTCATGTGCCTACTGGCCATCTGTATGTCTGCTTTGGAGAAAGTCTGTTAAGGTCTTCTGCACATTTTTCAATTGGGTTATTTGTAAAACAGTTGTTTCGTAACTTCCTTACAACTTTATTAGAAATCTTGATGGCAGTCATGCCAAATTGTGGTATTTTATCTTTGCTTCTTGCAGAAACAAGATCCTACATTCACTTATGAAGTAATAGTAGTTGATGATGGCAGCAAAGATGAGACTTCAAAGGTAAGTAAACTTGCTTTTAGAATTGCCAACAGATGGAGTAATTTGCAAATGTAAAATCATATTTCCGCTTGTCAGAGAGCCCTAAAGGTGTGCCAGATACTCTCCATTTAACATAAGTGGGCAGTAGAAAAAGCAGAGAGATTTCATATATGGGAAGCTGGAAAATATACCTGCCTTTCCACTGCTCCTTGAGACCAGGGAAGCTTGGAAGGTCACCAAATAGGGAGAGAGTACACATAACAACAGTTCACCTTGGCCTCTGGGGAACCCTCTTTGCCCACTAATTTATGGTTCCTTTTATTCTAAGCATAATTCTTTTCTCTATGCTCCACCTTAAATTATGGTTTCTAAAGTAGTCACGCAAATAGGAAGACACCTTCATATCCTCCCCTGGGGATTGGGTATGTCCTTTGGCCTACCCCACAGTCCCTTCTAGATTGACCCATGGGGTGACAGTATCTTAGGGTTTATCCTCTCTCCTTCCTGCATTCCTAGACCTGTAACTGCTGGGCCCTGGTGCATTAATCCTGCAGTAGTACATGTATTAAATCTTGTCAGTGATCCTGATAAATTACTCTCCAAACATCAAAGTATTTTTGTTATTATGACTACTTCACATTTTGTTTTTTGACACTCATGTTTCTATAATAAAAGATTCACTTACGGTGCTATTAATATTCCTGTTAAATGGCAACATAATAGATCTTAAATATACAGGGGAATATCTGTTCACCTGATTATTCATCAGTTATGATTTTGGTCAACTCCAGCTGTGCAGGAAGCGCTGGACACTGGCTGGACCCCACAGGTACACGCGCCTGCCCCCTGGTATAAGGAGCCCCCAGGACAGTCAGGCAGCATGGCTCCAATTTCTGTAATGCAGGTAAAAATGGAGCCAAAGAGAAAGATGCTGAAAAGAATTTGAGAGAAAGAGAAGTGACTTTTGAACTAAACCTCTAAGGGTGATAATGACTAGGAACATGGAGGATAGTATATTCAAATTGAAAAATATACATAATGTAAACAAAGGCATAGAGGCCTGAAAGTATTGGTGGATCTGTGTTAGGAAGAGTAGGTGCTGCACTTGGAACAGTATGACTTGAAAGATGAACACAAACTGTCCCACAGGTTATTAGTATATGAAGGGAGTGGTGCAGAAAGTCAGCATCGGGCATCTACTGCTGAGATGACAGAGCAGCCTCAGCCCGGCTGAGAAGAAGCAGCTTTTCCTGAAGAGTATTTCCTTCAAGGCCTTTTGCCATGTGAGTCTCAGGCTGCTCTCTGGAAGGATCCAAGAGGGAGAGGTTCGCACTTGTTCCCAAGGTTGGGAGAAACAGAAAACTTGAAATCATAGTTTGTAAAATTTTTTTTTTTAAAAAAGAAAAAGAAACTCTTTTCCCCTAAGTTGAGTATTTATTATCTTCCCGTAACACGTTTCACTCTCCGAGGGGTCTGGGAAAAAATTTAGATATAGTTCTTGTTCTTAAGGAATTTTAAACTAAGGGGTAAAATTTACGCCAAAGTACAGAATAAGAGAGTATTGCATCTGTGCAGAGATATTTATTATACCCTCAAACAACATAAGATGCCAGAAAGGTAAGCATTCCATGTGAGCTGAATTCACAAATGGTGAGCAAGTGTCAGCTGCTGCCGTGTTCTGCAGGGCATACTGTGAAGTGTCAGTGTCTGTATAAGCCAAGCAGGTGGGCCTCAGTGGTGTTTGCTTCCTTCAAAGCCAGATCACGTCCCCTTTAGAAAGAGCCCTCATCCTCGCCTGGTCAAGTGCCTCTCAGTGCACTCAGCTGCATGCCCAGTGACTTCATCTTCCTGGTCTGGGTCTTATGATGACTGTCATGCTTTCTGCCACCCCAGAATAAACGTCAGCAACCCAAATAAATGTTCTCTGAATAGACATTTCTCGAGCCATTAACATGAGTCAAGGAGTAGGACTGGTGCTAAAATACAAAGATGGAGCCCTGCCTCTGCCTCCAAGGACTTCACATCCAATACTGGAGACACGCTCCAGAGAAATAGAGCACAATGTGTTCGATATTTTCATCAGTTAGAAAGTGTCTCATGAGGGGAGCTTATGTAACAGAAGGTGTTTGATTATCTCATACGCCAGAAGGTCTGGACATTGTTGTTTCAGCATTTGGACAGTGTCAAGTGGCTGGATCCACGTCTTTTCAGTTACCACACACTCCCTCATCATCAAATGGGCACAGCTCCAAATACCACTGATCCTGAGGCAGTTGAGACAGTCAGGACATTAAGAATTCTCTTGTGTGCCTCTCTCCTTTTATAACCAGGAATAAAAATCTTCACAAGAAGCTCCCACCCTCCAGCAGACCTCCCCTAGAGTCCATGAGCCAGAACTTTGGTGACATGGCCACCTTTGCCTGCAAGAGGGGCTGGGAAAGTATAAATACATGGTAAAGAGGATTTGGACCAATAATGATTCATCTCCTAGGACTGCACACACTGTCACTATGCAGACTGGGGCCAAAGGAGCAAGGAAGGAGGTGGTGTTTGTTGGGTAAGCAGCTAACAGTGCCACCACAGCCCTGTAATAAGAGTATGTACAAAGCACGGTGGCTACTCTTGTTCACTGAGATTAATCAATTCCAGGCTGTGTGTCAGGCACTAAAATATTAATGCTTGGGACTTCCCTGGTGGCACAGTGGTTAAGAATCCACCTGTCAATGCAGGGGACACAGGGATCGCCCTGGTCCAGGAAGATCCCACATGCCGCAGAGCAACTAAGCCCGTGAGCCGCAACTATTGAGCCCGCACGCTCTAGGGCCCGCATGCCACAACTACTGAGCCCACACACCTAGAGCCTATGCTCTGCAACAAGAGAAGCCACTGCAGTGAGAAGTCTGCACACCGCAACAAGAGTAGCAACAAGCCTGCGCGCAGCAACCAAGATCCAAAGCAGCCAAAAAAAAATATATATATATACACATATATATATATACATATATATTAATCCTTGGCTTTAAGTAGCTCATAGCCAAGTGGGGAGGGGCTACACTACAGTTCATTACTAAATGAGTGGTGCAGAGTGATTTATAGCAAATATAGATCACTGTTCCATGACTTTGATTATTAATAATAATGAAGTCAGGAAAGTTTCAGGCATCCCAGAGTCTTGAGCCTGTTCCTAGTGGGAAGGCTCTACAGATCTACAGATGAGAGATCTATCTGATCTACAGATGAGAGAAGTAACAGTTGAATGGGAAAATGCATTAGGAATACTTATTAGAATTATACTTTTTCTCTGGGGAAGGTGACGATGGGCATGGAAGCTAGGAAGAAGAAATGGTGTTTGAGCTGAGTCTGAAGACAGGAGTGCAAACACCAGATAAGAATAGCTTCACAGGGGTTTCCCTGGTGACGCAGTGATTAAGAATCCACCTGCCAATGCATGGGACACAAGTTCGAGCCCTGGTCCAGGAAGATCCCACATGCCACAGAACAGCTAAGCCCGTGCGCCACCACTACTGAGCCTGTGCTCTAGAGCCTGCGAGCCACAACTACTGAGCCCACATGCCACAGCTACTGAAGCCCGCATGCCTAGAGCCTGTGCTCCGCAACAAGAGAGGCCACCGCAATGAGAAGCCCGTGCACCACAACAAAGAGTAGCCCCCGCTCACCACAGCTAGAGAAAGGCCACACGCAGCAATGGAGACCCAATGCAGCCAAAAATAAATAAATTAAAATTTAAAAAAAATAACTTCACAACTGCCTATGGAAATGAGCCTCAGAGGCAAGGGGTGATGAAGAGGTTCTGCGGAGGGTGATGTGGAAAAGCAAAGGGCATGAGCCACACCCCAATGGCTTGAAGTCTAAATGAGGGACAAAGAGATGTTGATGGCAAATACAGATCACCATTTCATGACTTTGATACTAGATCAAAGAGTAATGGCAGTCGCTTAAGATAATAGTGAAGTCAAAGGAAAATGTTTAAGATGCTGGAGTTTTGAGCATATTAGAGGCTGAGGACCCAGAAAAGAGGAAGAGATTGAAGATTCAGAAGAGGACAGATCGTGGATGATTATCTGCTGAGAGCCAGGAATTCGAGTGAGAAGATTTGGGGGAAATGGTCTAGAATACAAACAGCTTCTCTGGGGAATAAGGTCAGTTGCTGACAAGTAAACAGGTCATTAGGCAGTATTGGGAGCCCAATCATAAATGTGTACCAGGGCTTCCCTGGTGGCGCAGTGGTTGAGAGTCCACCTGCCGATGCAGGGGACACGGGTTCGTGCCCCGGTCCGGGAAGATCCCACATGCTGCGGAGCGGCTACGCCCGTGAGCCATGGCTGCTGAGCCTGCGCGTCCGGAGCCTGTGCTCTGCAACGGGAGAGGCCGCGACAGTGAGAGGCCCACGTAACACACACACAAAAAAAATGTGTACCAGTCAATTAGAGCATGGGTTTTATTTTTACTTTTTCTAGCAGCTTGGTAGCCTAGGCAAAAAAGTCAAGAGAATGAGAGATGGCCACTGCCTGTTCTGGTGTTTCCTCTGCAGGAAAGTGAATTGTGACTTCGACCTAGTAGGTCAGTGTCGGATCTTGGCACCAGGAATTCAACAACTCCTCTCGGCTACCAAAATGTGCGGTGGGTATAATCTAGTCACAAGGAGAGGGCAATTAGAATAGCAGTGTTTAAGCCAAAATCAGAGACCCAGTTTATATTGCTGTCTTGGAATTCAAATTTATTTTATTCTGACTTTTATATAATTTGACAGGTAGCTTTTAAATATTGCCAGAAATATGGAAGTGACAAAGTTCGAGTGATAACGCTGGTGAAGAATCGTGGGAAAGGCGGAGCTATTAGGATGGTAATACCTAATTTCAACATTTTTATTTGAAATCTAAAGGTATTTTGAATAACCTCTTTTGCAGATTACAGTACATGTATGTCCTACAGCCAGCTAGTTAAATACTAGTCTTTCAAATTAGTGGTAAATTGCTTTTAATAATAACTTCATGCATATATGTACATATAATATCAAATTAAAAAATACCATGCCATATCTATAACATACTGGGTGACTCAGGAAAATGTTTATCTTATTCAAAGTTGAAAACATTGCCCTCTGTCTCTTATGTGTCTTTGACATAGTTACCAGATAATAAGATTACATGATTTTTTGCAGTTTACAAAATGCTTTCATGTATTGAGTTTTACCTATATGAAGGTGCTATGCAAAACATGGTAGTGTGAATTAAGATAAATCTGGGACTTCCCTGGTGGTCCAGTGGTTAGGACTCCATGCTTCCACTGCAGGGGTCTGGGAACTAGGATCCCCAAAAACTGCACAGTGTGACTGAAAAAAAAAGATAAATCTGATATGGTCACTCCTGATGTAATTTACAGTCTAATACAAAAAGTGATTGTACTTATGAGAGAGGCACAGATGAGGTACAGTAGAAGTTCCAGGAAAGAAGAGGTTACTTTCAGCAGAGGCATATCAGGTAGGAATCAAGATACACTGAAAAAGATCTAAAAGCAAGATATGTGAAAGAAAATCCAAACAACAGTGCCTTAAATGATGTAGAGGTTAATTTATTTATTTTGTGCCTCCAAAAGAAGTCTAGATGTAGGCAGTGCAGGGCTCATTCAACAACTCCGTGTCCTCAGGAACCCAGCTTCCTGCCTCTTCGCTCCCTCTTCCTCCTGCCCACCTGCATACAAAGTGACTGCAGGAGCACCAGCCATTACCTCCCCATTCCAGACAGGAAGGGCAGAGGGCAAAAGACGCACGCCAGTTAGTTTGTCCCTTCTAAGGAACTTTCCCAGAAGCTCCACCCAGTGACTGGCCAGAACAGGGTCACGGAGCCACCCCTATTTCCAAGGAAGGCTGAGAGATGTTTTTTCTGACATTTTCATTCTCGGCCAAATCAGGGTTTCATTTGTAAGGAAGAAGAAAAGAATAGGTATTAGGTAGGTAACTAGCAACCTTGGGCACATGAGTAAAATAGCAAACTTCACAAAAGATATGTCCCTGAAGCCAGGCCTCCAACGATGGTGAACACTGGCTTCCACTTGCTGACTGATTATTTTGAGCTGGACAGCAAAAATTTACCACTTCAACATAATTATCACATTTAAACCTCCTCACATCATCTTAGTGAGTTAGGTCCTATTATTTTGATTATATAGATGAGGAAATTGAGGCATAGATAGGTAGAGTGACTTACTCAAGGTCACATAGATATTAAGGCAAGATTTGGATTGGGTTGATTTAACCATGAAATCGTGCTCTTCACCTCCCTGATCCCATATGGAGAAAGATTTGAGAGAAGAGCATGCCAGTCAGCAGAGCAAGAAAATATTTAACCATGAAATCGTTGATTTAACCATGAAATCGTGCTCTTCACCTCCCTGATCCCATATGGAGAAAGATTTGAGAGAAGAGCATGCCAGTCAGCAGAGCAAGAAAAGACAGAAGTAGGAACTCTTGGGGTATGTACTAGAAGCAGTGAGTTTTTTCTGACAGGGTCACAGGATATGCAGAAAGGAGAAAAAGAAAATAAGATTGATGCAATATCATCGTGGGCTTTAAATGCACCCATTGATTTATTTATTCAGCCCACATCTGAGTGCTCACTAAGTGCCACGTACTTCATTAGAGATGCCAAGATGAAAGATACCTGTCCTGTCCATAGGGTATCATAGTTCACTAGTGTTATAAATGCTCCAGTATAAATGCTCTGGGAGGAGCAGCAAAGACTTCCCACAGGAGATAAATTCTGGATGGACTCTTGAAGGAGGATTAGGAATTCTCTAGGCAAAATTCGAGGCAGGGAGCTTGCAGAGGAGAACATGGACAAAGACACAACAAAGGAACTTCTGGTGGTACATGAGGCTTGACTTTAGAGATACGCTGGACGGTTATGTGGGTGTAGATCACAGACTTTAGGCTAGGGGCTGCTAGACTTTCACCATTGACAGAGTGACAGCAGCCAGCGCAGTGGTGTAGGCAAGGTACCATGAATATTTGGATTATTATGGTGACACAACAGAGGAAGAGGAAAAGATGAATATGAGAGGTATGCAAAGCGAGGTAGAATTGTGTCAGGTGATCGGAGAGAGCAGTGAGTTACCAGTAAGTAGCCTTGGGTACCTGAGAGGGGGAGGATGTCGTTAGAGAAGAGGTGAAACACTGGAAGAGGAGCTGGTTTAAGAGACAATATGTTTAGTTGAGTTTGAGCCATACTGAGTTTGAGATGCCAAGTAGTGGTATCCAGAATAGCCTGGTGGAGAGGGTGTGAGAGTCATCCACATGTATCAGCTGAGAGTTGAAGCCATTCAGTTGGCAAGGAAGAGGGTATAGAAGAAAAGGAGGGCCAAGAACCAAGCCTTGGGGCAAAGAGGCACATGAGGAAGAAGAAAAATCAGAAAGAACGGAGGGGAGAGGGTGTGACTGAATGGACAACAGTGGGAGCAGCTAACTTAGACTCTTTCCAAGAAGTCTGGCAGTGAAGTGGAGGCCATCCAGATAGGATGTGAGAGTAGCAGGCATTCAAAAGCCCCCTTTAGAAAAAGCGATGAGGTGGCTGAAACAAGTTTGAGGGCAAAGGCAATTTTCCATTACTATTGTGTAACAGCCTACAGTTCAGCCTTATCATGTATCATTGAAATAGTCCTTTATTGTTTTTTTTATTTCAAACATATAGCTACAGATTTTGTGCCTTGTAATGTTTACTCTTTTCCAAAACTTGATAAAGTTTATAGATTAAATATAACATTTTTATTTCTGCTTTTTTACCCATATTCTAACAGATATGATAAAGAAAATTATAGATACTAATTAGCCTTATACTATACAATAATTGGTCAAATTTCTGTCTAGATTTGTATACATACATCTTATCTATAGCCACACTGCTGAGTGACACAAAGCTGTATTCTGTATCAAACCATAAATATATTTACACTTAAGACACACTGTATTCACTCACATGCACCATGAATGAAGAGTTGATGCATAAATAGTTTATTTCTGGGTGAAATATACACTCGTAGAGCCATATCCTGCCCAAAAGACCAATCAATTCAAAATTGAATGGCATAATTTAGCTAAGTGTCAGATGCCTCAGATAACAAAATAACATTTGAATATATCCATACTTTCTAAATTTTAGTGACATTCCACATTTATTTATTCAACAATTAATTTAAGATACTTTAGATTCCATAATAAAAGACACTGAAGATCTATCATGTGATAGATGATGCATGTCATAGCAGAGCTATCTATGTTTTGTTCTTCATATGCTGCTGTAAGGAACCCCTGATCCCTTTTATGCAGCATAATCCATATACAATACAGATATAATATTTATGATAGGTATTTTACATTTTTATTCTTACTGATGCAGCATATCTTTAACTTATCCAAATCTATTTTCTTATCTTGATATTTTCCAAGGTATTAATAGTATGACTTCACAAAGTTTTAAAAATCATGAAATAGACATTAGCTACTTTTGGAAAGATCTTATCAATGTAATTTGCGTTCAGTGAACTTCGGCTTCTTTCTGCCATTTCATACCTAATATTTAATTCTTGGATATTTTAAGTACAAACTGATATGTCACCGAATTTAACAAACTGATATGTCACCAAATTTAACCTTGATTTTAAGCAACTTTCTTTTCTTTGAAATTTTTAAATCCAGGGTGTATTCAGTTCTCGAGGAAAAAAGATCCTTATGGCAGATGCTGATGGAGCCACAAAGTTTCCAGATATTGAGAAATTAGAAAAAGGACTGAATGATCTACAGCCTTGGCCTGTGAGTATAAGAATATAGTTTAAACAATATTCATTAAAGAATAGAGGGGGTCTAAAGTAAAGTTAAAATGATATTTACCTGTAAGTTAAACAATTGGGAGATTTTTTTTTTTTTTGGTGTGAAATTCCTGTATACAGTCCCACAGAAGAGCTAATATTTTATTATAAACATTTGCTGATTTTCTGAGATTCACTTGACAATTACTTATTTAATATTCTGTCCGTCTCTCTCGATTTTAAATTGCTTTACTTCTACCAGAGTTTTAGTATTTATCATGCATATTTAGCTAAGTCTTTTATTTAAAAGCATAGACTGAGACTTCTGGGTAAAGATGTGAAATGAAACTGGATCACCAGACTCTTGTTTTTGATGAAACAAACAAAAACAAAACACAATCAGCAATCTCTCAAAAAAAGATTATGTGTAAGTTCGTGCCATAACTTCAGAAAGTGGAGGTTGACTTTCACTCAGTATAATACATTCGACTTTGATCCAAATTGCTATGTATATCAGCAATTTGTTCCTTTTCATCACTAAGTAATATTCCATTGTATGGGTGTACCACAGTTTCTTTATCCGTCCAGCTGTTGAAGGACATTTGGACTGTTTTCCAGCATTTGGCAATTATGAATAAAGCCAGTATCAACATTAGTTTAAAAAAAAAAGTAGAGGTTGAGGAAAGAAAGAAAATCTTGGTGCCGTTCCCACCTCTTAAAAGCCATTTAGAGAAAGAAGATGAATTTATCAAATTCTGAGCGTTTTTAAAAATATTCCCAATCTAGAAAGAATCAGACTTCAAGAATGAGTTAGCACCCATAGACAACCGTATCCCAGGATTCTAGCAGAAGCGGAAATTGCTAGGGCTCGCCATTGTCCTGGCCTCAGACTGGGTTTGGGTTGATCACAGATCCACGTGATTGGATCCATTCCTCAGAGGAGTGTACCCTTGTCCTTGTACAGGGCACGACAAAATCTCACAACAGCAAGGAACCCAGATAACCCAGGAAAGCTACATAGAGCTTTAGGGTGCTCCCCGCCACCACCAAATATAATCCTCAGGCCTTGAGACTCTAGTTCAGAAGGGAAAAATAGGTATCACGAAAGGTAGAAGTTTATCAAGGAGAATTCACCTATACTGTACAAGAGCTACCTATGTTAATCATGACAAAATGAAAAGAAATAAATGGCAGCTACACCAACATATTGCTACAGAAAAAGAATTAAAGAAAGTTTCATACAAAAGGAATATAAACCCCATCTGAAAGCCAGTGTAATCCAAGGAAAAGGATAAAATTACATAAGAGTATTTTTGCTAAAGAAATAATACTTAATGAAAGTAAGAATTCAGCAACACAGGCAATTTGAAGGTGAGATGACAATTGCAGATTTAAGAAAACAAATTGAGGGCCAAAATAAGATCAATAAATGGAACTATCCATGAATGAAATAGACCAAATTTAAACCTAATTATTATATTTGTTAAAATATTATTATATATTTGTTAAAATAATCCTTGATCATTCAAAAAGTAAACAATTTAAAACACCACACATAGAAAACCTATTAAAGCAAAACATCCAAAACCCAGAAAATTTAATAATAATTACAAAAATTCATCTCATATTTCTCTTCCTAGGAATAAATATCTATTTAATTTCATAGCTTGTGAAATATTGTTTCTTCCTCCACCATCACCCACTCCCATTTGTTTTTTCAAGATACTAAATAAATTAACTAATATCATTCTTAAAAGAATTAGTTTTGCAAATATCCCTTTTACCTGTGCTATTCAAAGCAGTAGCCATTTGTGGCTATTTAAGTCAATTAAAATTAAATAAAATTTTACTTCTTCAGTCTCACTGACCACATTGCAAATACGTGTGGTTAGTAGCTACCTTATTGGCTGACACAGATGTAGAGCATGTCCAAAATCAAAGTGATTTTGGACAGTGAAATTATTAAATTATTATTGGATATGTTACATGTTCACTCTTACTAAAAAAAGTATGTCTTTTTTCATCTCTTAGTAAATCATGATAAGCTAAAAGAAAAGTCCAACTGGTGAAATTCTTGGGTTTGATATCCTAGTTCTCTCCAGAGAATCTACGGAGACTTGATAAATTTCTCCCGCCTTATTTCTCTACCTTGGAGACCCAAGAGTGGGAGGGAGAGTGGAAGGTGTCAGATTGTTAGCTGCCTATATGTCATTCTGTGGTGGGGCAAAGAAAAGTTAAATGATTCAGCCAAAGTCAGGGGGTGAACCAAACCATACACTGGAAAAAAAAATCTGAACCTTCCTCTTGTAAATCCAGGTCCTCTGAAAAGGAAAGGAGTTCTGATGTCATCTCTTTTTCTAATCCTAACCCAATTTATTGCATTGTTACTATAAATGTTGAGTTTTTGTTTTGTTTTGTTTTTTGTTTTTTTGCGGTATGCGGGCCTCTCACTGCTGTGGCCTCTCCCATTGCGGAGCACAGGCTCCGGACGTGCGGGCTCAGCGGCCGTGGCTTACGGGCCCAGCCGCTCCGCAGCATGTGGGATCTTCCCAGACCGGGGCACGAACCCATGTCCCCTGCATCGGCAGGCGGACTCTCAACCACTGCGCCACCAGGGAAGCCCTATGATGTATTTTTAAATCCTCTGGAGCTAGTCCTTCGTCACTCTTAGAATTTTCTCAGCTCTTCTTCATTCTTTATTTTTCAATATTAACTTCCAGATCAGCTTGTCTAAATCAATGAAAAGTTATTTTTATGTTTTCATTGGTATGGCGTTAAATTTAAAGATTAGCTTAATGAGCATTGCCTTTTCAGTGCTGTCAGTGCATCCTCTCATCCATGGTCATGGCATGCCCTCTGTGGCTGGATTTTTTTGTTTCCTTTGGTTGCATTTATATCTTTCCTTTATTTAGATCTTGCCACATTTCTTGTAAAGTTTATAGATTTTTCTTATTGATGTTATAAATACTGTCTTTTCTTCCATTATATCTTCTGATCACTGTTTGTACATATGAAGGCTAAAATATTATATATATATTCATTTTGTGCCCACTCATCTTTTTACATTCTCTTATTGTTTGTAGTAGGTTTTCAGTTGATATTCTTGGGTTTCCATAATGTAATGATTATATATAAAATCATACCATCTACAGATAACCCTTTTCTTTCTAATACTACTACTTTTTCTTATAATTATATTGATACAGTGTTTTCAATTAGAAAAATCACTTAAATATATGACTTTTGAAATAATGCATGCCCCTTATATTTAGCCCTGAATAGTGTCATCTTGGTAAATACAATTAGAGTTGTTTAAGTTGTACATATTCTGAATTCCTCAGTAAACCTTTAAAGATATTTAATGTTACTTTTTAAAAAAATAGTTTCTAAAAAATGAGGTATTCACATTGAAAATAAATATTTTTATTAATGATACTTATTTCACTGCTTTTTTCCTCAGGATCAAATGGCTATTGCATGTGGATCTCGAGCTCATTTGGAAAAAGAATCAATTGCTCAGGTGAGGCTTTCATCATGGATCAGTTTTCTCCTTTTTTACATATACATTAGCATGAGATAAGCTTTCATACTTAATCTCATAAAGATGAGGTTCCTTTCAGAAGAAAGGATTAGCATATTCAGGAATTGATTTTTTTTTTTTTCATGAGTATACAAGGAGGATGTAGACTTCACTTTGATTTTGGATACAAGCAGCTCTTTTTTTAAGACACAAAGAGAGTCCCCATTCAGTTATTATATAAGGCAAATTTCTCCAAATGATCCATTTTTGAACCTATCAACTTGCCTTTAGTTTTTCTCATGTCAGCACACTTAAGTACTATATTTTAAGTTTTATTCAAAGTTTAAATTTGTTTTTAACTGTTCCTCTTAGAAAAGCATTATACCTTCAGATTTGTAAAGTTGTACTGCCCTTTTTAGTATATTCAAAAAAATCACTGAAGACATGAACTTCTTCAGGTTGTAATTTACAGATCAGGCTAAGAAGCTGGAGTAACTTTGAGGAAAAAAATATAATAAGGAACTACTCTATGCAGTATTTTTTATTTTAATTATTTTTTCACTTGAAAACGTAGACCTAATGTATCAAGCTCCGTAATTGTCCATTATATTCTTAACAGTTCATCTACTAGATTGGTCAAGTAGATCAAGAATAAAGCCATATTTTCAGTGCAAGGTCAAAATTATCTGGGGTGTTTTATTTGTTTGTTTGTTTTTTCTTTAATGCATGTTCTTAGGCCAATCCCAGACACTAAGTCAGACTCTAGCCATGGGACCAGGAATGTGCCTTTTTAACAGTTTCCCAGGTCACCCTATGCATACCAGAGTTTGAGAACCAGTGGAATTAAAGATTGAACCTTTCCCTTAGTGATTCTGAAGTAGGACATGAAAATATTCTCATTTTTTTCCCAAGATATACTGATGGCAGAGTCATAAAATCCCTTAAGGATTTTGCTCAAATGTGGAAACCTGAACTTTCCTTTTTTTGTTTTTGTTTTTTTTTTCGCGGTACGCGGGCCTCTCACTGTTGTGGCCTCTCCCGTTGCGGAGCAAAGGCTCTGGACGCGTAGGCTCCGCGGCATGTGGGATCTTCCCGGAACAGGGCACGAACCCGTGTCCCCTGCATCAGCAGGCGGACTCTCAACCACTGCACCACCAGGGAAGCCCCTCCTTTTTTTAAGAAATAAATAATTTTAACATCTTCAGCATCTAGTCCAATTGTAACTCTCTAACCCTATGGACTGTTATTGGTGTTTCAAAAAGGTTAATCTGTTAACCATAGAGAATCAAACTCCTAGAAATTTAACACTGAAAGAGTTTAGAGATTAGCTAGTCCAACTTCATCACTTTACTGATACACAAGAGATAAGGAAAGAAAAAGTGCATGTGCGAAATGTTCAGCACATTATTTATCATTGTGAAATACTAGAAACTATAAAATACTAAATCCCAACACTAGAAAGTGTACATATTTCCCCTGGACGAAATGTCATGCAGTGATAAAATAGATGATAATGGAGACTGTATAATCATGTTGGGAAATACTAAAATATTAGGTTGTATGGAGAAAAAACAGTATGATATTGTAAATACAGTATAATTGTGTAAAAAACACTTAATGAAAATAGACTGATGTTAATTTAAGGGTTTTGTGAGTAAATTTGGTCCTTTTTTAAAATATATATATAGATAGGGGAAAAGAGGATTATCTACTTAGAAAGGAAAAAGGGTTGGAGAAATAGGAGGCAGTAATTAGGAAGCAGTTGAAGTAATCTAGGCAAGAAATAGTTGGGACCTGTATTGTTGGTGGCAGTAGAAAAGAACTGTGGTTTTTGATTTTGTTTTTAACGGTGCAAATTCTCTCACTTAGAACTTCCATTGGTTGAAAACTCTGAATTTTTTTCCAGAATAGTAAGATGAGGCTGTGCTATGGTCTGAACCTTCTTTTACCTAGTGATGCTTTTAACCAGTCATCAAGGGATCTATTCGAGGATCTATGCGTTTATAATTTATCTTATCATCTATCCATCCATTCCTCCATCTGTAAAACTTAGTTACTGACATAGTGCTTTTGGACCCTACAGAATTGGCTGCTACTCTAGAAAGAAAGGGTAAACTGGTCCACTGACTAGAGATCAGCAGTTGTCCTCTGCAGATGCTACGTATAACTCCTACTGAGTAGGCTTGTAGTTCAAGTCCAGGTGATTCTCACAGAACTATACCTGTCTTATAGAAGGTCATCTCCAAGGGGCAACACAACCATCTGCCACGTGTCCAAGAAAGTGCGGCGTGGCCTTCCACTTCTCAGCCATTAGGGTGTTCTCTTAATGTGCCATAGGTAATATAAATCCTGCATGGTGATCGATCTGTGGACAGTGAGAAAATTATAAAAGTATTAATTAACCAAGATAGTAAACAGCAACTTCAGTAGCCTAACTGTGTAGTTTTCAGTCTTATCTGTCCTAAATACCTTTACACATATTCTCAGTTAATCTTACCGTCTGTTCTGTTGCTCTCCTGGAAGACAAACATGCATGATACAGCACCATTGGAGTCTTTCAGGCATCCTTAAAAGTGTTCATATGCCCATGTGTTCTGTATAACAGTTAAAACAGTCATGTTTATATTGTCTGGGTATTCTCAAACTTTCATTTTTAAATGATTCAAAATAGAATCCATTACTGTTTGTTTGATCTCTTTAGATTTTTTTTGAAGAGTCTGCTTAAGTCTTAGGACTTCTTTAACTTCTCTTTTTAAGATAATAAAATTACCAGTCAGCTTTAAATTTCACCTGAATTCCTTGTTTACACTTCATAAACATTAGAGATGATTGTTAATATTAAAGCAGTGAATGTTTTTAAATATCTACTTCAGAAGTTCATATGCTATTCTATGACTTTGTTACCTTCATTTAACTAAATAAGTCTATCCTGTAGTATGTTTTTAGATGTCTTCTAAATTCTAAGATATTTTGCCAAGTTTTAAAAATTAAAGAAGGTTCCAGTTGTTTGTAGATTATATTGTTATGCTTTTCAATATGTTAGAAAACAAATAAGTTAAAGTCCTCATGTGAACTCAACATGTTTCTGTTTTTTAAAAAAATAGCCATTATCCTAAAACAAACAAAAATCTATTAACATCCAAGCAAAAGCAGTCATGAATATTTTCATTTGGTTACTAGTAAGCTCATCTAAATCATGTTAAAAATCATTCAAGGAGAATAGTTTATAGGTATTATTTTTCTACCTTTTTTTTTTTTTTTTTTTTTGCGGTACACGGGCCTCTCACTGCTGTGGCCTCTCCCGTTGTGGAGCACAGGCTCCAGATGCGCAGGCCCAGCGGCCATGGCTTACGGGCCCAGCCGCTCCGCGGCACGTGGGATCCTCCCGGACTGGGGCACGAACCCACGTCCCCTGCATCGGCAGGCAGACTCTCAACCACTGCGCCACCAGGGAAGCCCAATTTTTATTTTTCTATCTTTTGATTTCTGTTTGTTCCTTTCCTAAGCATAAATGCTCTTTTGGAGGTTTAATCTGTCAACCAGTATTTATTGGAAATATTTTAATTTAAAGGCACTGAGCAAGCTGTTGTGAGATTCCCAAAGTATTTTAAGATGAGGTTTCTGCCCTATCTGCTTAGAGAGGTAAGACATACTTACATCAAAACATAACTAACGATTCTAGGTGATCATTGATAAGTGCTAGAGCTTTTCAAAGAGTTTGTTTTATGTACCCTATAGATAAGTATTTTATTCTTCCTTCCCTTCTTGCCCTATTTAATACACAAGTGAAACTGTGGTCAGGAGGTTAAAGGGAGCTTTCAAGCCTTCTTCCCTTATTAAAAGCTTTTATTAAGTTTCTGTTACTTCCTGTACCAAACACTTGGTTAAAGGCTTTAATATTATCTCATTTAAACTTTACCTTTGTGAGGCAGGCATTTTCATTCTAGATGAGCAAAGTGGGATTTAGAGAGTAGAAGTAACTTGTTCAAGGTCAGCCTGCTAATCATTTTTTTTTTAATAAATTTATTTATTTTTGTCTGCATTGGGTCTCCGTTGCTGCATACAGGCTTCCTCTAGTTGCGGCGAGTGGGGGCTACTTTTCGTTGTGGTGCACGGGCTTCTCATTGCGGTGACTTCTCCTGTTGCGGAGCACGGGCTCTAGGCACGTGGGCTTCAGTAGTTGTGTCACGCAGGCTCAGTAGTTGTGGCACACGGACCTAGTTGCTCTGCGGTATGTGGGATCTTCCTGGACCAGGGCTCGAACCCATGTCCCCTGCATTGGCAGGCGGATTCTCAGCCACTGCACCACCAGGGAAGCCCACAGCCTGCTAATTATTAATGGAGCCAGGATTCAAATATAGGCCTGCTCAGCTCCGTGGCTTTTCTTCCCATCATTTTTTCACTGTTGAGTCATGATTTTGTTCCATGGTGATAGAAAAAGACATGTGAATGAAGAACAGTACTAAAGATTACAACAATGAAAAAGAAAATCCAAAAGGAGGAAAGGACTTTTATTTAGTAGGATGAGATATTAAATATTCTGCATAGACTTTTACTGGTTTGCTTATGTGCATATGTAATATATCATTCCATGGGTCTATTACCATAATTATAGAAAACTCTAAGAGATCTTATATTTTTTTAATCCTAAATATGAAAGTCTTGAATTCAGTGATAGTTAATGATTTTTTTTAAGTTTGCGTTGTTTAATGAATAATGGAATATGTGTCATGTATAACGACTAATAACAATAGTGAATTCTCAGATAGGATTAGACTACTTAAGTTTAATATCCAAAGTATTAAAGAACTTTCCTGTTAAAATATATTTAATCAGAAATATCTGTCATAGTTAGAGACACTGGGTTTTTGTTTCAAAGTCCTTTCTAGTCTGTGACACTCGGCTGTACCTCTTCTATCACATCCTCATTAGCTAGGTATCATACTTCAGGTTGAAATCTTAGTGTTTCATTTTTCCAACATATTCTGGTAACTCACCTTTTTTTGAAACTGAAATGTGTTTGGGGCACAAAATATAAGGTGAATGAGATGTTCTCCTGGCTCAGAGCAGCCCTCCAACTGCTGTGGTACATTTCTGGTGCACTGAAGCCCTGACTCTCACAGGCACTGTGATTCTTCTTGTCTGACTCCACCTCCAGGAAGTGAGTAACTACTTTTCTAGCCTCTGTCCAGCTCCAAGCATTAGGCGTCCTCACAGTTTCTAGAATAGACTTTGCCCGTGCAGCTAATGGAACAATGGCGTTCATGTGTGAGATCTACCCAGTCAATTAAGTATTAAGTTGCAGTTGTCTACAGCCAGGTGTTTTCAATGTCTCCTTTATAGATAAATAGAAAAGTCATTTATATTTTGTCTTTGTTTCAGCGTTCTTACTTCCGTACTCTTCTCATGTATGGGTTCCACTTTCTGGTGTGGTTCCTTTGTGTCAAAGGAATCAGGGACACACAGTGTGGGTTCAAATTATTAACTCGAGAAGCAGCGTCACGGACGTTTTCATCTCTCCACATTGAACGATGGTAGGTTCCTAACCGGAATGTGTCTGGTGTATCTTATACAGCAGTTTCTCCAGGTAATGGGCAGCAGCCCTGTAGTCCCATAATGAACATCCAGGTTTAAACAAAATTGACACTTATATATGTAAACTTAATCTGTACCCTTACTGGTTTGGTTCTTATTTATCTCAAACCAAACATAGGGTATAAAGTTATATATTTACCTTAATTGTAGACAGTATAAATTGAGAGGCTTGAAAACATCCTGTTATCTTAAGCTTCCTTTTTTTCCTTCAAAGAAAAAGCTCAGACATATCAAAGCAGAAGAGGGTACCCACTCTCTCTTCTTTCCTTTCTTTTGCAGGAGTAAGTTCCCTCTCCTGCCTAAGACCAGTCCTTGGACCTCTGCATCCCCTTCCACCTTTTAACAACCCAATCCTGTTCACTTATTTTCTCTCCTGTGTATTTAGCCTTTTCTCTCAACCACATCTTTCCCATCAGTTTTTTCAAGTTTAAATTTCTCTTGCCATTAGAAAAACACCCTCTCCATTGACCCCTGCCCCCAGCACCCCTTCAACTCTAGCCCTCTTTCCTTTCACAGTGAACCTTTTCTTGGAAAAGTGGTCCATATTCACTGTCCCCATCTTCTCGCTTCCCACTCACTCCTCACCCATCCTCCCATCTAAACATCTAGTTACCCTCCTATGATTAAATCCAATGGTCATGTTTAAGATGACGACTTACCGTCTCAATGAACCTGTCAGCAGCATTCGGCCTCTCTTTGTCCCAGACCTCGCCTCGGCTCCCAGCCTTTTTAGGGAATAACAGTCACATAGAAGCCTGAAACCTTGGAGTCATTACAGCCTTCCCCACAGCCCCTCCGTATATCCAGCCCATGACCGAGGCCTGTTGTTTTGAGCTTTTATGTCCCTTCATTCCTCTTCATCTTCACCACAATCCAAGACATCAGTTCCTTTGCTGCAGTCCAAGGGGACCCTTCAGAAATTAGAAGTGATCAGTCAGATGCACCTCTTCTGCTTCCCATTGCCTTTCGGTGCCTTCCAAGGCCTTGAGAGGGATACCAATAGGCAGTATCAGCATTGATATTACGGTCTGGCCCACCTGAGTCTCCAGGTGCGGATTCTTCCTTCTCACCACCGACTGCCCCTCCGTCAAGGCCTCCTTATCCTTCAGATCTTCATTAGGACAACCTGCCCTCACTCTCTGTACCAGATCAGATGCCCCTGATTGTATGCTGCTGCAGTGCCATAAGCCATTCTCGTAGCACCTGTCACATCTGTGGTGGTTTATTTGTGTAATGTTTCTTTTTCTCTATTAAAACATAAGCTCCACAAGAGCAAGAATCCCATCTGATTTTGCTTATTGTATAGCAAAGAGAGTGCCTGGCACATCATAGGTACTCAGTAAATACTGTTGAAAGAATACTTACTGTCAGTACTGGGTTCTGTGTGAATTCTGTTCATGGTGGGAGTCTGCATAATTATTCCAGTAGATGTTCATTTTTATAGTCTCTATAACTTTCATGTGTCTATTTGCAAAGATCTGTTATCTCTGCAGAAAGAGATGTCATATAATCTTCCCAAATAACTTTAAAGAAACTGTAGTTTCAGAATTAAAATTATCAAACATGTTTTTGAATCTTTCTTTCCTAGATTAAAATTTTTTAAGTAATGTATATTTGGTTTTAAATTTTAGATGCATGTTTCTATTATGTTAAAGAATAAAATATATTGATAGTTAATGGACTCCAAAATCAGAGGATCTTATTTATTAAGAAGCCACTCTAGAAATAAAGCCCTCCCTCTGCATTAGATATTTTTCAGTCAGTTGTTATGTCTCCATCTATGGTCAAAGAGCTAGGTTCTTTGTAGTTCAAAAGGAAGGATTTAAAAATGGAGAAGAGTAGGGTTAGGGTCGATGACTTAAAAATTATGAAGTTTCCTTGTCAGGACTGTTGTTAAGTCAGGATTGTTGTAAGGCAGCATTGTCCAACAGAAATATAATATGAGACACAAATGCAAGCCATATGTGTAATTTTACATTTTCTAGTAGCCACATTAAAAAGTAAAAAGAAAGGTGACATTTATTTTAATACTATATTGAACACAATATAAATGTAGTCATTTCAGCGTGCACTCAGTATGAAAAAAATACTGAGCTATTTTACATGCTTTTCTTTGTGCTGTGTCTTCAGAGTACAGTACATCTCAGTTCAGACTAGCCACATTTCAGTTGCCCAACAGCCAGCCACATGTGGCTAGCGTATTGGCCAGCACTGTTCCAAGGTTTTATGGGTTTTTTAAGTTAAAAAACATGTTTTTATTTTTTTCTTCTTTAAATTTTATGTTCATGTGCATGCCTTTTTAATTATTTATTTGCAATTTGATTGGCATAATATTGACCTGACTTAAAATTTTAGCCTCTCACGTCTCTCTTTAGGGTCCAGTTATGTTTATGTTGTGCCCATAAAGGAGAACCTGATTAGCAGTATACCCTTCACCACAGTTATGTTTCATTGTCTTTATTTAAACATCTCTGTTCCTTCACTTCAATCAAGAAAGACTAAAGAGCAGATTTGTTTTTTCTTATGCAGCATAAGTTTTAGAAACCAAATTGTGCATCCACTCATTTCCATATGTGTCTTCTTAGATGGTTCTTTTAAGAGGACTTGTTCTAAAGATTCACAGAAATTTTTCTCGTAACTTTCAGGGAATCCAAGTCAAGTAGAGTTTCTAGGTATTACAACACTTCAAGGTATACGCTGTACTGCTGAAGTTAAAAGACTACAGGCATCTCTTTGATTCCGAATTACTTGAGTATGGGTAACGTTAAATGTTAAATATAAATATGTATATAAAATCTCCATCCTCTGAACTCTACCTCACCTAAATTCTTTCCATTTAATGTTAAGGTATAATTTGACCCAATTTATGAATAATTTTTTAAATGGATTCTTTGAAATGTATTTCTAGTGAATTTTTTTAAATTTTTAATCAATGTTATTCATGTTTATAATTTAAGGTCATTCCATCAGGCTTATAACAAGAAAACAGTTGTCCTTTGCCCCATCTCCGTCCATCCCCCATTCCTGCTCCCTCATTCTAGTCACTTTCATCTCTTTACTGCTTGTTTGTGGTGTTTGCTTTCACATTGAAAACAATGGGTCTGCATAGCTACGTCTCAGTTTTTCAGTTTTAGATATTAATTTCCACAATAGGAAATCAATGGACAAGTATTTCGTTCTCTTAAACTCCTGTACACCCTCCACAGATATGCTCCTAATACAGTTTTAAAATAATGTTTGCTTAGCTCAGCATTGATCATTATAGCTGGGTAAAGAGAATTCAAATTTGAGCCGTAGCATGCAATGGGATTATACGACCCACATAGTTGTAGTACTTTTTGTTTTTCTAAAGGTAATAACTGGAGCTTTTTGCTGGCATTACTTGACCGTGGACCTAACACTTGTCCTCACTCTCTGACAGAAGCATAAGTTCCCAGACACATCAGATTATGCCTCAATTCCATCTTTTTCTTGGAGATGGAAAGCCTTTCTCATTGGCTCTTTCTTTCTAGTTGTGTCCTGGCCTGCTGCAGCTCCTGTCCTAGATCTTGTTTTTCTTGGTTTCCATCCTAATTTAGTAGAGCACACCTCTCTTACACCTCCTAAAAAATATGAGAAAGACACTGCAAGACCCCACATGTAGAGACATGCCTTGATTCTACCCTCACACTTGTTTACCAGTTAGCTGGAGAAAGAGTTATAGGTTGGAAATCCTTTTTCCTCTGGATTTGGAAAGCATTGCTCTGTTGTCTTTGGCATCAGTGTTTCTGTGGAAAAGCCCACTTCTGTCAATAATCTAATCTTGATTCCTTGTCTATGGCATGTTTTTTCCACCCCACTTTGGAAGCCTTTTATTCAGTGTTTTGAAATGTCATGACTCAGCGACTTAACGTGGCTCTTTTTCATGCATTTTGTTGAGTACTCAGGAAGCCCTCTAAGTCTGGAAACCCATGTCCTTTAGTTCTGAGAAATGTCCTTTATTCATTTCTTTGATGATCTCCTCTGTCTTTTCCCTCTTCTCTCTTATAAAACAGATATAGAGCTTCCCTATTGAGCCTTTCATTTTATCTTCTCTCCCTCTTCCTATTTTTCTTCTTTTGAGATTTCCTCAATTTTATCATCTAACCTTCCTTTTAAATTTTTATTTCTGCTATCAAAACCTCAATTTCCTGCAATTCTTATATTCTAGTATTCATTTTTCTAAATCTGTTCTTGTTTCATGACTACAGTAGCTTCCACTAACACTTTATTTTCTTCTTTCCTTGCATTGTTTCTGTTGCTCCAGTTTTTTTTCTTTATGTTTGTTTTTATCATTAACGTTTATCCTCAGATATCTTTAGTATGGTGCTAAAAATTTTAGCTCAGCAGCAGCTGGGTGCGTGGTCAGCAAACTCTGACTGACTGATAGATTTCACTACAAATTAAACTAGTGGGGCCATTTTGTGTGGGTAACTCCCAGCTGTCACTATGTTTGGGGCTGGTCATTTTCACTAAAGTGGGATCCTTCAATTTGCTGCCTAAGAAATATGATCCTGGCTGCCAGCATTCACAGAACCGGCTGGAAGAAAGGAGAATCTCATACAGATTTTCAGTGAGCCCTCCGGTTTGCAGCCCACCTGCACCTCCACTTACAGAGGTCACTTGGGCCCTTGATGCCTGAGCCTCGGGGGCTCTGTGGTGCCCATTAACCTGCTCTGGGCTTCTCCCTCTGCCGTTGTCTACTTTCTAGTTACCACTTGTCTAGCTACTTTCCAACGTTCACATTTTTTTTTTTGTTACTCTCACCTTCTCCTCTTTTTGTTCTTGTATGGTTATCCCATCATTGTCGTTTTAATTTTAGTGGGATTTCAGGAGGGAGCAGTAGGGTGTGTGTGTGTGCCATGTTTAGCAGAGTCTCAACACACTCTTTGTTCTTCAGAAATACATCTGTTCCTGAGGTAGCAGCTGTATCAGGAACTGAATAACAAAAGAAAACGTGGTGACTCTGCCCTTCCCACATTTACCAAAACTCAAGAAGTCATTTCAGTTGGAGAATAACCCTTATGCTGCTTCTCTTTATTGGCATAAGGTTCCATCCAGAAGTACTTGGTATTTTAATTATAATGTTTCCTTTGGTAACAGATTGGTCTCTTATTTGTAATATGGTGATACAAACTGCAGTTTGTTTTGTTTTGTGGTTTTTTGTTGTTTTGGGGTTTTTTTTTTAAATAAACATCTCATGTCTTCTAAAATGTTTAAGGGGAGAAGTGTATAATAAAAATAATAGTTTATAAGATGAATAGCCCTTTCAGTTTTTTTAATATAAAAAAATTGATTTGTATTTCAGTTTATCAGTGGTTTTTTACCCCACTCCTTTTCATTCATCATTTTTATGTTGTTTTGTGTCTTTGATAAGTCACTAATTCTATATGATATCTTTGGAGAAATACTTAATAATCTTGATCTGATTATTAATTAGCATTACTCAGCAGCCCATTAGGTAACTTTTTGGTTTTATGTTAAAGGAAAGTTTTAAGGGTTAATATTCAAATTATTTCCTTCTTTCATGAGTGTCACAATTCTACTTAACGGAAGTTTTACTTAGTCCTTTTAGAAACACAAAGAACACTTTTGTAGATGGTTTTATCATCTTAGGTAAATATTTTATTAGGATAAGGAAAAGCATTAAGTGTTTTAAAAAAAAATAGTTTTCATATTGAATTATCCAAACACTTGGGATTTAAACTAGTTGCATAATGGATGGTGGTGGTATTGTAGCCAAGAAAACAAAACTCCCAAATTCAGATTGTCTGGAATCAGGGAAATCAGATAGAAGTGGATTTTAGGCATTTTCTTGTTTGTGCTCATATCTTAAAACCAAGCCTGGGAAGTCTGAAGTGTGTTCCATGCAGTCTAGAAAGTGGGGCGTTTCATGTCTCAAGAATGAAAGCAAAACAGTGAAAGACTTCAGTGCTTTTCGAGACAAGTAAAAGCATGAAGTGCAGCACAGGCAGTGGTGCTTCTCTTTCTGAGTTTAATGCCAGTGAAAGGAAGCAACTGGTTGAGAGAATTTTGTAAAAATCCAGGAAAACTTCTAAATCAGGATTCAAAAATGTTAAGGAAAGCAGATTCGACGAAAACGAAAGGGCTGGTTGAAGAGGAGCTTTTTAAGAAAGAGTCTTTCCTATGTAGAAGGAAGGCTGAGCTGGGAATTCAGGCTAGAGATGATTTTAAGTGTATGTTAAAATGAGACAACGTATCTAATTCCTATGTATATATGTGGTTATACCCACGAGGCCTTTCAGGCCAGCCTAAACTGGCTTTTCACTTCCACCAGCTGCCAGTACTGTATTGGCCAGGACGGCATTGGGGAGGGGAAGAGGGAAGGCAGGCCACAGGGACCCCGTACTTAGAAAAGAAACCTTGATTCTTTGGCGGTAGAAGAATGTAATCAAGCAGCTCTAAAGTGACTGAGAACATTCTCTCCTAGTGCTTCTCAAGGTTCTGTTTTACCAGCTCTCTGAATCTGTTGAAAATGCGATCAGTTCTGTTTCTTGAGCTAGTTAAGGCTGGGATTTGAAAACCATCAATCTTGAACATTTCCAGGATTAAATTTTCTCTTGGAGCCCAGGAGGCCATTTCTACCTCTGAGAGTTTCTGAGTTGTGACAGAGACGCCATGTTTCTCATTTATATGTTATGCAGTGACACGCGATGTTATTATTATCTGCCTTGAAGCTCCTGAACTACTTTGCTTTTATTTGACCTTATGTTTATCTGGCCTTCACTTTTACAATATAAGCTTTTATATCTGCTGTGTAAGCTTCTTTAAAATATGCCAAGGTAGAGATTTAATTACACTCTATTTGTCTTTTTAAAAATAAATAGCAATGTATTTTCTATTTCAGGGCATTTGATGTAGAACTGCTTTACATAGCACAGTTCTTTAAGATCCCAATAGCAGAAATTGCTGTCAACTGGACTGAAATTGAAGGTGAGTATATTGTTTACATTACAGCTGATCTTAAGTGGGGGAAGACGTCAGACCATACAGTTGTCCAGTGAAGTCAGCTGGCTTTACTGTCACCCCAGCTCAGCTGTCCTAACTCAGAGGCAGTTTCATAGACAGTAAGCACTGCCTACTAATCCTTGCCACCCTCCTCCAGCTGGCTTACTGCCTTCTGTAAGCCCATAATTCATTCTGTAAATGCCTTCTTCTCCTAAGAAGAAGTCTCTTCTTAGGGTCTTCATTAGGCCTACTGGCTTGCCTAAGCAATTCAATAAAAACTTGTACAGTAGACAGGATCATGGTGATTTCAGGCTAGAAGCAAGGTGAATAGTCTTCAGATAAACTTTATTGTTTGTAATACCAAATTTTTTTTTAGTATTATTTCATTACTCAGTGAGTGTTGAGTACCTACAAACCACTGTGCAAAGCTAAATGAGGAGTTAGTTGTTTTTACTCCAAATGCCCATAATCCATTCACAGCCGATTTTTAACTGGCATCTGTACATATATCCAAAAATGTAAAGATTTCTAAGATTTAAAATGTGAAATCTATCATACTTCCGAATAATTTCTATTCAGAAAAGCTTAGACAGCGCTCACTGTTTAGAATTTAAAATATATTCTATTTTTCTCCTTTGCTTACCTTAGAATGATCCTAAATTAATTCACAGTGTAGGAGCAGTTAACTGGAGACTTTTTCAAAGTCACCTCTCCCCCAGGTAAGCATGGCCTCCTCTTGAAAAGTCACTGTTGAAGTAAGCAACTTCACATGTTTAGGGACAGAAAAAGGTTAAGAACCCATCTGGAAATCATACAAGCTACGTAGACCTCTTGGAGTCTTGCTGAATCATATTGAGTTTACAGCAGTTTGACTAATCTCCACAGTAGCAGCCTAGATCAAAGGGGATGGGAAGCAGGTGAAAGGATGCCTCAGACTCGTTAGGATCAGCCCGGTGGATGTGTCTGTGTTGATCTGTGCCCAGCATAGACTCTATGGGAAGTTGAAGTGGGGAAAAGTAAAAATATGTTTCATTTTATATCAGTTGCTCACTTGCATTTCTCAGAGAGTTGAGTGTTAAATCTCGATAACCAGCACTTAGCAGTTTTTCTGTTAATCATCCCCAAACCCTCAGCCATATACGATCGGTGCCTCCCCACTAGAGCAGGGCCATCTGAAATTCTCACGGTTTAGATCCTCCCAAGTTTTATTTCACTTCAAGGTGTTTTGTTTTTGTTGTTTTTAGAGAAACCACTCACTTTGGCTTTGAAGATATTTAAATCTCTTATCCATGATTTAAATTAATTACGGTGGATGTGTTAACTTCATTGTGGTAATCATTTCACAGTGTATACAGCTATCAAATCATCACGTTGTACACTTTAAATACATTTCAATTTTATTTGCCAATTACACCTCAGTAAAGCTTGTGGTGGGGGGGAGGGGTGGGAAGAAAGGAACAGAGAAAGAAGCTAGAGCATTTGGGCTTCAATCTGGAAATTGTCAGTGATCGTCCTGTGGTCTTTACCACTTCACTCTACCATCCAGCATGCCAGTTACCTGAGATTGGAGGGCAGGGCAGGTCTGCTTCTGGCTTACCAAAAAAACAATTCCAAGGGGTAAAATCAAGGAATATAAGCTTTTAAGACATGCTCAAGGAGGCGGATCTCATGCAGTCAACTGCACTTGGCATGTTGCCATTTGACAACCACTGGACAAGAAGATGGCCTATAGCTAAGGTGTATTTATTTTATCTGATTGAGAGCCTTGGTAGAATTAGAATAAAAGTTGGGTTTTTGTCTTGGCTTTCTTATCTCAGATTATTAATCTGTACTTGTATTATGTATAGAGGTGTATCTGATTCTCTGTAGTACATGAGATTGAAAAGCAGTGTGTAAAACATGAAGATTTGCCCCCGAAAATCATTTTTAAACGTACAAAGGAATTGTTTAACAGACATACATATATAATATAAATAATGTAAGTTAAATTAAGGTGACTAGAAGCTCACAAAGGTCGTGACTTCTAAAATACAATTTTAAACTGTTATGTTTCCTGAAAATATATTTATTTTTAAATTGCAGGTTCTAAATTAGTTCCATTTTGGAGCTGGCTACAGATGGGCAAGGACCTACTTCTTATACGACTTCGATATTTGACTGGTGCCTGGAGGCTTGAACAAACCAGGAAAGTGAATTAGGTTATTTGCCATCTTTGGTTGTATTCTTATCCATCAGTGTCACATTATTTCACTTGAAATTAAAATTTTAAATAAAGCTGGAATAAAACTGTTCCATTGTATGCCTTTTGATAGTTTTAAAGAATTTACTCCAGCAGTACAAATCTTTATACCTCTTTTGGACACAAAAATTTTTAAGGTGTTTGTAACAAAAGTCAGATTTTCTTTTGCTTTAGCAATTTTATTCATTTAGATTAATTATCATTATGATTCTGAGAAATACAATTTTTAAACAGAAGACAGAAGCTATTATTCTTACTCTAAAGTGCCTTATTCTCATGAACTTAAATATAAACCACAATCATATAGGTGTTCAGGGATTTAAAAATAAATGTTTAAATATATATAAATTTATCAATATTAAACCCATAAAACTTTTTCATTCTGTAAAAGTCTAGGAAATTATGTTAAAGAAAGGATATAGGTTTGCTCACAAAGGTATCCACTTTCTCATACAGTCTTATTTATCTCCTTCCAAATTTTTCTTACCTCCTGGCAACGCTAACCTCTTGAGTTCATGTTAATAAAAATTGGAAATTCTTTATTAAAAAGAGAAAGTTTTGCGATATTAATAAATGTATTTACTTAATAACATCAGAAGCCTGTGTTTTTGAGAAACTAAAGACTAAAGAATAGCAATTATAAAACAATGAACTCCTAAAAATAAGAATTAGATTGTTTCTGATGTTTTAGAGAAAATAATAATACCTAACATTTACTGAGCGTTGACTGTCTGCCCACCACCGTTCTAAGCACTTAGTATATAATGACTCACCTAACATTTACAATAGGAGAGGGAACTCAAGGCACAAAGCAGTCACTTGCCCAAGGTCACAGAGGTAGGAAACAGTAGAGTTGTGACCCTAGCCCACATAGTCCGGATCCAGGGCTTACACTCTTTAATGAGTATGCTACTTGAGTTTCTGACAGTATGTTAACTGGGGACATGTAAGTAGAAAGTTTCAGAAGCACGTGAAATACAACATTTTAAAGACAAGACTTACATGGAAAAGTAAATAAGCTAAAGATGACTCCTCTCCAGTAGTTTAAACAACAGTGACGCTGTCACATCTGCACTAAACAAGCGCCTTGAAAACAGAAAGCATTTCTTACTCAAATTAGTATTCCCAGTACAGTGCTTAGCGTAAACACTTAATATCGATCAAGTAAATAAACAAACTTCATTCACTACCAGGTTTTGAGAGCCTTTAAGTCACTTAAATGAACAGAACAAAACAAGGCTTATGCAAGTAGAAATGAGAGAAAACAAATAGTAAAATGACCGTGAGCATTAACAGAATTTAAAGTTACAAGCCTTGAGCCAAAAATAAGATCCTTAATGAAACTATAATAAGACAATAAAATAATTTATTGTTCTTTGTAAGCTAGTGATAAAAATGTATGTTTGAAGCATGAGAGGAATTTTCAGGAAAAGGGTCAATAGTTTCTTATGTAGTTCACCCATGAGCCCTATTAAGAAAGGTTTCTGATATCCTTGATGCCAGTTTATCTTCCTAGGCACAGGTTCACCTAAGCTAACAGCGTAGTACAGACTCGGGGGCACTCTGTAAGAGAAAACGTCGTTTAACTTGTTGACATTATAGAGCCTGCTAACAAAAAGAGGCAAGCAGCCATAGCAAAGGCAAAACTATCAGCTACTATCATTTTACTATGTGCAAGGAACTGTGATAAGAATTTCATGTGCATTACTTAGCTTAATCCGATGAAACAACTCTATCATACAGGTATGACTACCCACATTTCAGAAACGAAGAAATAGTGTTAGACAAGCGATTTGCCCAAGATCACACAAGTAGCCAGTGTCATGCTTCTACTGAAATAAAAGCAGGAAATAGGATCATGGGCCATGATTAAAACTGAGGGTACAATCTCATCACAATCAGACAACATGACCATTTACAGTACTTTCTACCTTCTGACTTGTTCTTATAGAATATGTACACATGGAGTTTATTTGACTCAAGATTATGTCTGGATGATGACATGTTTCTTGACATCTGTAATTCTATGTCTCCATGTAGTTGTGTATTTCCACAATTCACAGTTGATTCTGCAGTTCTGTTTTCCACTTTTTTTATTGTTATAATTTCCTCAAGAGCAGAAACCTTGCCTTTTATTTGTGTGTCTCCATAGCATCCTAAATTGTGATTGTTCAATAAAGGTTTCCCAAATAGTTAGATAATGCCAGCATTACAATTCATTTGTCCAAGAAAAAAATTACATGAATGAGGTTATCCATTTTATCGACAGCTAAATGTCCTGAAGAAGCAGTCTTATGGGTTGCTTTGTTTTTATGCAAACTCAAAGGCACCAAATCTACAAACTAATGATTTTATTATGTCCATCCAATATAGGACTTATTTGGAATTCACTGATTTTGAAGTAAAACTCATTAGTATTTTGATGGTCACAAAAAGCAATACCTTCCCAGATTTGATCCTCTAGACAACTACTGCCCTTCTACAACCAAACACTACAGGAAAGAATGGTGACCTCACACCTGCTGACAAGAGCCCAGGCTGAGTGGGGAGCCAAGATGCACACCCTCACAAGGCTGGAATCAGGTACCTAGACATCCTCACCCGGCGATGTCAGAGACACCCAGCAGGGAGCAGGACTTTCCTCCTGCAAAGCCAATCCTGAGTCCGCACCAGGGGAAGCTGGCCTTGCACTCCCCTCTGCAGTAACAGCAGCTCCACCCCCTCCCAGGGATGGAGTCAGAGGAGGCACTTCCTCTGGTGGCCTCGAAGTGATGAGGCCACCCCGCTGCGGTGACAATGAAGACCATGTAGTGAGCCAGAACTCCTACCCCTGCCCAAGTATAATAAATAAATAGTCCCCCTTCCTTTGGGTGTCAATGGGGGCCAAGGGGAGAACCTGTACTTACACCTCCCCTGGCAATATAACAAGACGGTGCTCCCCCTTCTCAACCAGAGGAGTGTCAGCTAAAACAAGAGTTGTGAATAAGATCCAGAGTCTCAGAACATAATAAAAAAAAATGTCCAGGTTTCACAAGAAAATCACTCGTTAAAGCAAGAACCAGAAAAACCTCAACTTGAATAAAAAAAGACAATCAAGAGATGCCAACACTGAGATCACAGAGATGTTAGGATTATCTGACAAGGATTTTAAAGCAGCCATGACAAAAATGCTTCCAAGGAATTACAAACATGCTTGAAATTAATGAAAAAAGTAGAAAGCCTCAGCAAAGAAAAAGAAAGTCTCAGCAAAGGACAATATCAAGAAGAACCAAATGGAAATTTTATTTATTTATTATTATCTTTAATTTTTTTATTTCGGCCTCGCCATGCAGCATGTGGGATCTTAGTTCCCCGACCAGGGATAGAGCCTGTGTCCCCCCAGCAGTGGAAGCATGGAGTCTTAACCATTGGACTACCAGGGAAGTCCCCCAAATGGAAATTTTAGAACTGAAAAATACAATCACTAAATAAAAAGCTTGGTGGATAAGCTCAACAGCAGAATGGGGGTGGCAAAGGAAAGAATCAGTAAACTCAAAGATAGCACAATAGAAATTAATCTGATTAAGAGAGAAAAAACAGAAGGAAAAAAAAAAGGCTCAGTGAAACTATAAAAAGATCTAACAGTATCATCAGAGTCCCTGGAAGGGTGGAAAACATCCTTGAAGAAATACTGGCTGAAAACTCCTCAAACTTGGCAAGAGGCATAAATCTACAGAATCAGATTCTGTATAGGATAAACCCAAAGAAATCCATACCAAGACACATCACAATTAAACTTCTGAAAACTAAAGACAGAAAAAATCTTGAAAGCCGCAAAAAAAAAAACAAAACCTGACACCTTACCTATAGTGAGGAAACAATCAGAATGACTGAATTTACCATCAGAAACTATGCCAGTCAGAAGGATGTGGCACAATATTTTTTAAATACTAAACGTAAGAAACTGTCAACACAGAATCTCATACTCAGCAAAAAACAAATCTTCAAGTATGAAGGGGAAATAAAGACAACCTCAGATGAAGGAAAGCTTAGAGAACTGGACACCCACAGACCTACCCTAAAACGATGGCTAAACAAAATTCTCTAAACAGAAAGAAAACATCAAAAGGAAACTTGGGACGTTAGGAAGGAAGAAAATACATGGTAAGCAGAATATTGACAAATACAAAAGACTTTATCTTCAAGAGTTTTATATTATGTTTGATGGTGGAAGCAAATACTAAAACAGTCTGATGTGGTTCTAAATATATGTAGTGGAATATATAAGACAATTTATTACAAATGAGGGAGGGAAAAGGGGCAAAAACAGAGGTAACAGGCCTTGCAATCCCCTAGGCAATCTTCTGACATCGCAGTTGGGGAGCTGTGACCCACAGTTGGAGAATCAATAAGCTAAGTATGCAACTAGTGCCCAATCTGTCTTTTTTAAGATAAAAGAAGTATTAGCAGGATCTGCCCAAAGCAAGCCCTATTCAGAAGGTGACAGATTCTCATACTAAAGTAGGTGGGGTAAGAGTTTGACCCATTAATGTTTCCAACTATGATTACTTTTCTCTTTCCACAGCCCAATTATTTAAAGAGAAATAAATTGAGATTTTAAAATTTAAAATCCTCAGTTTAATCAAGTCCCACAGTTTTTTGAATTTCTCGAATACCTGTACACTCACCATTTCTGATGATCAGTGCATGACAGCTGAGTTTTACCTGCAATTTTATCACACTTTTCAAAAATAATCATTTCAGAAAAAAACACGTCCAACAAAAATAGAACCTTATTTGTATTTCTTTTCTTTTTTCTTAAATTTTTTTAACATCTTTATTGGAGTATAATTGCGTTACGGTGGTGTGTTCGTTTCTGCTTTATAACAGAGGAATCAGCTATATGTATACATATACCCCCATATCCCCTCCCTCTTGTGTCTCCCTCCCACCCTCCCTATCCCACCCCTCTAGGTGGTCACAAAGCACCAAGCTGATCTCCCTGTGCTATGCGGCTGCTTCCCACTAGCTATCTATTTTACATTTGGTAATGTATATATATCCATGCCACT